AACTACAAGCGTCGACATATCCGGCATGAGTTAGCATGAGTTAGGGCGAAGGGCAAGAGAGAGAGGTGGAGGCAGGATTGTCCAACATTTGGGCCAGTAACTTTGTCGAAGGATATCCGCCGAATCGAGGAAGGTGATAAGGCACCCAAATTGCCCTTTATCCACATCACGGTTTGCATGACGCTTCCTCGTCATCACCGGAATAGTAGGACCCCAGTCGATGCAGGCTGGAGAGGCGGGCCCCTTTCCTCAGCAATGAACATCCCCAAAGAAGCGACATACAGGTTGGCTCCACGTACAACATATCCACTGTCAATGTCGGAACACCTGCTCATGAGCTGAAACGGAGCAAAGCCAATCATATCTCTTCATCCAATCAGGCTAACGGCGTGTGGTGAGCCGAGGGCAGCAATCAGGAGCCCATCCACCCATTATTGGGGCTTGAGCTTACAATATGAACGTTGTGCCGTCGTCTGAAAGGAGAAGGTCTGCCGCGGTTGGCTTTGGGGATCAGAATCATTGCCATGCAAGCCACATTGTTGACAGGCATCAACCATAGAAATAAAATGGCATGGACTGTTGTGTACGTAGACAGTGTACAGAGAATTTGCGCGTACGAAGACCGTAGGACCACCGCTAACAGGCAGGCGAAACAGTTGCGTCCTACACAAAGCCAACCGGACAATCGGCGACCGTGACAAGAATCGAGCAGAAACGAAGCGAAAAGGCCTCAGTGAGGGTACGTTCTAGCCCTCAGCAGGATAGAAGCATGGACGGGGGCGAAAAACCCGTGCTGAGAAACACTCATCAGCCGGCCTCAGCGAGAGTTGAGACGGTGGTAAATTTGAGGGGGAAAACAGAACGTGACGGATACGAGGGCGGGCAGCCGGGGGCTATATAGCGGCGAGGGGTCGGGCGGTCAGGGGCGGCATTTCCGGGTTGGGCGAGGCCGTTTCCAGCTTCGGCGGCCCCTAAAGGTAAATTACTTTCAGTAAATACCTACGTACGAGTTTCCAGATAGGCGTCTAAAAAGTCAAGTTTATCGATATAATAAAGCCTGCAACGTATCTTAGATTTAACGAGACCACTATACACGCGTTTTAAAGGTAAGAAAATAGCAATATCAAATAGTTAAAGTCTATGAAAAGCATACGCAGGCATATAGATCGGTATAATATTATTTTCCAAGTATATTTAATTAAATTGAGGCGTTAAATAACTATCGTAGCCATTTAAAATAAATAATCGATATCATCCAATAAATCGACCTACAGTAACTAATATAAAATAACTTTACAATTAACGTAGACCTATTTCATTACTTATCTAGCCGTTAAAACTAATCTCGATCCTCTAATTAAATAAAACCTTTCGATTCTTATACCAGGCCTCCATATATACTTTACCTTTAAATATAATACAAAAAAATAAAGCCCATCTATTAAAACTAATACATTTTATAGAAGTAACCTATTTCTAGTTACCCAACTACAATAAAAACGGCTTACCTAGTATACTAGACCTAGTAATCACTTTAGTAATAGTAATTAAACCTATTACAAACCCGGTTTTATCGAAATTGTAAATATTAAATAAGACTATACTGTACTTTTAAATAACCTCATTTACCTACTAAAACCAGGTATTTAAAATCTTCGAATCTTCTATTTTAACACGTTAATAGTTATATCAACGTATAAAGCAGATCTTAAGCTCAGACGTATACTTAGTAAAGTTAAATACCCATTTTCCCCCTACAGTTATAGGGGAAGAAGTAATATCTCGTTTTAAAAATAAGATATTAGCTATTTCTCGTACGTATATTAACCGGGGCGGTGCACCACATTTATCTAGCGATAGAATCTATTCTTTAAGCGATTTCTCTTTACTAATAATTAATTTATAAGTATTGACGCGTCTATCGTATATAAATAAGGCCCCTTTTAAACGACTACGCAGAGTAGATTTAAAAAGATTAAATATCTTAGCTATCTATCTAAGGCTACTAAATTCATTGTTTTTTAAAGCTAATATAGCCAGTACGATTCGGCCTTCTTGCTTAACGCGCGATTTTAATAATTTAAACATTTTTAATAGTATAGTTAGTGTTTGAATTGTCTAAGAAATTAAGACGCGTAAGAAACGCGGGTGGTGCGCAGGGTGCTTACATGCGCAGGGTACTTGCCGGTTACGTTACGTTATTCAGATTCATTAAGTCAGCGTCAACCATTGCTAAATGCGGTCAAGCCCTTGACCCAGGCCAAAGTTCGGCTCCTACAGGTACTACCCCTTGAATAACCTGTTTTATTCTCTTATCTGACCTTTCTATTTATTAAAAGCAAGATCAAGTAGAACCTGGGGTGAGAGTACACGTTACTCCGCAGATCCTTCGTTCCGTGGTGAAGCAATTGCACTTGTGCGAATGCCTACTAGTTGAGAGTCAAACATAGTATACCATATACCGGCGAGGTTTTATTCACCGACCGGGTTGCGAAACCTTCGGATCGACCAGAGATTCCTCGGGTACCAATTGTCTTGGGGTTAGGCAGTCCATCTCGCCGAATTAGTGGGTCGAAGGAATATCCACCGGGCTTCAACGGTGGACCACAGTTGGCCACACGAACAACTGAGGATAGACATCATCCCCAAGCACAGGCCAAACCTGAGAATCAGCGTTGACTGGACATTCCGAATAGCCGATATATGTACTTGGACGTGGGCTATTCCTTACTGGGCTTTGTTTTGAAAAGTCTTTATGTGCTGTATCATCCGCCATAACCGACGGGCGCCAAGCTTACTTGCATATATATATTTCTGGATGACTAGAGGGATGTTGAGAACACTTGCAAGAACAACCGTGGCACCATGGAGCCAAGCACGACTGATACGGAAGCGAACAGCATGGCTTCTTCACCAGAAAAGCAAGAAGAGCTACCAGACTGGGCCGTCGATCCAGCCAACGCCCAGAATTGGAGTTTGACCAAGAAGCTATACAACACATCCGTTCCCTCCCTCCTTTGTCTGCTTATGTCGGTGTTCACTTCTGGAGATGAGATGACGATAGCAAAGCTAACCTTCGCATGCACTTAGATCCTTTGGCCTGGCCATCTATTCGCCATCCCACGCTCACGTGCAGGAGGACTTTCACGTCACTAACACCCTGTCGCTCCTCCCATTCACCTTGTATGTGTACGGCCTAGCTTTCGGCCCTATGATCGCTGCTCCTTTGAGTGAGACGTTTGGGCGCCGCTTCGTCTACATCATCATGACCCCATTAGCCCTGTTATTTATCCTCGGCGCTGGCTTTGCTCACAACTTCGCTACCCTTGCGATATGCCGCTTGCTGGGTGGCATTCTGTGCTCTGCACCTCTCGCCGTGGGTGCTGGGACCATCATGGATACCTGGACAGGCCAAAACACCAACCGCGGAGTGGTTGTGCTTATGGGTATCGCTTTTCTGGGGCCCGCTCTGGGGTCACTGGTAGGTGGTTGGATCGCCGAATATAAGGATTTCAGGTGGTCTCAATGGACAACCTTATTCCTCGGAGCGGCCCTATGGGTCTATTCGATGGGTGCACAGGAAACATACGCGATCCCGATCCGCCGCCGCCTAGCCAAGAAGATGGGACTACCTCCTCCTCCAAAGCCGATCCCCGATGGCCTCGCGGGAGTCAGGATGCTCATGACAGTCACGCTGGCACGACCTCTCTACATGCTAATCACCGAGCCGATCGTCACCCTCTGCTCCCTCTACTCCTCCCTGAACTTCTCCGTGCTCTTTTGCTTCCTGGCCTCGGTGCCGCTGATATACAGCACCAATTATGGCTTCTCACCGGGACAGTCAGGACTGGCCTTTATTGGAATCGCCGTGGGTTGCATTATCGGTGCTGTGGCATTGATCATCCTCGACGGATACACGATGGCCAAGCATCGCGCGCGGCAGCCAGGCGCGGCAGCACCTCCAGAACGAATGCTTGTGGCCGCGATGGTGGGCAGTCCCCTGATGCCGGCGGCATTATTCTGGTTTGCCTGGACCTCACAGCCGGGCATTCATTGGATGAGTAGTATAATTGCCATGGCGCTGTTTGGTTGCTCGAACATTATGATCTTTGTGCGTCTTCCGTGTGGTACCGACTGATATGCTGCTGAGACTGTGTGAAATATAGGTATCCACGATGTTATATCTCACCAATGTGTACGGAGCCAAGTTTGGCGCCTCGGCTCTAGCGGCCAATGGCCTACTGCGATACAGCGTGGGCGGATCTTTCCCCTTGTTTACCATCCCAAGTACGTTGTTGTAATCTAGGCCATTACCTCGGCGCCTGGCTGACTGATCAATGTAGTGTACAACAATCTTGGATTCACATGGGCATCTAGCCTGCTCGGCTTCCTCGCTATCGCGTTTGCTCCCCTGCCTTGGATATTCTATCGGTTCGGAAAGAAGATCCGCCAATCGAGCGCTTATACAGCGTGAACCTGTAGTCTACCCTAGGTCAATCGTAACATGAATAAGCACCGACGTCGACATAGCCTAGAACTACTATTTGAAGTCCCTACGATCAGGGCGGAAAACAAGGAGGCTCTTTCAGTTTCACGGAGAAATGAAAGCCAGGAACTCAAATTTCAACTGAGCTCATATTAAGAATAGAAAAATAGAGACAATCAACACCTAATGGCCTTTTAACTCAGCCACCTGGCGCCTACCATTCTGAATTTTCTCCCCTTGATGCCTTATCTGGAAGGCAAACCGAAGCGGGATCCGAAGCTTTTAGGCTCCTTGTGGGGTTTGAAGTAAGCCCTACACAGCTTTTCACCGTAGAAGAAATGCTCTCGAGAAGCTGGGTCAGAATCAGGAAAACCCGAAACTCTTGCCTTGCGCTCAAACATTATAATGCAGTCTGAACCACCGAATGCAAAGTGTGAAATCTCTTCACCCTTTTTGATCTTTTGGCCTTGGAGCTCCTTCCTCACGTTAACAGAGGAAACCATGGCCATGCCAATCGGAAGCACGGCAACCCGGCCCAAGTGCTCATTGTTGATCACCACCACCCCACGTGCCTGGAGGAACTGATAACCTGGAGTGTCTGGGGCCTGGAGGGTATGGACGCCTGAAGGGTTCCTTTTCTTTCCGGCGATCTGGCGGCAGAGCTCCAGATAGTTGTGACCGACCTGCTCGTCTGTCTGGACCAGGACATCGAGGTAGGCGGCGCCTTCTATGACATCGATGATCTCCACAGCCCCCGACACAGGCGCATGCTGCCGGTGATAGTCGAAGGAATTCAAGAAAACATGAGTCCAGATTCCGTCCTTGAAGACATCCCCGTACGTTTGGGTGCTGTCATCAGGAAGCGGCTCGTCGCCGTATTTACCAAGAAGGTCCTTCACTTTCCACGGAACATGCTTCAGAACCACCTGCTCTTTCACAATCCGCCACTCCTTTTTCTCCAGAACCACCTCGGAATCCTCGCTGATGGCATATGCACCGGCGAAGGTCGAATCGGCAGGGAAGGTCACGACATGATCATCATCAGGGCCAGCGATGTTACGAGGGCTGTCCAGCTTTCGGTAGAAGAACTTGTTGAAAGTTGTCCAGTTCTTGGCGTCTCCCTCAGACTCGAAGACGCGGAAGAGCGGAGAGTTTTTAAATGTCGTGATGGAAGCCTCGTTGATCGATGAATTCTTGTCCATACTGCTACCGATCTCCTTGGCGTATCGGACCACTCAGTCGGAGAGGGGCTTCAGGGGCTTGTTCAAGCTGAGTGGTTGGATTTTGGTCAGACGAGAACCCAGTGGTTCCTGGGACAGGACGAAATAGAAGACACATAGGATGTAGTAAATGTCCCGGCCTTTGGTTGACTCAGTAGGGACCCAGCCTCGGACCAACCAGTCGGCAAAGTCAAGAAAGCCTCTGGCTGAGATGATGCCGTACTTGTCCAGCTCGGGGATATCCCATTTATGAGCGTTTTGGACGGCCTGCTCAAGGTCATCTTCCTCCCAGAGTAGCTCGTCTCGAAGTTCCTGGACAATGTCGCTATATTCTGGCATAATGGCTCGATAGTGCGTTGCTTTGGATGTGAAAGAATGAATGGAATTTCTAGGGAAGATCATGGACTAGTTCAGACATGAGCGGATGTTGATGTGGTACTTATACATTTCCTCCCTTTATCATATGACACAGTAGGAAGAAAATTCCAAAGCTATTATATGAGAGACTGCATTCAATGATGACATCAGCGTTCTAGACTTATTATATCCAGCTTAGGAGAAAGCCCACCAACATCATATGAGATCGGGCTCAGTGTCCGCCAGACGAGAGGGACAAACTAGAGACTGACTTGGGCTTTTGAGGTATATGGATATCTTCCACACGGTATGCACTATGGATGGCGATACCTGAAGTTTTGGTCCTTCCACAACCGCCATGGACCTTTGGTTGTGGGCGCATGATCCATTCTGGAATAAAACACTTGCCAAAACTGACTTCATTAAATCACCAGCCACTCCAAGCTTGTAGCCACCTTGAAACTCAGTTATTGACAAATTCCGCTGGTTGATGACCGACCCGGGTCTCCCTCATGAAACACAACCGCATACGACGTCGGTGTTGCCCATGAATCTGAACTGTAGCCCGCCTGTATAGAGGTCACTCCTTGACCCAATTATACATTAGACTTCGGAAGAGCATGATATACTCCGCTGGCGTGAGGGTGACATAACTTCTGGTGCCTAGATCTGTATGTGGAGAAGACGGCAATCAGTTCCAGCTGCCACACTGTGCACAGCCCAATCGTAATCATGAGCCAATAACTTAAAATCACAATTAGGTCTTGTAGATTTACCATCACATGTATATAAATTTGCGTTGTCTTCAGACACGTTTTGATGGTATCCAAAGTAAAGGATAATCCCAGTCAACGCTCACTAGCATCATACTCACGTCGATGCAGGATATACTAGATAACCTAGGACGCCCTATGCGTAAGTGGTCATCGTTGAGGGGGTGTCAATGAGCCTGGCTGAGATCATGGTGAAATTCTGCCCTGAGGTTCCTCGGCTCACCTAGCTTTGTTTATTGATGTAGCGGACGGGGTTTCTAGGGCTGCTGCTGTTCAACAGCCTATATCACCTGGATAGCTAGGGGAAAGAAACATCTAATTTAAGCACAAGTAGATAGTTAAGAAGTAGTTTTCTATTAGGTAGTGACGGGCTAATGTACCAAGTAAAATCATGATCAAAGGCACCGATATCGACTATACAATCACAGGAACGTTTATAGAAACAAGGCTTTTAGCATAACTACTATCTCATCGACAACTGAACAGGTGAGGCTGTTTCGGTATTCCAGGCTACACTTTTACAACAACGTAGAAAGGATCTCTGAGAAGACGATCTAAGATTTTGCGGTGCCCTGATGTTTTCCATCTTTACCTGCCCAGCAAAGTAGCTCCCTAGTCTCTGGGTGAGTCGGATCAAACTAAGCCCTGACTGAAGTCCAAAAGGAGATCCACTACGTTATTTTATACGACACGCACGTTGATACCGGATGCACAATTTCGGTCCCTCTTCTAGAGGCATTCTCTTCCGTAGCCTTATTTACGGTCACGACAATTTTGCTTATATAGGTGTACTACGGTGCAATCTATTTGATCGTCTAACAAAAATGAGTTCTAGCATTTGTTGTAGCTATCTGTTTTCTATCAATACCAAACGCCTCACCTGGGCAATTTGGTCTGGGTTATCTCCATAATTCTGTAGTCAAGGGTTCACATACAGTCCCAAGGTGCATTTTTCTTCCATTGCAATTCACACATCAAAGCCGGGCGGGACGAGCCATGGCTATTGAATCTACCGGTCCAAGGTTATCAGAAAAGAGGCTAATCTGATCTGCCCGCTCTAGCTCACAGATCAAACTAATATAACCATCAGGACGGACGATGACAACCCGGCTATCCTCTCGATCAATACCACAACGCTTATAGACCTCTCCACAGCCATCATGATAACTCTCATCGTCAGCATAGACTCTCCAGTAGTCCCAGTCGTCCTGATCGCTCCAGGGATGAAAGATATCTGGCAGATCCATTCATTCAATATCTCCTCGTCGGGCCGAATGGATCGTGATAGCTTCCGTGCCCGAATGGTTTTGTTGAAACGTCGCCAGCCACTGTCCGAATGCCGATAATCTTCGAAGGATGTGTCCTTTCGAAATGCTCCCCGCAAAAATCAAGAGGCGGAATTTACCAGTCATGACAAACCAATGATGAACAGCAGTGGGGATTCCATCCGCCTGATTAACTATTTGGAAGTCTGGTAGACGCATGCCGGGTGATAGACCTGTAGCGACAGCTGTGGTCTCTCCCACCTGTGAGGGGGGCCTTACGATTAACGATCGGGGATACTGAATCCGAATTCCTGTAGTAAACTTCATGGCGAGCAGAAATGCAGACAAGAAGCTATCGGGATCCAAGTTAGGTGTAGCCATTATCTGGAGATACTCGCGGCCAAAGTTGATCAGTTGCTGAGCAATAGGCCTTCGCTCGTGCACGTATGTCGATAAAAGCGATGGCGAACAACGCTGTTCAAGGTAGAAGCGAAGCTCCCTGCCGATATTATAGGCTATGATTTGCTTGTCAACTCTCATTGCGGTTACCCGAGCATAATTCGCTTACCGTCCTGAATACCGGTATTCGTCCCCTGGCCTGCTTTGGGAGAGAGTGTGTGTCTACGGTAAGTCCATCATTGATTAGCCTTGGGGGCAAGTTAGGCAGAATGGCTCTCCCTTACGAACAGCATCTCCGGCAAGGAACACACGGTCATATCTGGAGAACTCTTCTGCAACACGTTGACTAACCTGGTAGGCGGACCACCACGCCACATGGCCAGCCTCGAACATATATGGAGAGATGATAGACCGTGCCGAGTCTATAACATGGTCAACGGTGAAAGCGCGGACATCTAACCCGCCTGCGACGTCAAGCCCAGTTCCGTCCATCCCAACATACAACCGAACCAGTTTACCCTCGCGAGGTATAGCCATCACTGTACCTTGCGCTGAGCGAATCACGCAGACCTTGCGAATATCAGGAAAGTCGGTCTTGGGAACAGTATCTATCACTCCTGATTCCGTCTTAGTGGCAGGCCATATTTATGACAGTCATAGGGGCTCTCCAAAGGCCACTCACCCCAGGTCGAATCAGTGAGCTATCCCACGAGGGGAATGTTGAGATGTTTCCTTGTCCAGCTATGAGCTCCATCACAGGCAATTAGGTAGCGAGCTTGGATAATCTCTGGCGGTACAATATCGTCATCCACATCCCTTATCACGACCGTGACAGGATACGCAAGAGGTTCCTCGACAGCTTCAATATTAACGCGCAGGTCGATCGGCCGCTTCTTCCATGACACCTCCACGTTACCATGTCTATGTAGAGCTGCTACAATATGATGCTCGATCCTACCTATCTCACTCATCAATTGTTACTCAATTCAATCATTTTCTGCTCCTGAACCTTGGTCCAGTGTCACCTCTCTTGGCTTTTGCAGCTCCGGAACTCGATCGGGCACCGTCATGTATCGAATAAGGCCTCCTTGACTATCTGGCTCCCAGAGGGTAATTTCTTCCACTCGATGTGACTCACTGCGGATGGCATCCCCAATACCTAATGTATCGAGCACCTCAAGAGAGATGCTCTTAAGTCCATCGGCCTTGCCTCTCTGGATAGTCCCGGACTTTTTGTCGATCACTCGGACCCGGGGACTCTTGCCACCATTGAAGCAATTTGCAGCTGTGAGCCTAGTGACCCATCAGTTGTCAAGTGGGAAACCCTTTAGCTTCATCAAGGATCCCAGACTTTACTTACCCTGCCGGGCATGCGCCGATAATTAGCACGTCGACCTTGTCTACCATGGTGCAAAGGACGCGTGAAAAAAAAGATATAGCAAATTCATAGAAACGGCATACGATTTCAAGATACTAATAGCGTTGTTGTACGGTCATCTGACCCTGCTTATGAGACAATCAAGTTTTCAGAAAGTTGCATTCTTACTGTACTGCCCTGTTATCAACGGCTAGATCAGGATTTTGAAAACTGAAATGCTGAGGGATCTTGGTTAGAGTGGCAACCGTTAGGGTTCACACCAAAGATTCGGCTCTGTCGGGTATGCCGAGACAAATATGGCTTGCTAGGCTTGAGTACCAATATTGCGTATGAGTCCTGCGTTAGTCTCACAGTCATCCCTTCATTCAGTGCAGGGTTTGCCGGTCGTCTCCTCACTCAGTCTCGTCCTCAGTCTTGTCCAAATGCCGGAAGAGCACCCACAACAGTACAGTCGTACCACCCAGAAGCCCGGCTACTATAGCAAAGGAATCAGGCCGGGTAGTAACTGTCACTTACGAATTCAGGAAAAACGCCTACCTCCTATCAATTGATCGCGTGGGGTATTGAGACAGGATTGCTCTAGTTCGTTGTAACTATCCGCGGCCATTGCGAACCTTTCTGGCGCAACGTAACGCAGGCGTGGATGGGCGTAGACAGGGTCCTAGGGTGGGACCAGGGTCTATTGGGGAAGAGGAAAGATGGGACCAGAAGCAGGATGAATGTCGAATGGGCCGTTGTTGCATTGAAGTGTGAGGGATAGATATTAGGTTGCCGTTTTCGCAATTTTTATGACATATGGCGATTGGAATATGTAGACTTTCAACATCATCCTCATTCATGATCTAAAGTCAATGGCGTCTATCGTTACCAAAATCGGAACCAATGCTGCGAAATATGCTCCTATGGTTTAAGTTGTAGAAAGTCAATGAAAACAACTATACTAGCGTAAAGGGGCGGCAACTCGACATTAACTGGGGTATATCAATCATGTTTTAACCCAGGCTCTGCTGTAGAAATGGCCTCTGTTGCACTAAGCTCACCAAACTTGCGCAGGATCCAGTAGGCTATAGTTGTCCGAGTTGCCAATCTGGTTGACGATGGTGAAAAACTCATACGACGAGATCCCGATATTGTCAAGGAACTCTATGTCACTAGTCGTGTGATGAAGAACATCAGGCGAAGCGCTTGGGTCTCTAACCAACGACACATCGATTGGCTCAGTCTGTACCGTTGATCCCCCTATTTGATATTCTCCGTCGCAGGGCGTGGGCTGCTCGTTCTCCGTTGGACTGGATAATGTTAAAGTTTGCAAACCACGCCGCTCGATCCGTGTTGCGAGATCCTTGAAAAGTGTTTCTAGATGTGCCAGCTCGCTCTTCCGCACCGCAGCCAACCTATTACCTTTGTAGATCATCTCGTCAAGGATCGCATGTACTTCCTCACTGTAGGTTTGGCCTTCAGTAGAGTGCGGAAACAGTGTATCTGCCATCGCTAAGTGAATCGCAGCAGCATAGGTGAACTCCAAGTCAAAAGGAAGGAAGACCTCTGTGTTATGATTAGTTCAGCGCATCGTTGGTTTCTGAAAACAGATAGAGAGACTGTACCCAGGAGACTGTCTTCATGCGTCAAGATCTGCAGCGTTTTGGCAGCTGACTTGATCCCCGTTGATATTAGACTCTTTGTAGGAGCCAAAAAGTTCTGCCAATCTTCTTCTCCATGATCAAGCTTATCTAGTCTTTCCTTGAGCACAGAGAGGAGCAGGGGTCGTGTGGCAACAATGACACACTTTGCCAGGTTAGCCCAGAAAGCGACACAAGAAGCGAAGTATAGATCATGGCGCGCTATGGTAATTTTGCACTGACCTGGTGGTATAGCAATGTGATGTGCCGTGTCCCTTTGGGCATCGTATCTACGGAATTCTCATTCTTCATATGAATGATGCTTTCAATTTCTTGCGCGTGACCAGCCATCGTATGCAAAATGGATCTGGTCGTCTCCAAGAAGGTTCCTAGTTGTGTTTTCTCGTTCTTGTAAATGTCTACAACAAATTTCAATCAGCTCACTGCCTGTAGTAAAGGTTGATGAACGTCTAGATCGCCTTACAGGTCAATATAGAAGAGAGCAGATGTGATAGTCTGACCTGCAGACTTAGTGTAACGTCTCGCTGCGGACATGAGCTTGGTGGATCAATCAAAGTGGTTATGTCGCTATCCTGCGTTGTCATCGGTAGCCCTAATGATGAGGAGAGATGGCGATCCATGATGTATAAGGTCCACCAGAGATTGCGACACCGAGTGACCGTCGCTGCGCCTAGCTCATCTTCGGGAAGCTCGGTATGCAAACCTTCCAACTGAGCTATTCGTATGGCCTGGCCGACCTGTGCAAAGAAGGATTGTCAATGGCACACAGTGGAAACAAGGTCGTCTGAATGTACTGGAGCGCTTTACTCACATATACGTGCGCTGACTCTCGATGATCAATACAATATAAGTAGAGCCCAGCCAGCGCCAACGTCTCACTTGCCAATAGACTGTCTTTCCAAAGGGAAGCGTGGTCTGGCATAAGCGCCATTGCCCGTACAAAGAACTTCGATCCAGGCGGGTCTTTTGCATTCCTTGACTGCAAGAGAAATGCATTTCCAAATGCCAGGACAAGTAGGAACTGGACGAACCAAAGGCGCGATTCGGTAGCCTTCTGGGCGGCATCTCCGTAATAGAATTCGTGAATGTGTCCCAAGAAAGTACGTTCATCAAAGAAACGATATTTCACACCAAGATGGAATTTAACTGTGTCAAATAAATAAAGCGCATGATCAACTGAAGGCAAGCCGCTAATATCAGGAGGTCCTTCAGCTGTGGCCTGCTTCCAACGGAGCGGGTATATGTCTTGGTCGAGCTGGCTCGGGGTTGTGTAGGGCGATTCGAGTTGCAGCTTCTCGGACAACATGACGCTAAGCCTCGCGGTAAAAGACCACACTGACGTAGGGGCTAGCCAAACTGTACGAAGACATGTTAGTGGTTGTACCTCTGTGCCGACATATCTATCACAAAGACTAGGAAACGTACTCCAGTTGCGTTTGTTCTTATATGTATTCTTGATGGTTCTGGAGGGTAAGGTGAACGGGCTTGTCCAGATGCTACGTGCATGGTCAATCGTTTTCGGGGGTAAAGATAGTTCCTCCCTTGGAGGGTAAGCCAGCTCTGTGTCCCTTTAGCCCCGGAGACTCAATGCAAGGACGGGTTGGGAAGCTCACCTTCAGACACATCGTCGACCTCGACTACAGACCCAAAGGCTGTTTCCGCAGAACGTTTGGTGCCCGTTGGACTCTGGTGCGCTTTCGCCTGGCGTCGCAGTTGCTGTAGGTAACTGGAACCAACACGAGCGTGGTTATTTTGCTGTTGCGCAATATGACTTCAAATTTGCTACCGACGAACCTTTCCGTGACTGTGATCTTGTTGCTTCCTTCCACAAATCGGCATTTTACAGCACGACGTTGGCAGTTGGCGCACGGCTCTTTGCCTGAGCACTTGATTTTGCTCTGGCGGCAAGCAACGCATCTGGTGATGCCAAGCACGTTAGATTAAAGATAGATTAAAGCGGATGAAGGTTACTTACGCGTTCGCTGTTCGCCTTAGCTTGCGGGGTTGGATTGACACCTGTGTTGCCATAGCGCACCGAGACTTGATGCCTATCACGGTGATGTTTGAGGTCGGAGATCGCCACAGGGATCGGATATGAGTTGATAACGTGAGGGGAGGCGCTTTCGCACTGACCTCGTATGTCCCCCGCATAGTTAGAGGCTAGTTTCATCTGCCTCTTCATTGGTAGTTTCAAATGAATGGAACCGCCCAGTCTATCTTCTTGTGGGGTTCCACTAGGATGAGAGACTTGGAGGACTGACGATCTTCAGCCCTAGCCCTAATCAAAACGAGTGAGTATTTCCACCGAGCATTCATGTTGGGGCTCTTCTTCCTGTGGACAGAAAGAACGCCTGCAGATCTCGGGGCAGCACTTTATTGTTATCCTTAATTTGGCTTGTTATTTGCTTAATTCTACGGTCCGTCTCTCTCTCTCTCTCTCTCTCTCCGCCCCTCTTTCACTTACTTTTATCTTCACCTTCTCCCATGGTTTGCCTCCCCTCTAGTGGGTCTTTGTCATATGCTCATGAGCCAGTGACATCGATATCAGTCCCTTGGGTCGACATCCGGCATGGAGCTTGTGCCAAAATTGGACGCGGGGGGTGGAAAACCAGACAAGCGATGGGATCCACATACCAAAATAAGTAAGCGAGAATGTAGACTCGGATAAGTACCGTCTTATCGTCCTATGCCCCATTGGGTGCTTTAATCCCGTCTAGGTGGAGCCGACTGGACATTTTTCCTCTCTCTTGATCCTGGTTGCCATTGGAGTGGGCAACGTAAGGTCGGGCAAGGTAAAGGACAACAATCAGAGGGGTATTATATATATGCCTTAGCTATCCTCTACGTGGAGGAGACGTGTTGTGTACTAAACATGGCATGGCCCCGTTGGCACTGGATGTAGTTTTATTGTTCCAGCGGTCTATGCGATATAGAATATATTTCTTGGTTGTGTCGGTCAACTAGCCTAAGTGACTACCTCTTCTTTCACATACAGAAAAAGCTTTTCTGAAGATTATACAACGTCAAATTCGACAGTTCCCCAGCCCTCAAATGTGCAAGTCCAATGGCCGGCTTCCTCCATGGGGACGGCCTGGAAGCAACTACCAGGCAGAATCACTTGGCCTGGTTTGAACTCGATATCATAGGCAGCCAGTCGATTGTCCAACCACGCAGTAGCAGAAAGAGGATTTCCGAGGATGTTGGCAGTGTTGCCGGACATAACTTCCCGATCGTTAAAACGCAATGTGCCGCAGGTGTCGCGCAAGGTAAACTCAGTAAGCTTCCGTGGAGTACCACCCAGAATCACCAAGCCAGTTGAACCGTTATCAGCCAAGGTATCGGGGAGGTCGATCGCCCAATCCTTTACACGGGAATCAATAATTTCAATGGCGGGAATGGCATAATCAACAGCATTTATGACATCGGCAACGGTGCAGTTTGGCCCACGCAGAGGTCCCCGAAGCACAAATGCCGGCTCTAACTCCACGAACGGTTTAATATATTGCTTCCGGTCGAAGGTTGTCCCTTCATATACAAATGTACTCGCCAAAAGGAACCCATAGTCCGGATGATCAAGTCCGAACGCATCCTGCATCACCTTGGCGATGTTTCCTAATTTATATCCCACTAATCGATCGCCGCTCTTAACGGCTTCCTCAGCAGTGATCCGCTAAACCGCGAAACCCCCCTCGGCATCCAGGGCGGGCCATATCTTCGTGGGTCTTTCGATTGGTGTTTGATTGCGGCGGGCAGCGCGCAGGGCAAGGGAGACTTCGCGCAGTTCACTGGCTTGCATGGTTGCGTTCCAAAGTTTTCAGAGGGTACAGGATGTATAGCAAGTGAGGAACGTAATACTAGTAGATTTAAGGTATTTATTGTAAGGATCTTCGAAGACTGCAGGCGCATGGAATCATATATATTGTTTAAGGATGCTTGAGTAGTAAAACATGAACTTCCATTCGCACTGTGTGTCTCTTATACTACAACAATCGCAAGGGTATCCCGACGTACCTCGACCTAGCACCACATCTCGATTGAGTTGTATAGGAGTTTTAATGAAGGTCCCGCGCTAGTTGATAGCTGGCAGCCGTTCCCCGAGCCTATCTCGGATTCCTCAACCCATGTCCCGAAAGACCCGCTAGGCCCTCACTCTTTTCATCGATCTTTCCGAACTGGGCACGCATCATTTCTAGAACAATGTCACGCGGCTGGAGATACTTCTATTCCCAATGTAATGGCAGAGCACGGATCTTCGATTCTGCAGATTCGGGTTGGGGCTAGAACCCGTGTCGGATTTCTCGGCTGGGACCGGCAACAGTAAACGTTCCACGGAAGCCGTGAAAATCTTCTGATTGAATTCAGACAGAGAGGGTAGGGCCATAGACCCGTAAAAGCGTTATCTTTCTTTTGTATCTTTACTAGATGTTCTTGTTACACATCTCTTCAAGGCGCATCACGCCCAGCTCCCGGAAACTTCATTTGCATGAAGGACCGCGGTCACGGTTCAATAATATGGAATACGCCAGTGCCGAGTCAACAGACCCCCTATATAATGCCCAGATGCTCAGAATTTCAGTTATCAATCTTTGACTGTCCAATGACCATGAATGGTACATCGGTTAAGACAGTATATGGGCTTTCTCGGTGGCATCTAAGATCATCCGCAAATGTACTAAGAATGGAGTGCCAATATTCTGCCTCTTGGTCGCCTTCGCCTTTGGCTGCCTCTCGTAACTCAAGCTGGGGAGCCGTTCCGTCTAAGTCTTAGACTGGTAAGTGACCTCACAATGGACCTGGATTTATACTAATCGTGGTAGGCTCACAAACCTGATCACTGGCGGTGGACTAATAACCTATATCGGCATTTGTGTTAACTACATGTTCCTCTATCCAGCCTTGGGGGTACAGGGCTACGATCGAAAGAAATAGGAGAGTAAGAGAGCATTGATTTCTATAAACGATTTGTGGAAATACTCATTATCCCTAAGATGTTGAAGCGCTCCCTGGTTTAATGCTATCCCTCGGTGTCTATATCTCGGACGGTTTGCCCACAACGACATGGTAAGAAGGATTATTGCCGACCGTGTCATTTAATTATTGTTTTGCTTCTACTATATGATGTTGGAACCATTGGGGACCGATACAAGGTCCTGTGGGCTTTAATATCGTTGCAATTGCGGTAAACTTGGGGGATGTTAGCAGTGGTAACACTTTTGTCGTGTGATATTGGTAGCCTGGAAACAATAGTTCTACAAAGAGCATCATACCATTAAATCCGATAGGGGAAGCCAATCTACAGTGCTGACATGCTTTATGGCTTTTGGTGCGACACAAACTTGTGGTAAACGTGGATACTATCCCCCGATGGCGTAGGAAAATATGTCAAGAATGACGAACCTCGGAAGTTCCCAATGCGGCATAAAAAATGAGAGCACTCCACCCGATAGCAGGCCATTATCCCCGCATTGAGAGATCAACTGCGGGGATACCATATGCTTAAGAGTGGTACATGTCTATCCCTGTTCAGTTATCAAGACTAGAAGAACGAAGAATACCTCCTACTGACCATTGTTACCATATCACCATGACGCGACTTCCACTCCCAACGCCAGCCCCGATCGATCCCTTGTATCAGCCCACGGCATCCATAGAAAAGATCCCCGCGACAACACCGATTGAGTATATCCTCGCAATCCTCGAGCGTGACGGTGGCGTAATCCTCACAGACCTTGTTTCAAAGGACGACCTATCTGCGATCGAACAGGAACTCCAACCCTGGAATGAAAAGCACCGTCGCCACCTCGACCCGACTGTCGACGGCGATGCATTTACCACGATCCCTCCCCAAACAACACTTGTGCCCGGGTTGGTTGGGAAGTCTAGAACTGTCGCGCAAATCTGCGAGCACCCGGTTCTCGAGGAACTACGCCAGCGAATCCTTCGCGACGACTTTGTTCTATATCGTGAGGGCAACGCCGAGCCCAACACACTCGATCCGTTGCTGAGTCTCAGCGTATCGATGAATATCGGCTATGGAGCCCCGAGACAACTTCTGCACCGTGATGATAACGTTCACAATATCCGTCATACACGAAATCCTTTCGTCCCATGGAGCTTCAAGCAGGTGAGCCAGTTTGGATGCTTAATTGCCGGGTGTGAGGTGACGCGAGAAAACGGGGGGACAATGTTCGTCCCGGGAAGTCATAAGTGGGACGATGATCGGTGGGCTCGTGCGGATGAAGTTTGCTTTGCAGGTATATAATCCCCGTCTGCGTGGGTTATGCACGATCCCATAAGATGCGCATGTTAACTAGAAAGAAATGTCGCCCGGCTCGGCCTTGATATTCCTCGCTTCAGCCTTCCATGGCGGCGGGCACAATTCCGTACCTGACTCTGTCCGAACGATGCACAGTTTATTCTTTATCCGTGGCCATCTTCGGACCGAGGAGAACCAATTCCTCGCTGTCCCAAGAAGCAAGGTCCGGGAGATGAGCCCTAAGATGTTGGAACTCTTGGGTTACAAGAAGCCGACCACAGCATTGGGCATTGTAGATAACATGAGCCCAGACGAGGATGTGGATGGTATCTGGGCGAGAGCAGTGCAATAATGATTCATCGATGCCGGTTATGCGCGCCGACGCTGCATGAATCATGTCTTTACGTGTTGATGTTGTGATATTAGTGTCAGCTTTAAGTGACGAAATCATGTAATATGTATTATTCTTGCGCCGTCACCCCATTCGCGCTTCTTCTGTCGATATAAGCAGGATGTATGTACCTTTCCTTATTACTCTACTGACTTATATTGTTCCTCCTAGTGGCCACACCTCTTCATAATTCATGAACTATTAGACGCTCAATATCTGTGCGTAATGTACATACTATACGAATGCCTATCTTCTCAACTTCTACTAGTCACCACATTCCCGGTTAGTATCCGGGTGTTTCCAGACTCTGTTAAAAGGTCACAACGCCATTTCCCAGGTACGAGCGATGGTACACCTTTAGAAATTCATAAAGTAGTATGTACAGGAAATGGTAAACTACTATTATAGGCCATTTAATGTTATAACACTCACTTAACTGGGAACTTGCCATATGGGGGCTCTGGTCTGGTACTATACAAACATCCAATTTTCCCCTTGTTCATACAGGTATTCAATCCAAGGCTGTGACGCTCCCTCTGGGGTAGCTTGTCGCTGCCAAATCTTCTGGAGAACCTCTAGCGCGTGGCTAACATTATGAGCGCGCCAAAAGCTCCACAGGTGCTCAAACACTTCCATAATTGCCGATCTTTGGTGTTCGGTTTGTGCCTCGGCTCCAATAATGAATGCTGGCCACAAGAGCCCTTTGAAGTGAGTGTCCCCCGGACCTACCGAGGTGAAATGGCCAATGATGGAATCCAGTGAGCCGGGCATATGCGACTCGATTGGGTAATACTGGGGTGATGTATGGGACAAGGCCTGGGACATGTAGATCAACGCGGCTGCTTTGTATATGCATGCAACATGGTACCGGACGGTTAGGTAAGACGTATTGGGCGTTGCAAAAGCCCATCTTTGAGGCGAAAAGTTTTCGATCTGAGAGAAAAGGTGAACGATAACGTCAGGCCCCGGAGCGACCGGACCTGAACAAGCGGAGTTGACAAGTGACAGTACGTAAAGGACGTCTGCCGGACAGCCCGTCCATGTTAAGGACTCGGAGCGCTTGAGGATGTCAATGATCGGTATTGATGTGAAGAGAGGCTTATATTGTTGTTTGGACTTTACCAACGTCGAACCGAGAATTTCGAAGCTGCGATGTTAGGCATACATCAGTTCAAGAGGGGATGATCGTTTATACTGACATGGCATAGCTCGTGTCGAAATATTCATAGAATCGGCAAAATGCTGCAGTCAAGCTTGTCGATGGTGCTAAATCCATAGACAGGATTTGGGCCTGCATAATCTGCTTCAGTCCGTTGAGATGATACGCCCAGGTGTTTCTCCCGCTTTCCAAACATGCCAGCCAAATGAACAGGAGGACGGAAGCAATAACGCCATAAGAGTCATGACATAATGCCTCATGGTACCTAGTTCTTAACAAATAAAGAGCCTGTTGTTTGTGATAGAGGTATTGGTAAAACCGGGGTGACTCTCTCGCCCCTTCCGCAGTGTCCAGCGCTCCAGGAAACTGCTCGTTACCGATTAACCGAGTACTATTTAACTCCCGCTGCGCCTGGTGCAGCGCTGCAATGGAAACCATAATATGACAAAGACCCCGACTGGACGGGATTAGGCTCATGAATTCCTTGAATGGGTTATTCGGTCCTAGGTCATAGATCACACACTCTGGGCTGCAATTTCGCTCAACTACGCGCCACGATCAGTATGTTCTCGTGCCATGTGGAGGTTAATCTACATACAGTATGCGATGTTCTCTCGCATCGGCCTCGTTAGGTCTTGGAGACCAGGGTCAATTAGTAACCGCCCGATTGACATTGGCGATCCAACGCTTGGCACGGTCTTTCCCATCCATTTGCCGCGGCTGGCGATGCTATTCGTCCACCGGAGAGGCCGCTCCCTGGCGTATCCGAGACATTGATCTTGCATTATTTCACACTTGCGACACGCTGGAAGCAAGCGGTCGCATGTTCGGCGACGGCGACGACACGTCCAGCATGATTCTGCGGCGTAAGTCGAGGATGACCCGTCCATCGCCCAGGGTGATTCATGCCAACGGTAGAATTGGAAGAGTGAAGGTTTAGGGCCGGCAAGAGTCATCCGTGGGGTTTCACTATTCCTCTCTCGGCAGCACCAGGCAAAGAGCCAATGAGCGTTGCTTAGAAAGCACGCAATCAGGCCTTTCTGCCTCAGGTGTGCAGGCAGCACATCGGGGACCCTCGGCTTTTCCTTTATTCTTAAATTACGATAGACCAACTCGCTAATATAGAACACTGAAAGGTTTCCTATGTGCCCCTAGTTCAGTAGAATTCAAAGCACTGACGGATATAGAAAAGTCATGAGCTCAACCGATTACATGGTCCATCACATCTCACAGAAATATATCTCGAAGTCGACCTCCGGGCTTATATGATAACATCTTTTACATAGATCACAAGGTTCAAGGCAATGCTGTTAATAAATCACTGCTAGATAGATATGCCACTAATGTTTCTACTTAATATACCTAGAACTGACAATACTTCATTCACCTAGAAACTGGAGTCGACCCAATCATTGTAGTCATCTCCTAAGACTGTTTCTTTTGTCACAGCAGCATCAATGGTGTTCAGATACTCTCGTTCCGATGTGTCGGATCCAGCACCGGTATTATTGAACTCATAATAAAGCGGCGTTGCACCATCCGCCATAGAATGCCAACCTTTGGCGTTGATGATATCGGATAGGACTGAGTACTGATAGATCACGCGGGCGAGGACTCGCCAGGGTCGGCCCAGATAGACATCACCAGTCAGGTCCGCTCCGGACGCTGCCTTGATATTGCAGTGATCAATGGCGTACCACGCAGTGTCAGACGTCTCCTCTCGCGACATGGCGGTGATGTAGCCAGCACCATTCGAGACTATATCGCAATTCTCAAACCAGGCAGCGGCGTCGCCAAAGATATAATCGACCGCGCCTGTGAATAGATTAATACCGATCTAAATCTGGCTCAAGGCCCTGAAGCCGGAAAAGGGCACTGCGTAACGCACCTTCAATGCGAGAATTGATATAGTACTGATGGCCGGATTTGGCATACAGAGTATCCTGGTACCCTGTGAATTGGCAGGCATAAAATCCAAGTCGGTCGGCATTGGCGACAAGTCTAGTATCGGGAGCAGCTACATGTTAGATGTATTTTTGGGTTACTCGTACACATAGTGGAAAAGACTAATCGCTTACGCAACGGCCTGCGCGCCCGACCCATATCCATTCGCTATATTGATGTTGTATACCGAAACCAAGTCCGACTTGATATTGACAGTGGCACTACTATCGAGAGAGCCAGATTCTGGAGATGATAAGGTATGGGTGATAGTGACGGTATTCTGCTTATATGTTTCGGTATCATTGGTCTCCCCATATAGCGTCAAGCGGCCCGCATAGTCAATAATCAGCTGCTCTTCGTAGGTGCCGGCTGCAATGTAAATACATGCGTCTGTCGTCGATGAGCCCAGAGCGTCGAGGGCATCGCTGATGGTTGAATAATTGCCAGACTTGCCTACCGTGGAACATCCGGATGGCGCACTGGTTCGACCCGAATCCCTGGGCAGCACAGATGCAGAGCTACAGAGACTGAAGCTCAACAGAGCAGTTTTCAGAAGGGCCCGGCGCATACTGGGTCGGCGTTGGAATGTGATAGGTAGATCGGATGCAAGCAGTCCTGTACCTGACTAGTAATGATGTTCATGAGCACCATTATAAACCCTGCACATTGGTCTGGTCCGGACTTAACACAGCAAACTGTTTCACATGTCTCGAACGACCTCTACGCCGTATCCAGATATATGGTGTTCTAGAATTCTTCCATCAATCGGCAAAGCGCAAGTGCCGGAGTCCGCGGAGGCCCACAGGTTAAAAGCGGGTGCTCATTTAGCCGGGCTATTCCTGCCCAATGTGTTCCACCCCGGACGACGATCAATTCCCTAATCTCGGTTGGAAGAGTAAGAGCAATTTAAGCAAAACAAGCTTTGGGCAGCGCGCGGAGGTGACGGACAATCTTGATGAACACGTTTCTCCGTCAAAGCAGCTTGTCCTTCCTGGAGTCCTGTGCAGCCCTCGTATTCGCAATGGCACCTGTGATCGACAAGACTGGCACAATGGTGGGACGTTGTTCTGACTGGAGGCGATGAATTCTGCGTCTTGAGGCTATATATTTGGCCTTTGTCGATTCTATCTTCCGTGGCGTACACAACAAATAAGCATTTGGGAGCTTGGCGTAAATCAGTGCGAATATGGTCGGCCTCAACAGCGTTTTACTGCTCTCACTATTTGGACTTAGCAGAGCGGCCCCATCGAGAAGCGAAACATCCCCGGATAGGACTATCAAGCCGCGTGCTGCTTGCACGCCCACTGCTGGTGGAAGCTCCTCGACCGACGATGTTCCAGCAATCCAGGAAGCGATCACATCATGCGGTGACGGAGGTACGATCGTAATCCCGGCCGATACGACATATTACTTGAATAGTGTGCTCGATTTCAAGGGCTGCTCGAACTGTGACTTCCAGGTGGAAGGGTTGCTCCAGTTCACCAGCTCCACAGATTACTGGAATGGAAAGACGGCCATGATCAGTGTCTCGGATATTGACGGGCTGAAACTTCGCTCGGTAACGGGCTCTGGAGTTATTGATGGGAATGGCCAAGAGTCGTACGTTGCTTTTCGTCTATATTGAACTATGTCTTGACTAACTGGCTTGCACAGATGGGATAAATTTGCAGAGGACAGCAGCTACAAGCGCCCGACCCTACTTTACATCACCGGGGGCAGCAAGATCGAGGTCTCTGGACTTCGACAGAAGAATCCGCCAAACGTGTTCATTTCTGTCAAAGGCGACACATCAAATGCCCAGTTTACGAGTCTGACTATGGATGCCACCTCAGAGTCGGACAATCTTCCGAAGAATACAGACGCCTTTGACATAGGCGCCAGTACCGATGTGATCATCTCATCCGTCGCTATCACAAACGACGATGACTGTGTGGCTTTCAAGCCTGGCGCAAACTACGTAACCGTTGAGGATGTGACGTGCACAGGATCTCATGGCATATCGGTGGGCTCACTTGGGAAGTCCAGCGATGATATCGTCCAGAACGTTTATGCTCGCAACATAACAATGATCAACTCGAGCAAAGCAGCAGGCATCAAAACCTACCCTAGTGGTGGAGACCATGGCGTGTCAACGGTGAAGAATGCCACATTTGAAGACTTCATCGTCGACGGCTGTGATTATGCCTTCCAGATTCAAAGCTGCTATGGCGAAGATGATGAATATTGTGAAGAAAACCCTGGCAATGCCGTGCTGGAAGGCATTGTTGTTAAGGGATTCACGGGCACCACGAGTGCCAAGGAGGACCCTGTGGTAGCTAATCTGAATTGTGGCTCTAAGGGCACTTGTGATGTCACCATCAGCGGCTTCGAGGTGAAAGCTCCATCGGGAGATGCAAAGATTCTGTGTGGCAACACTCCTTCAGGCCTCGGCGTCACCTGTACCTCAGGTGCATCTGGGTAATTAGATAGCGAGATTAGACATAGCATACACCAAGCTTGGTGATCGTGCTTATTTCGTGAGTTAGAAGGAGGGAATTCGGTTGTCAGGGAGAGTAAAGCTTAGTTTCTGGAGGTATAGGGAATTCTTCTTTCTTCGGTACCTTCCTCTACGAATATTGAGGGACATAATTAGAGTAACTCAAAGAACGGAAACGTTCTTATGAAGAACGATATGAATTTAACGGGACCTGTAAGTGGACTTAGTAGGAGCCATGAACATGAAGGCTCATCAGCCGAGTTTGGTAAAATGTCGCTAATGAGAATTCTATTCTCTATTGCTCTAGCTTTAGTTTGTATTGTGTATCGCAAGGGCCGTAGCATCAACATGCATGAGCATACATCACGTAGCTGTAGGCCCTTGTTGAAATAATGCCAATGCAGTACTCGCAATCCTGCCATGCTTACCTATCTAGTCCTTTACCAGTAACCAACCATTCGTAGAGTAGGTTTGGGATCACCCAATGGTTGCTTTTGATTCAAGGCTCTTCAGAATCAGCTTAACCTCGTCATCTGCTGCTTCGAGTATATACTCCGGTGGGTACTGCGGCTCCCAGCCGATCTGCTTGCCATGGACTGCAGTGAAGGTACAGCTGGACTGGGTTAACATTTATGGCAAGATAGCATTGAGGATAGTGAATCACGTACTTGCCGCCCACTTGAAAAGGTACAACAGATGGGACCACTCCCAGTGCTTCGCCCATTTTTCCCAGCACTGTTTCGTCTGCCTGTGCCACCGTACTATCACTAACCACACCACGTTTTGATAAAGCTTTAGCAAAAGCGTCATATATGTCTTTCCAAGCTATACTTCCGGAGGCAGCAAGGAAGAACCCATTCCTGTTATACCCGATATCATTCCCGAGCAAAATCTGTCGCAGAATCTGCAAGTATAGAGCAGTGTTGTCAATAATGTGGCAAACAGGCCAGATCTGGCGGACATGTTAGCGCTATGACAGACAGTCCTTGATGATCAACATGAAACTCACGGGGTTATCGGAATCCACCGTATAGACACGACCTGTCTTCTTCGCGGCTTTCACCACTGCAACATCCTGAATAGAAGTGCGGTTCCCGAACCCCTCCCCTTCTCCATATACTATGCAGGGAGCAAATATGTAACTCCGCACTCCGTTCTCCTCTGCGGTGTCAATAACCGCGACATTGGTCCTGAGACCCTATTCAAGAGGTGAGTGAGTTTGGTATTCGTGTCGCAGTACACGCCAAGTCAGGAAGATTGATACCTGAGTAAACCATGTATACGGCGGGGCAGCACTTTTCTGGATCTCATAGAGCTTCGGATCCGTGTCAAGTAAAGTGCTTTTATCTTGAACACCCCCATGTCGACTGAATTGTTTGGCACCGGTTGTATGTAGGAAATGCACTGTTTTACCTGTGCGTTCCTTTACCTTCCCAAGGGCCCTGATCATCACTTGCTGATGTGTCTGACCGTAAGCGTCGATCAGGAAATATATCACAGAAATCTCTCTGTCAATAATTGCGTTGGTTAATTGATCATGCTCCGCAATGTTGCAGAGTAAAGGCTCTGCGCCATATTCCTGCACACATTGGGCTTGTTTTTCAGAGCGAACAAGGGCGTAAAGCTTGCCATATGGAGGCAAATCTGTCTGTTTCAAGCGCGCGAGTAGAGTGCCCCCAAGATAGCCCGAGGCGCCGGTGAGCAGGATGTTGTGAATCATGGTTGGTTTGAGAATTTTCCATGGTGATGTGTATAGCGGATGTTTTATATTTATACCTTCTTTCTCTAACGCTTCTCCCTAACGACGTCATCCGCCCTGGACACTGCAGGTGGAGATATGCACGTCTACTGCCGAATCCCAGGCGTCGACTGAAAATCGTGCAGCTCCGATTATTAATTCTCCATTATTAATAATTAGTAATTGACGATTCTTTACAATCTAATCTGCGCTCTGTGATGTGATATCAGGTTTGTAAAGTCCAGATTTAGTCTCTGTATGTACAAGCTTTGCCCCACTGTATCCTGACGCTAAAGCATCAGGTATTATTTCCAGCGGTAGATGATTCCCGTAAGTTATCAAGCAATACACCTGCGAGTTGAAACCTACGTCCGAATTTTTTGATTGGGTGTGTATGCTGCACTGTTTAAAAGTTGCCTCTACTCTACATCACCTTGAAACTGGTTTACCCCATTCCTCTGTTGGCCAGTTATTATGCCATGTATAGAGGTCGATACTCGTGCTTCTACTACAACTTCAATTGCAGAAACCGTCTTCATGGCAATCTGTGAATCATCATCCTCTGGTATGTATTTGTTTTTTCCTCTCCTTGGTCGCGACGTCGACTATATGCGAGCATCATCACCAATTCAAAAGTACCGTATTCCCATATCGTAGTGATCAGCCGCCAAGAACGGGACTAGTCGAAGATAAGACGCAAGGGACTCGTCTTTCTGCACTTCCCTCCCTCTTTGGCGTCGTAGCTTGGTCACTCATGGTCATATGCCACGACAATCGATGGATATTGCGAAACGGGCGGAATACCGATTCACTTTCACGTCGAAAGAGATAAGATGAAGGTCTCACTATGGCTGAACATTCTCGGCGTAAATTTATCCCTCGCCTTGGCCGTGGGAACCAATTTTCAAGCCTCGTGCCAAGCCTTTTCACCCGATACGAGGACTACGGATGCACATCGTGAATTCGTTGAATATGTGCCCGCGGGGACAAATCTCAGTTTGCCGTACAATGATGCAACCTGTGCTCGCCCGTATCAAGTTGTGCCGGTAGATCTTTGTCGTGTCGCATTATATCTGGAGACATCCAACAGATCAAGCGTGACCACAGAGCTCTGGCTCCCTCGAAATTGGACTGGCAGGTTCTTGGGGACTGGAAATGGCGGGATCGATGGCTGTATGTTAGCACCTGTCGAGAACAAAAATGTTCGTGATTGTGAAGGCAATCTCATGATAAGTCACTGAACAGGTATAAAATATGAGGATCTGGCATACGGGGCCGCGAACGGATTCGCCGTGGTCGGGTCGAACAACGGGCACAATGGCACGACTGCCGTCTCATTTTATGAAAACTCGGATGTCCTCGCCGATTTCTCTTGGAGAGCGTATGTCATCCTGTCGACGCGTGTGTTGATGCAGCTCTAGATAGCTAACTGTTAGCAGGCTTCATCTTAGCACGGTGATAGGTAAACAAGTCACCAAGGCATTCTATGGGCGACCGCATACAAAGTCATATTACCTGGGTTGCTCTTTAGGGGGACGGCAGGGGATCCACTCCGCTGTGGCCTTCCCCAATGACTTCGATGGTGTTATTGCGGGATCACCGGCACTAGACTTCAATAATCTTGTCTCCTGGAGAGCAAGCTTCTTCCCTATTACGGGTTCCGCTGACTCCGCTAGCTTCATAAGTGTATCAACATGGAAGAACCTGATTCACCCTGAGGTGTTGGTCCAGTGCGATACACTTGACTATGTCGATGACGGCATCATTGAGGATCCTACCTTGTGCGATTTTCGTCCGGAGGTGCTAATGTGCACAAACGATAGAATAGATAACTGTCTGAGCCCTGCGCAGGTAGAGATCGTCCGGAAGGTGTTTAGTCCGATGTACGACGAAAATGGGCAACTGATATTCCCCGCAATGCAACCAGGAAGCGAGCTGGAGGCCGCAGACAAGCTTTATTCAGGAAAGCCATTCAGCTATTCTAAGGTATGTGCTCCTGGTCGACCGTAGTCGTATCGTGTGCTTATCTGAGATATAAGGAATGGTTTCAATATGTGGTGTATGATCCGTCATGGAATCCAGCCGAGTTTGATATTCATGACGCAAAGGTCGCGGATGACTTAAATCCACAGAGGATCAGAACCTGGCCGAACGATCTGTCGAACTACAAAAAACGAGGAGGAAGGATAATCACCTACCATGGACAGCAGGATGGTAAAATTACAAGCTTCAACACGGAGCGGTTTTACAATCATCTTTCGACAACTATGAACATGTCTGCCTCCGAACTTGACCATTTCTTCCGTTTCTTCCGTATCTCTGGCATGTCCCACTGTAGCTCAGGTCCAGGTGCATGGGCATTTGGGCAGGGTGGTAGCCCTGTTCCAACAATGACACCGTTTAACAGAAATGACAATATCTTAGCTGCGTTGGTGGCTTGGGTGGAACTCGGCATAGCCCCAGAGACGATCACGGGGACAAAGTACGTGAATGACAATCCAGAGCTCGGGGTTGCCTTCCAGCGTCATCATTGCAGGTTAGTGATAGTGCACAAACTTGATACCCGCGAGTGGTGTTATTAATATCACACAGATACCCACTAAGAAGTACCTACGTCGGGGGGGAGCACTGGGAATGTGTGTTGCCATGACCACTGTCTACTGAAAGACATGAGTGAAAGTGCATCCTATATTTTCCCGCATATGTAGTTGCCTGGCCTTATGTTGAGCGCCCATTGGTAGCTTGTTTCATCTTTGCATAGGTGGCGTTCAATTCACGCGGCCCGTGTCTTTTCGTGCCTGATATTCACTGATTGATTTGTGTTCTTTCTCGCGTAATAACCAAAACACTCCTTTCGCGCACCGCGACTTCTTCCAACTTCGTATCCGTGAGATCTGTCTGTCTTTACTATCACCTCTTCGTACAACCCTATAACCTCGATGAAAGAACTGGTATTCAAGCCATACCACCCCACAGCCACATCAGAGCAAGAAATGAGAGGAACACGCCGACTGCGATGGGGAAGTAATCCTCGCCGTCCCTCACCAAAGAGGCAGAGGACTGAGACCCCTGATCTCTCTGCATCCAGCAATATGGAACAGTCCCCACTTGAACCGCCCGAGGCGAAGTCTGTCCAAACCAACGTCCCTATCGATAGATCTGCTAAAACCAAAAAGGAGTCTACCGCGGAGGCAGAGCAACGCACTGGTGATGATGAGACCCCAAAGGAAAGAACCCATTTGAACCATACGCAGCACAGCAGCACCGCTAGAGAAACTGGTGAGTTTCAAAACCAGCATCAGTCGGTCAATACCGAACGCCGTGGCTACCCACTGTTCTGGTTTCTTCCTGAACAATTTGCTGCTCACGCCTATCGACCCAGCGATATTCTGTCGTTCACGGAGTGCCCACCTGAAATCCCGACCTACAGGGAGCCTAGATTGGATACAGTCCCTGTTGGTATGGTCCTAAATGTCCCGGATCATGTGGATGAGAATTCTGGTGTCAGAACTCGTGTGGCATTTGATGTCGCACTTTTACATGTTTCTCTGGAGCCCCCTTTTTGGACCATCGCTAGCAGGACGGGACGACTCTTGAATAGCGCAGACTGCTGCCTTGACCCTAGCTTTGCTACCGAAAAGCTTAGACTGATCAAAGTCAGAGAGATGATACACGCTCACATAATCGAATTGACCACATACCGTCATAATTTCCTCCTGTTGTTACGCTCTTGGCGCAAGGAACGAAGGCTTTGGGAGGTTCGGCTAGTGCTCGCTCAGATCAGACGAGGTAACAACTCGATATTCCAGCATCCTCTGTCACACGAAGATCTTGACCATCTCTGTGTTTGGTACAGAGAGCAACAAGCAGCCGAGGACCGTGGAGAGATTGACTCATCCTCGTTCGGCCGGGTTACTGGCATGGTGAATCCGTGTGCCAAGGAGATCGGAGCCAATGTACAAGGCGGTTTTGTGAATCAAGCGATTGTCACTCGCTGCGAGAAGCTCAAAGAGGCTATAAGGGGCGTTCTCGCGAGGATCACTATATTACAGGCCCAAGAAGACGAGCAGCGGCGGCGCCAGCGGGAGCAACCCTCCAGGCAGGAGCAAGGAACAGCTGATAGTGGAAATGATGGTACGAGCCTTCCCGGGGATACCTTGTTGGTAGATTTCGAATTTGATACTGAGGACCCCTTCCCTTCAGCTCCCGTGATCGATCCTCTGCCCACTGACCTCGCACATCGCGCGGCACACTATCACTGGCAAGTCGAAAGACATGGTGTTTGGGCCCCGAAAGGCTTGTTCAAGCGCGCGACCTATCTTAGAGCATTTCAGCTTGCGGCTCCGGATGATCTTTCTTTCTTCGATAAACCGAGAGCAGAGTGGCCCCGAGGACACCAAGGTCTGCTGCATGAACATGTGGACTATATCGACGATTTTCAAGTGAACCCTTGGGGAGTCCCAGCAACCCGTCTCACTCAAGCTCTACGCCACCAGCCTCGGTATACCGCTGATGTCATATATTCCAAGAAGGTCCGTATGATCCTCAAGAGTATTGAGAAATGGTATTTCACGAACAGAGAGATGGCGCTTGGCGGTATTCGAGATTGGCCTCTTCCGTGTGGTGTTCGAGAAGGTCTTTTGGAGGTACTCAGGGAACTCCAGTGATCTAAGTATGATCTTGTTCAGGCGGGCTTGTGAATGTTGGCTTCTCCTCTGTTCACTTCGTTCCGATCTTCAAGCTGTTTTCGTTCGTGATGGATACTGTCCCCTCCGTTTTTATTTTCTGATGTTCGTCGAGTGGAATCTTTTGGTCTGACTAACACATGGTGGGCTATTTGATCTGTTGTGATTTTAGCTGTTTCCCCGATAGTTTTCTCTTTAGCTGGATCTAAATACAATACAGATTTCAAAGCAGGATGTTCACACAAATCGCATTGCCTTTGGCAAGACCATCGCCCACCTTTGCAAGCGACTGTCGGCATATTCGTCAATCCAGTTATTACCACCAACTATTTGCTCGCCATGATTAGAGTAATAATATTGATATCCGTGTCGCCTCTGTCACCAATACTGGCGCTAGGGTCACTGTGTGCTCATTCGACCACTAACAGGTAGGATATTCTGTGACAAGGAGTACTCTAGCTGGAGTCTAGCTGTTATTCCGCGCTGGACCCATCGAATAGTCAGGGGTATTCGATTGTCCATCACTTCTATTTAGAATTTCCACCAGCAGCCCTCTTATAGCGATCCAAGGCGAGTGCCCGTCTCGTCGCATGATCCACGATCGGTCGCGGGTATCCATTCTTCTCAGCGAGGTCGCCCGCGCCGCGCTCATACGGATCATGAATAGCCGATCCCTGGATTTCGCGCAGCTCCGGTACCCAGCGCCGGATATACTCACCATCCGGGTCAAATCGCTCGCTCTGGCGTAGTGGATTGAAAATGCGAAAGTATGGTTGCGGATCAACTCCAGTGCTGGAACCGAACCCCCAGCCGCCGTGGTTGGAGGCGAAGTCGCCATCGATGAGGTGTTCCATGAAGTACCGCTCTCCACGTCGCCAGTCTATCAATAAATCCTTTGATAGAAACGAGGCCACGATCATGCGAGATCGGTTGTGCATCCAGGCGGTGCTATTTATCTGTCGCATGGCAGCGTCGACGATGGGGTATCCGGTTTTACCCTCGCACCACGCATTAAAATAGTCCTCATTGTACTCCCATTCAAGGTCTGTAAACTCAGACTTGAAGCATTTGTTCATGCTGTCCCTATTAGACAGGCCCCATATAAGCCATAGAGAAGTGACACATGCTTACCATATAAACGGCCAATGAACCAGTACATGTTTGTAAAAGTCCCTCCATGCCACCTCACTAATCCAGGACACAAAGCCCAGGTCATTCCGGTCCAGTTGATTTTTGTTCGCCTTCTTAGCTTTCGCCACTGCAGTTCTGGCACTCAACGATCCAGACGCAAAGTACGGACTCAAAACTGATGTGGTCTGCTTGGATAGTGAATTCCGCATATCATCGTAGTCCGTGGCATTCTCCTCCAGAAACCTTTCGAGGCGATCTAAAGCCTCATGTTCTCCCGCTGGATATAGTTGACGAAAATGTTCCCTCTCTTCTTCAGACAATCGCTTGTTATCCGGTGCTCCGGGGATCTCGCTTTCGAAAAGACCCTTGAAGACTTTCCGAGCATTACCAGGATTGGCGCCAGGCTCTTCCGACACTTCCAGATAATCTGGATTACCCATAAGAAACACCTGCCACGCGCGAAACCATGGACTGTATACAGCATACTGCTTCCCCTGTTGACTACTGAGTAAACCCGGCGGAACAACACAGGTATCATGGAGCAAGTCAAAGGCAATGCCGTTCTCGACACACAACCGAACCAGCTTCGCCTCTCGACGCAGCTCGTCAACTTCGTACTCAATGTTTGCAAACAGATGATTAGCACCCCACTCCTGACATAGATCAATAATGCGCTGTGGTATACCCCTCCGTTTCTCTTGCGTTTCCATGTACAAAGGAATGTCCAACTCGCCCAGGTCCCGCTTCAATTGCTCCAACGTCCGCAACGTCAGATCCACCCGCGCGGGACTGCTCAAGTGCGCTGTGAGATCCTCGGGCGAGAGAATGTAGAGCGCGATAAGAGGGATGGAATGTTCGCGCGCAACCTCATATGCCTTTCGCAAGGCACGATTATCGTGCAATCGGAGATCGGACTTGAACCAATGAACCACGGCCGCATTCGGCCGAATTGATAGACGGGCATCCACCGTTTCTTCACAGACCCTATTCAATGCCTCCATTGGCCGTTCCAGCGTGCCGTCGTTGTAGGCTTGGCATCGCTCGTTGCTCATCTCGGGCGGGTAGAACTGTCGCAAGACTATGCCGAATTCTTCCACTTGTCGCGCATTGGGATGCGGTGATGATAGGTCGGCCTTTCCCCGTTTGTTAGAGTGTGAGGTGCTGTTCGTTCCATTTTCTCTGGTAACATTTTGCGATGGCTTGCGCTTTTGAGGCATGTTGCGAACGATGGTGGGGGTCAGCGTAGACCGAGATCGCGATGAGAGAGTAGAGGAGTAGAGCAATGTAACGCGTGAAAGCCCAATGACTGGGGAAATTCTTCTCATTATAAACAAAGACTGTGGTTGTGATTGCGACGGCCCCTGGCGATCGCGTTGACTTCATTGACTGGATCGACACAATGAAACCCCTCTGACGTCAGGACCCGATCGACTTCTAAACGTGACCGATGAAACCTGAGAAAACAGGTCCACAACATTCCTGTTCTGGTCTGGAAATACACCCATGGACTCCTACTTAGTAGCAGTATGCAACTCTCCCTGTTCCTGGGATATGTTAAACTAGCGGTAGATTCCATGTTCTCAGCCATGTTTCACTTTCACTGCGCTTGTATGCATGCCTCATCTCCCTTTTACTACCTAGGAATCAGTAGGACCCGAGGTAGTGATAGAGATGCGGAACAATCGATAGTCGGAGATAGGTGAATATTCGGCATACCATTGGCCTCCATGGACTCTGCAAAGGAGATTGGGCCCATTAAGTCGGGCAATCCAACAAATTTCGGTGTGGCCCTACGTGGAGCACCTGCACGGAGGCGCCACGGTGACAAAAGACGGGGCAACTATACGCCTACCAACTCGATCGCGTACTAGAGCATTGCTTGAATGACTCTAAGGTCTAGCGTCCGGGCACTGTTTGTGGCTTAGTGCTTCTTTCGCGGTCAGCCTTGTCAGAGCAGCACATGACTCAGGCTGATAGGCAACAAAGAGCGGCGCATTATTCAGGCTCACTCTCATACAACAATCATTTAAACACTGCTTCCTCCTGTATTGTCACTTCCCTTCGTCGTCACTTGCTCTTCACTCATATCACGCACCATGAGTCTCGGCGCACTCCCCAATGAAATCCTCTGTCTTCTCCCTCTCTACATCGATAACATTGAGACCTTCACCAACGCCGCAGCATCATGTCACAGACTCCGTGATTGCCTATACACAGCACACCCCAACACGATACTCCGGCTGGCTGCCGCCTCGGCCCCCACATTCTTCTCTCCCCACCCTCATTTCCTCGTCGCTGCCACAGCCCGCCAAGTCAGTGACTGGGCATTAGAGAATGAGGCACGTACATCTGACCTCCGCAGAGCCTTCCAAGGTGGAATCGACAGCCTCTATGAATTCTGCCTCCAACATGCGGGCCTAACGCTAGAAGACATCCGAAGAACACATCTAGCCCGGTTCTCCACCATCAACCCTCTCTCGGACAAGATCGACAAGATGGCCGGCAGGCAGTGGTACGCTACGCCAGGTTTCTGGAATGGCGGGGTGAGCGAACCCTACACCGTCGCCACGGAGCCAGATCGAGCGACCTTCCAAATTATCACATATGGGGAGTTGTTCGGGCGAAGCATGGACGCCTTTCTGCAGCCGGAAAAGAATCTCCCCTATTTTGATATACGAACCCGAATCGACTACTTCACCTACTGTCTCCCCGATTGGGTTTGTTCCAGTTACCCCGGGTTTATTAGATTAGCGACCGGTCCGTATGCGACGCACCTTGAAAGACCGGGGGAAGGAGACCAGACAGCCATGCATCATATCCTACATTGTGGTCGATGGAGGCGCATGTGGGCTGCTGCCATTCGGTCGGTTCTGGGAGATGACGATGCGTTTACTGATGAGGACGAGGAGGAGGAGCACTGGCGGAAGAGGATGTTGCGTAATGCGTTGCAGAGTCAGGGACTTGAGGGGATGCAGTTAGTCACGTTGCCCGTGGAGAAGATGGATAAAGAATATGTGCAAAAGGTGAGGAGGATGAAGCAACAGATTGATCAGTTGAATCAACCTCCACCAGTCGAAATGCTGGGGAAGGGGACGCTCACCCCGGTGTCATTTGCTCCGGACCCTCCCAATGATGTTGAGATTCCATGTAGGAATATGTGGGGACCGTGGACGGCATTCAACCCAGATGCAGCGTCGGATGAGGACTCAGAAGAAGAATCAGATTCGGAATGGGAATTAAATTTTGAAGAGATTGAACATTAATACACCTCCTACTCACGATTCTCAAGTTCAAACATTTCCAACAAATATATATTTGCAAAGCTTGTCATGCTATGGAACATTGGCTACTAGTATTTGAGCGACCGAATGGTTTAGAGAGTCTTTTGTGCCGGCCCTCTGAAATTCTGCTGTTTATATAGGTAATGAAGTCGAAGACTGATACTGATCCCAGTCAGCGCTACATTGACTAGTAGCTAGTTAAGGATGACTTGCATAAGTGAAGCTCTTTGATGCTATTTCAGCACACCAGGGTCTGACGCTAAGCCAGACTAGGTAGAGATCGACTTAGACCCGTTTATCAGTCTGTCCGTTTCCTCGACGAATGCCTGTGGGTTCGAATCCCACTGGGATGGAAAGTCTCCTTTTTTCCAACAGATATTTTTTGTAATTCTCGGCGGTAGTTACCATGTTCGGAGTTGGCACACATATCCACTGCGTAGTCTCCACAACTAAAACTGACCCTTCTCTTTGTTAAGAAAAGATCGTCATGTATGGAATAAACGAGGCTCGATAAGCCCACCGCCTACCCCTCTCATGATGCTATTCATGCCTCAGGGGTTCAATGTTTAGTGCTGACTGTATGAGACGGCACAGCCCAACTCATCTATTCTCTTTGTCGGATATTAACATGTCTTTCCTTTCAGATTATTCTCATGAGTGGGCAGACCCACAGACGAGTCTCGAATACCTCCGTCCTCCGCGGAGCCAAGCTACGCTCATTTGTGATCATTCCGAGTGACTCATCAAGACATTTAGGACTTAGACCATTGAAAGATAGAGCCCTCGGGAAAATCTAGATCAGCCTGAAAAAGCGCCAACCTGGTTCTAGTCTTCTAGAAATGTTCTCAAGTTGAACCGGTTCGTGAGCAATGTGAAACCGCTATACCAACCGAGTTAGCCCGAGAGTGGTTCCATGGTTCCACCCAACATCACAACCGAAACCTGAAGCTGATTCCGCTGGGCACCGCAAAGACCAACTCTGACATCAGTTCCAGCCCGCCAAGGTATCGAAATGCCATCGAGGACCACGTCCACTCTTCTCGAATCCCGATGGGCTCCGCGCCCAGAGGAGTCAAAGACGAAGCGGTCATCCTCCACGTCCCGAGGGGGGAACCACCCAGCTCCCTCGCAGGAACTGGCCCGCTTCATGAAAATCGTCGGGCGATTAAAGTGGAAATTGCCCTTTCTGGCGGAGGGTTACCGCCTTGCCACACTCCCCGCCGACGGTGGCGTGGATGTTGCGCATGCGGAGATCATGTTCAAGATCGATTTCTTTGAATACTATGCGCTTCTGGAGCGGGCGATCGTGCATTTACTCGGCGTCTTCGGCGTGACAGTCACTGGCGCTTTCACTAGATCGCAATCGACTCCGAGGCTGGGGAGGAATGGATCCCCGGTGGCTACGCACCGGTATCATGCCAATGTCTTGGATACGTTGGAAAGCGAGAGCTGCCCATTGTATGCTGTTCTTGGGACCGGAAACGTGCGCGAGCAGCTGCGGAAGGCGAAGGAATTGCGTAATCGCTGGAAGACAGCCGACATGTCGAAAGAAGAGGCAGAGAATGACTCGTTTCGTCGACCAAGGGAGACTGCGATGCCGCTTGAAAGCTACGACTTCGACCATATTCTATCAGAAATCTTCGTGGGTCTAGAAGATGGACTTGCACTGGCCCGGGAGCATGTAGCTAAGATCGAGAGTGGTATCGGTGACGGCTTGTCGGGCGATTCGGAGGCAGATTGGGATTTCATTGTCGACGCTATGGATTGGGAGGCAGTGTGAGGATTTCCTTCGCATTTCTCTCTTCTTTGTTGTATTTTAGGGGCTTCATGGGTTCGCTGGCGTTTGTCGTTTCCCCTTTGTCGTTGTATATTACTGTCTTCTTGTATAATATAGACTACCCGGAAGGTTGTCACCCGGTTGTGCAGACTACACCACCGTGCTAAAACCTGAAGAGCGACATAAGAAAATTTATTAAAAGACCATGTAGAATACACTATATTCCCACTAATAATTTCGTTTCGTATCAAGGTCAACTAATTGCACCACACTGTTCGAATCATTCGAATCATCCCTATGGGACGAATCCCTCTGCGACGTTGACGAGTACTGAACCGTGTAGCTGACCGATTTGTTGATCTTGCTCTGTCCATTCGACTGGCCCTTGGCGTACCAGTTGCTCGGTCCGGTGGCATACGTGCGTTTGGTCGACCCGCTGAAAACGCCGGGGAAGAAGTGGTTAAGCAGAGCGCGGGAGGACGGGAGACAGGCGCAGATGATAGCAACTTGCGACTCGATGACGGACCAGTGGATCAGAGGATATATACCAGCTGAGTGGGATTAGCAATGTTCACTAGCAAAATACGGGGGATACAAGGACTACGTACCGGTCTGATTCTGGCCCCAGCGGTTGTTCCAGAATACGACTACTCGGATGATGCCGATGATAGTCAAACTGTGACATATACTGTTAGCGCCATGACCGACAACAAGGGAACGAGACAAGGGGTTGCATACACCGATCCCATCACGAACATCAGACCGACGCTGAGCTTCTTGTACAATGGCAGCTGCAGCTTGCTCACTTCATAGACCGGCATCAAGACCATGATGGCGTCGACAATGATATTCACCAAGCAGTTGCCCAAGATGGCAGCAATGAAATCAATGCATGTTCCGGGATCCTCATTCTTCCAGCCATCCCACGCTAAATGGACCGGAGTGCATCTCAGCCCGTCCACAAGTGCCCATGTGATTCCAATCGATGCGTTGATACCGATGAGCGTGTATGCCAGCGTGCGGAACATGCGGGATTGGAAGATCCGCAGCAAGAACAGACAGACGGATATCTTGGCGAGGGAGATTTGGATCTTGTACATCACGGCGAAACCTTGAAAATACTAAAGGGAAGTCAATAATGACACCACGGCAATCAGATGGCAGGGATGGCAGACCTTGTAAAATTGAGTGACATCAGCGAAGGGGATATCCCAGATATTCTTGCCGAAGCCATATTTGATCACTAGACTGTTGTTAGCTTTGACAATTCCCAAACTTCGAAGGACCGAGCTTACTATAGACATTGAGAACGAACATGGCCAAACCCATGACCTGAAATGAGCTTAGTACAGAGGCTACGTATTTCGCCAGATTGGTGCCTTACGTATGAAATGATGATGGTCAGGTCATCCCACCCCCAACCACCACCCAGGCTGAAGCTTTTGGCACCGATACGGACGGTGAAGAAAAAGGTGGCCAGAATGAGGGGAGCTAGAGTCGAGCCCTCAATGAGAGGCGGCCCTGGGCGGGGTGTGATATTGCAGGATTCTTCGGTCAATCGCTGCGTGACTGTCTACGGTCAACCTCTCGAAACGACCCATGAGATCTGCTGAAGACTCACTGAATTCTTCCTTGGTTGTACCATTCTTGGCGACGCAGTCCACTAGGGCAGTCTGCCGGGCCTTCTCGGCGCAGAGGTATGTCGTTGTGTTCCACTCCCCTTGAAACAGCTGCTGCAGACACGAAATCTGATGCAAGCACACATTCACAGTCAGCAACGAGTGCCATGGCCCAGACGTGGCCCAGACGTGGCGCAGGACTTACAGCTGACGATGGAAACTCATTGGGGTCAGGGTCTGCGGCGTGCAAGCCAACCCCCAAAGCCAGTAGAGAGAGCACGATCTGGTAGACCTTCATTTTGACAATGGAGGCACTTCAGTCCAGTGACCTAGCGAAGCATATTCAGGAAATAGAGTAGCTATTATAGAATAAATTGTGGATGGGCCAGCCTCGCTTCGATATTAATGCCGGCTGATCCCTGTACTTTTTTTTTTTATTTTAAAAAATTTCTCGCGAAGTTTGGAACGCCGGGCCAGCGCCTCTCCACCATGGCAAGTGACCCCGAAGGGGAAGTTTCATACTACACTAGAGAGGTTAAGCTTATTTGTCGTCATTTGGCTGCCTCGTGGCATAAATCCCGGTGGCTTAATATTTGGGACGCCAACATCGGTAATCAGGGTTTGATCGCTAACAGTGCAGGACCTTTGGCGCGTCTCTTAAGCTTAGCGTTCTCAGTGATCAACCCTCACGATGGTCTCTGACTCTATGATCGATCGGTTCTCCAAAAAGAAAAATTGGGTCCAGTGAAACCCAGTCAATGAACAGGCTATCCCTAGTCTTGGCTGTCGTGAGGCGACCTGAAAAAAAAACTTTTTCTGGTCCCCGGGTCTCCACTTAGGGCCAGATCTCGGTTGCAGATTTATTGATGGATCCTACCCCAATTGGATAAATCCGGTACCTTGGATGTTGAATCTGTTCGCTAGGGTCCATCTGGCTGGCTTGTGCCTGGCTTACCAACCGGTTGGTTACGGCATCTAGTCCGGCACACAGTCCACAGTCCACAGTGCACACGTGGTTGGGATTCCCTCTTGCTCGGTTCCGTGGTTGTTGCCTTGTCTCATCCGTGAAGATTCTCTGACCAAAGCACGTTTTCTACAAGTACCGCCAGCCATCTCCCTTCTGGCAATTTCTTTTCTTTTTTCTTTTTATTTATTTATTTTTTGCCTCTTGGCTTCGCCGGCTTAGTGCCCCTCAACCCATCGAGGGGGAAGGATGGATAGTAATTAATTAGGATCACCTCGCCGAGTCATGAAAGCCTGCACCTTGCGGACTCCAGTTTCCTAATATAAAGAGACAGCCATTTAAGTATGCACTACAGTTATCACCGTAGAACTTCCCCCTTTAAGTGGGTGGTTTTCCCCCCAGGCCAGGGGAAATCGAAATATGAAGCTGCTTCGGGAAGCAAATCTTGGTCGCAGGACGCCTCTTCCACCAGGCGCTTCCCGTAGGGGTCCAGATCTACGTTGGATCTCTCATCGAATTTAAACTCTAGGGGAACGTGTGAAATGGACCATATATAGCACAAACATATCTGGGATTGTCGGTCCTCGGTAGAGCGGGCGTTGATTACCCCTTTGGTAGGGCTAGTTCCCTTTCGGCCAAGCCTGGGAATTTGGATAGCAGATGCAGCCCGAGAAAATTCCTCTCGGATATACTGGTATTACTATCACTTCCGCCATCCTCCGAGAAGTAAACCCCCCACTTTACGATGCAATTTATTTTCCCCCTTTTGACTTTGTTTCTGTGCCCAAAAATGCATCTTCATGTGGAGTAGTGCCGTATGGAGTAGAGTGGTCTACACAACTACCGCGTCCACCCGCCCTCAAGACTCTTGCCAGGCAATATTCTCATAAAATCCAGTATGTATACGCCTCAGTGATCTGTAACATCCTAAAGCTTTTTTCAGGAAATGAGCATTTTCTTGACCAGAGTTCTTGAAAGTTGCTGTCTACTTGAAGATGATCTCACCTCAATACTTGTTTTAAATGCCATCCTCTCCCTTGATGATCGATATCTAGGCGGTCATCATCAGATGCAGTCATAAATCATGCATTAGTTCCAACCTTAATATTGGGTAGTGTATATGTGAGACTCAGCGTTGTAGCAGGTAGAAAGCCAAAGTTGACCATCCTTCTCCCGAAGTCCACGCTATACCGTTGAGTGAGTAAATCTGGATGGATTCACAGTGAAGTACTATTAATAAAGATGTAACGCTGTAGGTACAGGTCGGCACAGCCATTTTGATAGGTCTTGCCGGGTGTGTTAACCTCAAACCATCTCTACAGAGGGCGTAGGTTACCATGTCAAGACACGATATTCTTCGCTCACGTCGTCGAACACGGATTCCTACGCCACCAGCCGGCATGGTCGCCGAGAGAATGGTGAAGTTGTCTGGTTTTAGTATACCACGCGGGAACTACTCCGTAGTTGCCTATTGTATGCACGAATTGAACATATCTGATAGGTTGGGGGAGCTTACCCCGCTACAAACTATTTCCGAGGGCCAAACCTTTCCAGGGACTCAGAGAATGGATGCATGGCTCGGCCTGGACATTGCAAATGCAGCAAACTGCTAAGAAAGTCAAATTATATAGAAGTTCAGATGGCATCATGATGGTTCCCCACCCTGTCGGCCCTTCTCGTTGACGGCAATGTGTCTTGAACACACTGAAACATCAATCGAAATGACATCAAACTTCTCTGGGGCCTAGACGAGATCGATTAACCCGAGTTTACAAGTCTCCGAAGGAATAGTGAGCATCGAGAAACAGCGATTCCGTCGTTCCTCCTCCCAGTCCGAGTCCCCAAGTAAAGAAACGCTCGTAGGGATCCTCTGACTGGCCTGGATAACAAACTACTAAAAGAATCGTTTTATATCTTAGTTCGTCATTTCCTACAGTTCAGGTTCTTTCATCAGCCAACCTTCTGCATACTCCTCGATACAGGACCTATACCAACCTTACTGCTTGTAGCATCCTGACCTTAAGTTCCCGGTTTATGCCTGAACTGGCCAATTTTCATGGCAGTCCTGGAAAGGCATCGGAATATTTTTGCCTACTCTTACTAAGCTTCTGTATTATATTGATCATACTTAATACACCTACAAATATATCCTGTATACTCTGATCCTACTATCTACGAAAAGTCCTTTCTATTAACAAGGGGGGCTGCGGAGTCGGGTAGACAGTTAATCAAGTAAATGGAAAAAGAGATGTGTTCTTCATAAAGAAGAAGGATATTTATGTAATAGAATAAGTTATTAACAACAAAAAGCTTAGTTACCATTACTATGTGGAATATAAATATAATATTGATAATGGGCGCAGAATATATTAACTGCGGAGACCGTAATATTATATCCAGCCACGGAAGCCATCGCTATTTCCCCAGTCATACAAACTTAGCATGAGCAGCGTCTGGATATCCATCGCTGTCCTCGTGTGACCCATGACACTACTTCAATTCAGTTCCAAACCCCGTTTATATACTTTATGTTCCAGTCCTACGGCCAGTCCTTTATATACAAATATCTCGCTGGATGTAGTATCTAGACTCGACTTTTAAACTTTATCAAGTCTGTTCTGATGGGTATCTGTATAGTTACTAAAGCCAATCTTGCAAATTCTAGAAATTCGCAGATAGTTAGTATAGTATACGAACTTCATGCTAACTTTATACACAGATTAAAATAGATTCAATCTATCTACTAAATATACAACGAGATATATTTATGGTCTCTAATACCTAGCAGGTTTGGAAGTAGTGGATCTACAAGATATTCCGACCACAAATATTCTTTTACTTCTGCAAAGATAATAAGGGTAAACCGAGAGTAATATAGAAGTCTCTCAGACCCCTCGGGTGACTGGACTCGGCTGTTTATCGACACTACACAACTTCTTGGGTCGTGAACGCTTTAACCAAGAGGACCTCTAAAATCAATATAGTTCGCGACCGGCCAAACGTTTCGTGGAAAAGGACCTTTTTCATGATTGTCCGTCATGGCTAGGGAGTCCAAGCATGACCCTTCGGAAGAACGAAGTTTTACCATTAGCAGGTTATTAGTTGCGGTTCTGGTCTAATAAATTTACTTTCAGGGATAGACATCTGGCGTAAGAGCTTTTCTGGTTCCATCAGTTCCCGCCGGATTTTTATCTCCGGCCTGCAATGAACCAATGCCAGCGCGCCCTGACCGAGTGGGATATTTGGTAATGCATTGGCAATCATCACGTAAAATTGAGACCAATCGAGGAGAACCTCAGATTGGCCGAAAGAGACTTTGGTATAGGAGTCAAAACAATGAACAATTAGCATGAGCCTAGAGACACACAGTAATATGCCAGCCGGTAGGATCCACGTACTGCCCATTTGGGCTCTCTCCTTGACCATAAGTTGTGTTCTCTCCACTTTTAAGCTATGTATATAATAGCAGACACGTCTCCCCGTGCTTTTATAGTAAAAAGTGGATTCGGGTTCCCCGCTAGATCCGGCCATTTCCGGGTGCTGAAAACCCCAATCCGAACCTACAGGGACTTGGGCCAATTCAGTCACTACTACTATCCTGCCTGCCTGTCGGAGACCGGCCTGATGGCCTTGCTGGTCGTCAAACAAGGTGACCTACCTCTGGCTAATGGATTGAGTTCAAGTAAAAAGGTTGTTTTGGTTGTATGGTTTGCATACTCAGTAGCGGACCAAAAAAAAAAAAAAAAAGGGGAGGGGGGAGAGAAGGGGGGAAAGAAAAACACGAGCCACAACCGAGCTGAAAGCTGAACCCACTGGAAGACGTTTCCGGTGATGAATCATGAGTTGCGGTGAGATCCAGGGCACTAACGCGCCGCCCTTACCCAATTGTCAAATGTGACAGGGGAATTGATAGGCCTGCCATGCAGATCAGTAGTCGTGGCTAATGGATTATGGAATAGATATCAGAAAGTTCCACATTCTGTGAAGCAAAGTTGTAGATCGTAGCGGATTAGCCCCACTACTTATTCCGGTATTGGGTATATCTCAGACTAAGTTGGGAACATACAGCAAACTAGGACATAGTGGTGAATCACGATTCCCCCCGCCCTTCAGCTGGATATGAAATGGGTCAGCTATTTACCGGATATCGCGGCAAGTGGTTGAGGGTTATAGAATAATACTGTGCTCAAAGTGGGGCGGAACTGGGCGTTTAGAGGTCTGCCTGGTGTAGAGTGGGAAAGAAACCTATATAGACGAATAGCCCTGCCACTGCAGATCTAGTTCGTTTCAATCCTAGACTGCAGGACGAAGAGCGAACAAACCGACAGAATGGCACGCGACCAGGAGCTCATCTCCCTTTCCTCGTTTGGCAAGGACCTCCTGGCCAGCGGCCTTTTTACATCTCTGGACGCACCAAACTTCGCCGACAAAGACATCAAAACCCCAGCTCGCAGGAACCTTGAAGTTGCCCCGGGGGAAATATCTCCACCGCAGCTGGCCAGTCCTGCCAAATATATAGACCTGCCGAATTTTTCGGGTGAGACGTACGGATTGGAAGACTCCCCTGAAACTCCCGAGCAGCTCATCATTGGAGGTGCTGAGGTTCAAAACGTGTCACTTGTTATGGTAGACAAGCACGGTGCTTATCATGACTTCAAGGTGATGCCTATCCCCGTTTCTGGGGCTAAGAGCGGTACGGGGTCTCTTCTTGTTGCCCCGGTCGGAGAATCGAAGCAGATAGCTGCTCAGCCGATGCTTTTGCTTCCAGCCCAGGCGGATTCTGATCTCTCGTTTTCCGATGATAGCAAGGTTTTGCCGCTGGGAGAACTGGAGAAAGCAATGAAGGAGTCTAAGGGGGAGGTCGGTGTGGCGGCTGTTAATGCCATGGTTCTCAGTGGAGAGATCGAGAACTTCTTTGGCATCGAGGGGGTTACAGGCAAGCTGTACTGTTACAAGAGTGATGAGGAGGTGAATGACGAGCAGGGAGAAAAACCAATCAATGAAAAAGTTATGCTTCAAGACATGGAATCGCCCCTAGGAATCTTCTTCCCCGAGATCGAAAACAAGACGATCAAAGCTTTGCCCCTCAAGAACCTGGAGTTTACTTTTAGCAACACGAAAAAAGAGATTCTGCTTCCGGAGGGACTCCGTCTGCAAGGTGACCTGGAGTTGAAGGATGGACTGCAGTGGATTTCCGATGGTTTGAAGAATGTTTTTGGTAGTGAAAAGGCCACAGAGCTACCCTCGAAGATACGGGTCAGTGCCCTTTTGTCCAAGGAGAGAGACTGGACAAAGAAGCCCAAGATTGAGGGTATCGTTCTTCAGGCCTTTCTCCATGAGATGAAGCTACCCGCATGGGACTTTTTGGAATTTCAAACGGCAGGTATTGAGCTGTCTGCTAGGAAGGAAACCGCGAAAAGTGACATCGAGGAGGATCCGGAGGAAGACAATAAAGAGGGCGCTGACAAGAGAACAGAAGAGGAGGGAGACGGTAAGTCAAGGGAAATAATAGCCAAGAAAGACAAGGTGCGTCCCACGGTTGATTGCCCAGTGATAAATGACTAATACAAGATCTGATCATGCATAGGCCTCGAATGCCCCCACGATGAAGGATGATGCCACGGAGGAGAACCACGAAAAAGAAGAGAAGGAGAGCAAGGAGAAGAAAAAATGGAAGGTAGGTTTTGGGCTGTTTGGCAAGCTCAATATTACCAAAGCTCCCAAGTCAGCGGTGCCACTGGAGGCAAGATACTGGATTCGTATGGGAGACTGGAAAGAGGAGAAGAAAGAGGAAGAGGAAGAAGTCGAGGACGATGACAAGGACAAGAAATTAGAGAAGCAAGACGGCGGAGAGGGTAAGGAAACTGACGAAGCAGACGAAAATAACGGTGGGGAAGAGGGCAAGCCCGCAGAAAGAGGAAGGCAATATGAAGGTAAGCTCCTTGTCCAGTGTGAAAAGCAGAGACAAAACAGCTGATTTTATCTAGTATTGATCGCGGTCAGCGAATGGAAGGATTTCTGCGCCATTTCGAATCTTGATGTAGGTACCATGCAAAATGTATTGAGGAATAAGTTGCTGAATATTGAAAACACAAAAGATGAAAGAAGCCCAGCTGCACGCATTCTTCAAACCTGGCGAATTCCGGAAGTCTTGCACATTGTCTGTCACTGGATCCCTCGAGTTTGCCCAAGGGTGTCTTGACAAGGATGACGAGGAAGAGGAGGAAGAGAAAAAAGGGAAGGAAAAGAAGGAAGATGACAAGTCGAAGAATGCGACTCTAACAATCGAGGGGGTTCTATCCAGACGTGAGTCAGCTTGATCATGCAAACAGAATATCGACTGACAATATTTTAGAGGACTACCATTTTGATGCCAAGGTGGGAAATCTGAAGCTCGATTCAATCTTGAAGATGTATGCTCAGATTACCGGGGCTGAACCATCGAAGGAAGCCAAAGAACATGACTTAGTCTTCGAAGAACTGCATTTGAATATTAGCCGCAAGCTGAAGAGCAAGGAAAAGGCAATAGAAGACGAGAAGGAAGCAAAAAAGGAAGAAGACGAGGAACAGCCTTCCACTTCCTTGGAGCTCTCCGGCAAAGTCAGCTTCAATGATTGCAAGAGTGTTCACGGTTTGATCAAAATTGACCCTACCTCAGGCCTCACTATCCACGGCGGAGTTGAGGATTACGAGATCAAGGATGCTGGTGTTATTATTAAAGAAGCCAGTATTGATATCTTCATTGGAGCAAAACCCGAGAAGTCCCAGGACAACTCCAAGAACACCAAGCCGAAACTCGAGGCAGATAGGAAATCCGGAAAGGAAGCTGGCGAGGACAAAGTGGAGGTCTTCAACCGCGCAAGCAAATTTGCCATCAAAGGCAGGGTTAATTTCAGTGGTATAACTGTGACGGTTGCCTTTATGACTGAGCGCAATGAAACCAACGCCAAGTCAGAGAAGTCGTCTGAGCGGGAATGGGTCTTGTTTGGTATCTACGAAGAGAGCTTGCACCTAGGAAAGATGTGCGATATTATGGAAGGCCCCATGGCTGACCTCGAACTGAAAAATGTTGCTCTCATCGCGGCATCCGGCGAGAACAAGACAATCGAGGCGTTGAACACGCTTAAGTATCCTGTACGAAAGGGTGAGTTGGGGCATCATCTCCATTTTGTTGCAGACTGATGACTTGATGGTAGGAATCTCGCTATGTGCGACTATCCCACCTCTGCCTGAGCTGAACAATTTCGCCAAGCAGAAGGTGGACGGACTGGTTCTCGTTGCAACGATAGAAAAGAAGAAGCTGGAGCTCGGCATCCAGTTGCCCACGGCGTTTGATGTGAGTATCCATGCTCAACATGATGTGCATCTGACACAAATTGCTAAGTATGTGAATCAACAGGTCACTATTACCGATAGCGCTAAACTGTGTGAGATTGGAATTGGCATTGAAATCAGCAAGGCTCCCAGCTTGATGGTCATGGGCACGTTGAACATTGTAATGGACGTAGATCAGGATCCTCTGCTCCTCGAGGGCATGGTGAAAGCTGGCCTGCTCAGTTCATCTGCTTCGATGTATGGCCTCTTGTATTCCTCCATCTAAAGACGACCAGCGCTAATCTTTACATCTAGTGCCACCAAGTCGCCGTGGGTAAATCCATTGAACATCAGCAAACATGTTAAAATCGCCGACTTCAGAGTCGAGATCGAAGTTACCTATGCCACGGTCATGGAGCTTGGACCATCGTGAGTCAACCACGTTCTATCCCAGGATAGCTACGATTTGCCCGCTGGCTAACATATGGGGTAGCAAACTGGGCCTTGCTGGAGATATCGAGGTAGGAGACCTTACTGCTGGAGCCGCCATGCAGATCAGCCACCACCCTGGTGAGCAGGTTATATCGGCCAATATCTCCAAGGTCGATCTCATCGAAATCATCCGTGTTGCTGGCCAGGTCGCCGAAATCCAAGCCTTGCAGGATATCCGTGGTGGCGAGGATACGTTTGTTTTTACCGATGCCAACATGTATTTCTCCACCGGGGGAACCATAGCGGGGAGAGAGTACCCACAGGGTATATCAGCCGGTGGGAAGCTGACAGCGTTTGGGAAGACGGCCCAGTTTGACCTAAGCATCGGCAAGGCTGGTCTGGATTTCCAAGGGCATATCGATAATTTCAGTCTCGGGCCCTTGGTCGTCTCATCTGCCAGTGGAGATCCCCGCGCAAAGATGGTCGTGGTGATGGCTAAAGACAAACAAGTGATCCAGGTGGACGGAAAGGTAAGATGCTTTGGAATTGGGCTTGCCACCTTAGTCGACATCCAAATAGGAACCGAAACCCCGTCCTTTGCTGCGCATATTAACGTGGCGTTTACCGAGGCATTTATAATCAGTCTACAGGCGACGGTGGAGGACTTTAAGGAGGTCAAGGATCTAGCAACAAAGGACTTATATTTCCAAGCCCAGATCAAAGGTGATCTATTTGACATGATCTGTGAAAGTATCAAGAGCCTGCTCCGGACGCTTGAGGAGCTGGGTATCCAGGGTATTGAATCTCTTCAGAGCCTTATTGGAGCGCAGATTGCCGAAAAGCAGGCCGAAATGGACCTAGAGAAGAAGAAACTGGACGAGGCACGGCAAGAGGTAGACAACCGGCGAAAGGAGCGCCAACGAAATATAAAAAAGGAAAAAGATAAACACGACGAGGCAAAGAGAGAAATCGAACGGCTGCAGGACAAGGTGACCAAGGCCAAGCAAGACAAGGCTCAGGCTGAAAATGAACTGAAGGAAAAAGTCGAAAAGCTTAAACTCGAAAAGGAATCCCTTATCCAAAGCAAGAGAAAGGAGTATAATGACAAGCTCGAGAAGGCCAAGGAAGCTGAAGCAAACAATCAGAGGGAGCTAGAGCGGCTGAGGCAACGACAGAGAGATAAATACGGCACCGATTTCCTCAAAAAAGTGCAGCTTGCCCAAGGAGCCTATCATGAAAAAAAGAAGATGGTATCAGATGCGTGGGACACTGTTGTGTGGCTTCAATGGAAGTATGACCACACAGGCTTGTAGGTGCCCCTGCCCCCAGCTCTCATACAATGCTCGCAGAATGCTGACATGTAGGAATAGCCCTGAGGACGCATATTGGGTAGGTCCTTATTTCTATCTCTTAGTGGCAACCATAGCTAATGTGTTCCATACAGGGCGTGAGGCTCCTGGCAGCCAAAGGTGTTCTTGAGGCAGCCAAGGTTGCAGCAGACGTATACTACAAAGCTGCCCAGGCGCTTGACGACATTGCTAATTCTGACGCCTTTCAATCCATCGTCACAGCCATTGAAGATACAGAAAAAGCGGTAGAACGCGCGGCAAATGGAGTTGACAAACTTCTCAGCGGAGGTGGTGTTGATGGATTTCTTAGATCCTTTATCGACACGGAAGAAGCCAAGATCGAAGCAGTTATAAAAGCTCTCCAGGCAATGCAGAATGAGAACAACGAGTATCAAAGGGCTATTCGGGAAGCGCAGGACATTCTTGACCAGAAGGCACCCGACCTAGAAGACAAGATCGCCCAGGCCGATGAGAACATCAAATCCCTGGAAGAGGATGCAATGCTGGCAGATCTTGAGCGAAAATATAACTATCAGCTTGAGGTCCACAACAAAGTACACAACACCATCCAACAAATGCAGGCTGGACTAGAGACACTCAAGGAGAACTGGCAAAAGGGGATGCACGCGTTGGAGGACGTGGTCAATGAGATCCAAAAGAAAATCAACGCTATCTTTCACATTGAGAGAATCGAGGTGGGAATCCACACTCATGCATTGATCGACGACAAACCCCTAGTCTTCAAATTCTATGGCACGGTGGCCAATAGGCATTTTGCAATCGAGGCACAATGGGCGCCAGGAAATGATCTCAGCCGTTTATATAAGGGAGTCACTAATGAAATTCTGAAGCTCGCCGTGTGATAGCCTCAGACTGACGGTATACTATGCCGTCCTACACAGTCAAGTTACAATTAGATGGACTGATTGTGTGAAGGTGGCAGATAGGACAAACCGTCACGATTCAGATAGACTCATTTAGCATTAAGAGAATGCCAATTTATACGAGCGGCTTGCTGTCCGTGATCCATCAGTTGAAATGTATTAACATACATTTGTCTATCTCCAGTGCATAAATTAACGTTACCTTGAAATAAACACAATTGCGTCGACAATGGCAATGTCTCATTATATCTGAGAGAAGTATGTATGTATTTGAAACTAAATTTAAGGATCTTGGGGGAGTAGAAGTATAGGCCCACGAGCGCCTCGATATGCAAGTCTTGTGAAGCTATGCTTGCCTATGCAACAGAAGACTCAGCTATGTATCTGCACTCTCCAACTGCCGAGGACAATGCAAACACCCCAGGCGCATTTCATCCGAAAATCGCCAGAAGCTCTTCTTTCGGCTCTTTCAGCCTATTGGCGGTTGATACATGGTTTACCTCAGGGCTCTCTGCTGCTGTGGATGCTATTGCCATCGTCAGTACCTTCAATCTCTCCATCATTGACAACTGGCACTATTTCGTAGGGTACGAATGATGGTAATAGCGTCCATTCTATCGTTCGTCGTGTTTCTTTCTGGCCGTGAGCTGGCAATGGTATATGAAACACACTCCAAGGCAGTTGTGTGTTTACTCGCCTGCCTTACTTATATCGTTATTGGATATGCTCTGGATGCTTCTCACAGGCGTCCTCCAACACACTGCACTGAACTCCGCCGCTGGTCCGTTCTGGAGTATACTGATCTGTTGAATCGTTCAAATGGATCTTGGCTGGTGTGTTGCTTGTATCCTGCAGTGTTGAAATATTAGGCTTCTTCAGGGTCCATGAATAGGCCCAAACTCTAGGCCCAAGGTCCAAGCCCAATCCCTAAGCCCACGATAGCCCCCCCCCTAAAACCCATTTTTACATAAAATTCCAGTCTTGGTATTTATAAAACTACTAAATGAGTAAAATAAAATACTGTTTTTTATCTCTATTTTGATATATATAGAAAGTTATAATATCCCTTTCTATATAATCATACAAAATAATCTGAGAGCAATCGAGGAGTACCTCAGCTTGACCAAAGGAGATTTTGGTATAGGGGTCAAGAAATGAACGACTAGCACGAGCCTGGATATGAATAAGTCAGCCTCTATGACCCACGTAGGGGATCTGTTTTGGAATGTCTCTGTTAGATGTCGATGCAGCTGTCGGTTAAACTCTGGAGAAACCTGCAGAGCATCATTTTGTGACATAACTGGACATTGCTAGTGATGGCATCGCCCGTAAGCAAGACATTGTCTGGGCCATGCCAATCTTTGCCATCACCAATCTACGATTCCGGACCGGGGCCTTTATCCACTGGCTAAGGTAGCTCGACGGCTAATGTTTCATCACTCCACAAGCTGCCGTGGAGCTCTACTTCCGGCGCTGTTGCTTATTCGCTTTGGAACTGGTATTCCAAGATAAAGCCATATACTATTCGACCAACAGGATTTAAACTTCGAAGTCAATCAAATGGGACCAACACAAATTTTAACCATGTAGTACCCTACCGAATCTCAGTAACGATATAGGAGATATCCAAATCCCAACATCGGTACATGCGAGCGAGACTCTGCACGGTTCCCAGTTCGCGTCGTAGTGGATCATAAGCCAGTTTGCCAACTATATTAAACACATAAATGCCATGTTATTGGTGGAACCTGGATCTAATATGCCGAGGGACTCTTGGCAGATCAACTCCTGTCTGAAAGTGAGTCCGGAAAAACCTGATATGGCTTGGCATGCCACATCCCTCGGCCCTAAGCTCTCTAGGCATAGCTCTATCTATGTGCTTGATTGATGGAGAATACGGCTACAGGACTGACTCTCCGACACTCCGCGCCTTTGCCTAGAAACCGTTGTATCGGACAGATTGTGGTCATGTCGATGGATACTATGCGGTGGTCTCGAACAGAGCTAGGAAATATATAACAATGCTTTGCTGCTGGCCTCGATAAATATGTGATTACTTTCTCTGGTCGTGTCGTTGTTATTTTTATGCACCTTAATCCACTCATTTCTTGTTAAATTTTCGTTGTGTTATTTCCAAGGCAAAATGAAAGCCGTTCTTTCTCTCACAGCCCTCCAGCTGCTGGCCAGCTCCGTGATGGGTCTCCCGCTGCAGGACAGCGCCCTGGCCAAGACTGTCAAGCGCCAGAACACGAGCTCCTGGAATCCTCCATCAGAACTGGTGACCCCTCTTAACGAGGTAATACTTCCAATCGCAGATCTCGGACCTTCACTAACGACCCACAACATCCATAGGTATGGGAACACCAAATGTCAACCTACAGCGACCCTCTCGGATTCCGCAACTACGGATACGACCAGGTCATCGACGGCAAGGGCAAAATCAACTATTGCGTGCGGTGGGACTCCACCCAGTCTGTGACCCAGGCACAGCGGGAACAGGTCGAGACGGCCCTGCGGCGGTCGTTCAACAAATGGATAGCCGAACTGGCCGGCTTCGATGGGTTCCCGTACGAGACGGTCGATGTCAATGTTGTCGGATGGGCTGTCAAGGATAAGGCCCTGCTGCAGGGCGACACCTCGGGTGTTGAGGTGTATACCACCACCGATGAAGAGGGTATCCCGCAGTGTGACCCGGGCTGTGGACGATTCTTCCACCAGGATAACGACTACAGTGCCTGCGCTGCTGGGGCTGACCGCCACTACGGTATGCAATTCCATTCTTGCTGCATGCTTCCCTAGTCATACATACTAACGACAACACAGACCAAAGCCTGTGGCTCACTGATGGTTTCGAAGGCGGCGCCGGTGGTGACTGGGGCCAGCGTATCGGGCAAGAGTATTTCATGCAGAACCTTGAGCTCGAGGATATCCACATTCTCCTGCATGAGATGGGTCATACTTTTGCTCTGGATGGTACGCTATTCCTCTGCGGTTCTAGGAGACATCGACGCTGATATTTCTAGATTTCTATGACTGGACCCCGACTGGTCAGACCAGCTTCATCATGCTGGCTGGCAGCGCGATGAAGATCACCGAGTTTGACGCGTGGATGGCAAAGGACTGGTGGCGCCATCTGAAGTCCCGCTACAGCCTTTAAATGGCCCTTCGTATACTTGGAATGGACCAGAAAATATCGGGCGATTTCGATATATGTGGCCGTGGGGTAGAAACCTTAGTTTAATTGAGAATAGGGTGAGACTGGGATTGACTCAGCAGCATTATCCAATCCAATGAATATAGCCCCTCTGCGTTAGAGGTAATTCCGAGTACAGTCTGCTGTTCAGACTATTCTGAGATACACAGCGACCATATTACTTGGCCAGAAAACAGTAATTAATTGATAACTATTCCCATACTCGCAGGCATCTGGGCGACCCACCAATTATACCAAAACTAACGCTGGGGCGACCGGGTAAACAAAAAGGGTATCGATAAACATAATCTCGCAGAGCGCAGGCCTGGGTTGATCCAAATAAAGTTTAGACTTGGTCCATTTGTGTGCTCTGCGGTGCAGTTGCTGGCGCCGTTGCTGGTGCCGTTGCAGGAGTTTCCTTCTTTCCAAGGGGCCTATAGCCCGGAAGATCGAATTTCAAGATTCCGCAGATGCCGAGGGTGACGGCGAGTGTCAAGACGCAGAAAAGAACCCTGATTAAAGTAGATTGTAAGTACTCTGTGTCTCTGTATTATGTGTGGAACACGAAAGGAGACAACGAACCATAGCAGAACAGCGAAAGCAATGATCGCATTCACATAGTCAGACGTCCCATATGTATGAGATAGCCTCGCGGCCATAGTGGCAAAAGAAGCTAACCAGAAGACCATAGTCACAGAGTATAGCCCAAGAAGCCCGATGGTGATTATAGTGTTGAGTGCAGTGTTCGTTGCTGCTTTACTCCGAAAGATCCATGGCACGATGCCGGCTGCAACCGAAGCCAACATTGTCCATACTGAGTTAAAAAGAATGAAAGCGAGGATCGATGGGACCGCTATTGTCACTCTCTGGGACGTGTATCCGTTTCTCGAGGGATCATAGCGATATTCCCTGTTGCTCTGGCTAAAGAACGAGACTAGGTGACCGGTAAGACCTAGTTCGATGACTGCGAAGACGAATGTGGTGCCTAAAAGCGCAAATGGTAACACTTGAGGCAGATTCATGGTCAATGCATGTAATACTGGTTTCGAGGCGAGGACGACGGGGATGGCAAGGCGAGCAGTGAATGCGGAGGGAGGACGCTCGTAATATTTGACTTCTGGCTTTTCTGTTTATGATTTTATCCTAGTTAGTTGTTTTATTTTCCCCGTATTCCGAGTGCACCAAAGAGGAAAAGGTTTGCGACTTGTCGAATGTGATATAGGCCTTGTTCGTGTTCGCGTAGAAAGATCGACAAGAAACCTTACTTCAAGGTTACTAGTTTGCTCTCCGTCAAGAACCATTGGTGCTCGACAACAGACAGATACGAAAACAGTGTCACGAGAGGAAACCCTTGCAGTTCTCCTTGCCACGAGATAAGGGTGTGTTCCTCCAATTTTTCAGTTTGAATTGGATGAAGGATCCCCGATGACGTGACCTGTGAAACCAGGCCTGATTATCTTCCAAGTCCACAACTGCATCATGCGTGGCATGCTTTGATCGACCTAATGTCATTCATATCGGTGGGACGCATGGCCCAAATCATGCCAAGCAGTCCACGAATGGCAGACCAATCTTCTCTTTAACGACTTCCAAGACCTGAACGACTTTCTCGTCCTTTAATATCTTTGCTACTAGGTGCAAACAGACAGGTGCGACCTGTTTTTTTCCGCGGATCGTAGTGCTCATGGCACCAGGTATCGAATTGCTTTAGAGGCATGTATATAGTGTCCTTCGCATCCCGCTTGGGATCGACCTTGGTAACAGGGAACATAATTGGCGGGCAGTCTAACAAATCCCAGATGGATGTGTACTGCGGAGGTGTCAAGCAGTGGCGCGGGTGTTGAATATGGTGGGCAAAGAATAACGTCCATCTCGGGAGCGACCGAGTTCCACTCTGAAGAGGTCAGCATGGGCGATCCACGGCCAATCATCGAAAGAACCTTCGTACCTTGAAAATAAGAGTAGCGGAACATTTCACGCTTAAGGGTCCACTCCCACACTCCATGCACAATCAGCTCCTCAGCGCCATGAGTGTCTCGCAGCGTGCATGCCAAGAGCGGCAAGCAAGACCCTCCCGAGAGGGCGAGGTTTTTGGCGAATGCCTTACCACCGTCAGGGGTATATAATCTCGTCTTCATCGCTATGTTCGCCAACTGGTCCTCGTTTTGCGATGGAGAACCCCGCAACAAATTTGGTTTACTCGGGTACACTTACGAGGCTCTCTGATCCTTCTCTCTTTTGGTAAGGCTTCCACTCGATGACCTCGACATCGGAGGACAAGGCTTTCAACCTTTCAACTGTCTCTTGCAGCGCTCTTGCTACTGGTCATGACACCATCATCCCAGATCAATCCAACAGTAATGCTTTCTTTCCGTCTCGGTAGATATGAGGTTCGTTATCACGCTATGGAATTTGGTGAGCGAAGGGTCACTTGTGCGAGGTTTAGCGACCAGTATACTCCTCATAAACAGTTTAATTCCTCCTACGGTAGGTGATAGTAGTCCTAAGGTCCCGAGGGTTATTGAACAGCCGATCACATATGCAGCGCATCCAATCAATTAAACGCGGCCGTTTGTTGGCTTGAGGCGGTAGAGCCCGCAGTTCGAAGAGGAGACCGGATGCTGCCACCTGTGCAACGGCTTGGCTTCAATGATGTGAGGTTGATATTAATGATGATAGCTGGTGGCATGCCGATATCTGATCCAATGCCATGGGGGCTGCCATAAAGCGCTTGCAACGCCGACTCAACCCCGATGAACCGCTCGCAGATAGGGGCGTATTATGTGAATTAACAGTTCTCCAATGATGTTACTGCAGGTTTCAAGCGCCATCTATGTTTTCGTCGTTAGTGGTCCTGTTGCTCTGAGCATTGAACAACATACCAAACCCAGCGGCTCTGTCTTTCTTGCATACAGTACGACACTGGCGTCGACGAAAATTTTCACGATCTTCGCGTCCTCCCTATTTTTGTGACCAACCCAGACGACAAAGCCAGCCGTGTTGTCTCGTCCAGCAATTCATACATCTGCTTTAGAACTAATCGGGAAGCCGTGCAACGGCCCTATTGGCTTTCCATGTTCGACCAAGCAGTTATCCAGCTGTTTTCCCTCGAGAATAGCACGCTCAGGGAGGACCTCATAGATGTAAATGGTCTATATAAGGCATACGACATTAGCGAAGACCGCCAAAATGATATACGCAAGTTTAATCCCTTGTTCACCACCTTTTGTGTAATTGCGGCACGTCGCAGGAGGACATTTGTGACCGCAGTGGCAGTCAGTTCCCCCGCAGCTAGAGAGACCACCAAATTCTCAGCAGGGGTTTCCGTGATGGACAATCTCGAAGGGGAGAGAAGCTGCCGAGGAATCTCGGTCACCCGGTTGGGGAGTCATGAAGGTGAAGGAGGTAGAGGGGAGTCTACACGTGCAAGAGAACTATCGCGTGTTGCCTGCATCCCCTGGAAAATTTCTTCCCAGGAAGGCATCTCTTTGATGGGTTCCATTTCCGCAACAGAGCCTGCTGGAGCTATCGATATCTGCACATAAGCTTACACATAAAGCAATGTTCAGACCTGATCTGAACACCGGTGTGACCGAGGGAAACCACATGGGCAGTATAGTGGATGTACAGAGACTTTATTTATAAAGTCACGTTACATCGCTCTCTTATCGCCATTCCGCAGTGGGACAGCGTTACTTCATTAGTATTCACGTTGGGCCGATATCTCCCAGAGGTACTCGGTGGGTACTGTTTGAGTTGGCTAATCGCACACGGATCTTCGATACCATCAACAGCCTCAAGGCTGGTTGATCGTCTTGGCACAGGATCAGGATCTCTGCCCTATCCAGGCAGACCATCTGCATAGCGCAACGTGAAGCGGCCGAGTGATCAGGATCCACCGGGTAGTTTCTTGCTAGTGTCCTTTCACTCCAATCAACGGGCAAGCTGTGGGCATTGAACTTCGGCCAGGAATATGCTAATGCATCACACTATCTCGGTGCCTGTGCAAAGAATCCAATGCTATTATGAACTGATAGAAAATTTGTGTCGTACCGCGGAATTGGATAAGATCATGCAACGAGCGAAAGTGATTTTCCTCTCCGCCAACGGCTTCTTGACCCAACAAAAAGATCGTCGGGGACCTCCAGTTAGAGGAAGATCCTCGGTCGTTTCATTGTCAAAATGCAGGCTGACAACGCATCAGTCTATGAGGACCGGGGCGTTTTGCTTTGGGTTGTTAATAGTACATTCATCGGACTGGCGACTCTCGCGGTCATTGCGAGATTTGCTGCAAGAAGGCTGAAGAACTTACCCCTGGCCGCCGATGACTGGGCAATCTGTGTCGCACTGGTAAATACAAACTCTGCCTTTGTTTGGGATACTGGCTGACGCTGGCCAGCTGCTTGACTGGGTGTTGTACGGCTTCTTCATTGCATGTATGGGATCCTCTGTCACAACAATTGGTATTGCTACTCACAATCATCGATGTCATCTAGGCAGGGAATATGGACTTGGAAGGCACCGAGAGGTAGTTTCAGAAGACAATATCCCTGTGTTTCTCCAACTGTTGTACTACTTCCAGATTGCCTATATTCTCGGCCCGCCAACCGTGAAGTTGTCGCTTTTACTGCTGTATCGCCGAATCTTCGTATCATCTCGGTTCCTCAGAATCGTGTATGCTGTCGGTGCAATTATCAGTGTGTGGACGATCATCACGATCTTCCTAGCCATCTTCAACTGCATACCAATCAGTGGGTTCTGGACCGGCCAGGGGCAATGCATCTCATTTAGGGATTTTGCCATCGGATATGCCATTGTGAACATCATCACCGACCTGGCAGTGTGGCTCATGCCGATCCCGAACATGTGGAAGCTGCAGCTTCCGACCTCACAGAAGATTGCTCTGACGCTCATCTTCGTTCTTGGCTTGATGTAGCGGCCCTTCCGCCCCATGAGTGACTAACTGAGGACTAAGTGCGGCTAACATGTCATTTTCGTTAGTGATTGCGGGGCAGCCCTCGTGCGACTCTTTTCATCAGTGCTCGTCATCGGCAACTGGGATGTAACATATTACTATGGGCGCGGATTCATATGGTCCATTATCGAAGTTTCCCTCGGCATTGTCTGTACTTGTCTTCCCACCATGCGCGTGATTCTAAAGATTGTCCTGAGTCGAAGTTTCGCTCGAGGCTTCGGATTTTCGAGTTTGACTCCTCGGCCTCGCCGTTCAAGCAAAGGAGGCTGGGTCCGGGCATCCAAATACAATGAGCTCCTGGGGCCATGGAGTGTGCAGCCTGGCGCTGGGAATCAAAGCCATAGCAATGTCACCATGGGTGTGAGACGAGAGAATGGTGCCAGCGCAGCACGGGAGATTCGAGTTTTGGAAGAGATCAAGGTTGAGCTTCAGCATATTAAAGCACCCTCGCCTACAGCGCCGTGTTTAGGACCATGACAGAAGACTAAACTCCGTCTCCGCCTCGGCGTGCTAGCGTGTGAGATTCAAATTGCGATCACATCCAGCGTTGACAATCAAAGTGATGTGAAACAGGGCCAGTGATACAAGTCGTCTTCTGGCATTTCGAATCAGACCAGTCAATGCCAAGACACAATCTTACTCAAATTTGAGACCACCCGAATTTCCCCGGAAGACCGTGATCGTTGCGCCAAGAGTGTCAGCATCTCTTTCAATGGTCTCGAAAACAGGGTATGCAGAGGAAGTCCAACGTGTTGGCGTATGGCGTCATGAGCAGAGTTGGTCACATCGGAGCTCACCGTTTCGGTCTGTTTGGTTGTTCATTGTATCGTTTGGTGGACACACTCGTCGTGATTGGGACGATAGCGAGAGATGTTATAGGACTTGGATTGAAGGTCCAGTCGCAGAGACAATACAATGGAACCTTGGGGTGGCTGCGAGATGAACAAAAGGGACGGAAAAGCGTTTAGTCACCTGGCCCCACGTGCAAGCACAAGAGCTCTCGGATAAAGCGTGCCGAAGGATGAGCGCCGGCGACAAAATTCGGTAAATGCACAGAAACAAAGAACACGAAAAGACCCCACGGGGAAGCAATGACAGTCGGGAACCTCCGCTGCGGGGACACGGAATCATTCCCGCCAATAATTACATAAATGTGAATGTCCAACAACTTTTTCTTGGTTCTCGGAAATTTCCCCAAGCATGCCCAGTGACAGACATGGGAATGCAAGAGAAATTGTCCGGGCAAACCTCCCGAAACGATGATCACGGCCAGTATCCCGATCAACGCCAGCAACAGACCGAACAAGCGCCCGAGGATGTATCCGCCCGCGACAGTGCAGAACAAGAAAAGCCACCTCCCAACGGAGGTGTGAATTCGTGGCTCAATGTGGCCGCGGCGTTCTGTGTTTTCGTGAATACCTGGTATGCTTTAGCCAATAATGTCGAGGTTCAACACAGTCGGATAGGTATACTGACCGACTGATGAAGGGGGTTAATCACCACATTTGGTGCGTTTCAGGAGTATTATCGAACCGTACTGTTGCGCGACCAATCTTCCTCGGCGATCTCATGGATCGGTAGCATCCAAGCCACTCTGATCCCCATGGTGGGAATGGTCACGGGGCCAATGGTCGACGCCGGATATCTGCGTGTACTAATTTTGTCTGGCAGTTTTCTCATCGTATTTGGCATGATGATGACAAGTCTGGCGACCGAGTACTATCAGGTACGACCCTATCTGCAGTACATGCACCCGTATACATCGCATGAAATCTAATCCTAGTCCACAGGTACTCTTATCACAAGCCTTCTGTACGGGATTAGGTGGAGGAATCTCATACATCCCCGCCATGGTGGTGTTATCCTCCTCATTTACAACGAAACGAGCCGTGGCAGTCGGCTGTGCATCCATCGGGTCGAGCGTTGGCAGCGTCATCTTCCCAATTATGTTTCGCCGCCTGCAACCTATCATTGGATTCCCTTGGGCAGTCCGCTGCATAGGGTTCATCAATCTATTCATGGCCATTATCGCGTGCTTGATCCTGTGTCGCCATCCGCGAAAGAAAACTCGTGCGCGAAGTCTAGTTGAGTGGAAAGCTTTGAAACAGCCAACATTCATGCTCCTATCGGTATCCCTCACCTGCGTGATGCTCGCCTACTACGTTCCGATTTTCTACGTTGCCACCTACGCACGAGTGAAACTGAACACGGAGACGAACCTGTCTTTCTACCTAGTGTCCATCATCAATGGAGCCTCGGCCTTCGGACGGACCGTTCCTTACCTGCTGGGCTCTCGTGTCAACACAGCATTCGTCCTGATTTCGTGCACCACTGCATCGGCAATTGCCATGTACACCTGGATTGCAACGAGCAATACGGCGGGATTCATTGTCTGGGCCTGTTACTGGGGTTTCTTGAGTGGGGTCCTGGTCACCGCACCGACCGCAATCGTCGCGCACCCCGTTTTCACCCCGGACAAGAACTACCTAGGCACTCGCATGGGCATGATGTGGGGAATCAGTTCCTTCGGATCGTTGGCCGGGGCACCCATTGCAGGCGCATTGGTCGATCTTGAACACAAGAACTTTGTTCGGTCCCAGGTGTTTGCCGGAAGTTTGATGGTGTGGGCTGTGCTATTACAACTGTGGCCGACTATTGTTGCATTCAGGTACGATCGTAATAAAGATCGAGAGGCCAAGCACTGAAATAGGGATGGGCCAGAATACAAGTCACTGGCGATGGTCTGCTGGCCTCTAAGCCCTTGTGAGACTACGTTTTATCACTTCGCTCATGAACCATAATTTATCACGTCATGTGTACATACAACAAGACACCGATATCTATTTTTAATCGGGTTGTTGAGGAAATATATACGGATTTCTAATGACAATTTAATATCCTCAACTGCTGTATTACCTGTATAGTAGCTTTGCTATCGATGAACCTATGGGTACTCTCTCAAGTAATTATGTGCTGGACGGACCTGGCGTTTATAGTTAGATGACTACTTTGCAGACAATATGTATGATATATACTACCATAGACCTACAATTTCTAATATCTAGTTGTGGAATTCGTAACCATTATTTTTAACCTACGCTCGGAATCGCCCACACTATTTTTAAGCTTATCACTTGTTCCTACTTATTCCAGGGTCGGAAACTGCCTTGCCAGAGAAATTATGCTAATGTTACATTGCATCTGTTCCGGCAAGCTAATCATGCAGCTTGCCGACTGGACGATGGCGAAGTGCATTGGTGAACCACCGGGCGTATCGCCGGGCAGGGGTTTGCCCTAATAAGGCTGGCGGATTGGAGGAAATCCTAGTCAGTTTGGACCAGCGGTGTCTCGCGCCAAACACCTCATTTCCCTGAGATGCAGGGGCCGGATTCTCCTTATAGCCATCTTGTTCCCTGCAATTGTAAGCCATGAATCTGTCCTGTTATTCATCCTCGCTCGCCCCTGGGTCATTCTCATCCACCACGTCCCCGCCCCCGACTCGCATGAATTAGCTATTTCTTCACCACACAGGTTTAACTTGGAGAAGCACAAGCGTCTACAAATCGAGTGTAGCGCTCAGGTCGCTGTGTTACCCAGAAAGTGGATTCCTATTGTTTGTGGTCCAAACCCACCTCCGGGGTTTTGAATCTCGACAGTCTGAGGTGGATCTTCATAATCAACTCCGCCAGGATAAATTGAGGAATCCTCGTTTTGGATGTTGTTGTTTCTGGAGGGCATCAACCCTTTAGCATTCACACAAGCGGCCTTGACGGAATAAACCGACCGGTTTCTAGGGTGACATACGGTAACGGACAGCAAGACGGACGGGTTCCATGGAGAGAAGGCACAGTGCCGAAGGCCTTGAAGTCGCGCGATTCCAAGGCCTGGAATATAATGGAGACGCCGCCGGTCTCCAGTATGTACCTCCGGAGATCGCGCACAATAGCGCAGCAAACACTCCGTATACGATCGAGCATCTTCCGGAAAAGCAGAGTCTGCAGCGCAGAATTTGCGGCTTACCAAGAACCGGTTTCTGGATATTACTCGCGTTAACCACAGCGTTCATTATTGGTGGTGCTATTGGTGGAGGAGTGGGTGGCTCAATCGCAGCGAAAAAGAGCAACAGCCCACCGTCACCCGCGTCAACGACAGCTTACACAACTTCATCCGATCCAGTTATATCTGCTACTCACTCTGAGCGATCGATAACGGCTTCGGCAACTTCTTCTGCTCCGGTTACATCTGGCACAAGTGGCATAGCCGCTAACCCGTGCCCGGGAATCAATCAAACTATAGTGACGGGGTCCACGGGCTCCGCGTTTACTGTTCTGTGTGGTGTTGATTGGCCCAGGGGTATCCAAGCCATGAACGGCAAGGGAAAAGTGAGTGATATTGGTCGCGCGACTGTGTACTCTATACAGGAATGCATCAACACCTGCCTTGACTCCAACAAGGATGATTGCAAAGGTGTAACTTATTCGGCCAATTTGACATCCTCATTTGAGGGTGGACAAGATGGAAACTGTTTCTTCAAAGATCAAGCTGGCATATATTTTCCAGGGGGTGACACCATCATATCTGCAGGAATTATTGGGGGTTAATGCTCCGGATTGATGTATATTAAAGTTTACAGGAGAATTTATGAAACATTAGCTGTATCTGAGTCAATGTTACTACACCTAGATCACTAAGCACTACATGGAGCCGCGAGTATGCGTCCTTGTTAACGTTTTCCTTGATATTTCATACTATATAGGGCAAGCTGAGACTCTAAGCGCCTAACTTCATGGGAGGTACTCGAAGTCACAAATACTAGTGCCACCATGTAGTCTTTTGCCCGAGACTTATGTCGTTGGGGTGCAGGCAGATATTCAAAAAAAGACAATAGTAATAATAATTATTTATTAGTATTATTAATACCTAAATAAATATCTAGTATAACTGTTTAACAGCTCGTACCATATCCCTAAATGTTCTCGCAGCTTGTTCAATACTTTCAGTATTTCCAACAGTTCACTTGTTTCCGATCAGGTTTATAGTGTTCCTCTCCAGCGGTAGCACAGCTTTGTATTGGAAAACGAGCCCGGCGAAGGCTATATGCGATGGGGAAGATAGAACAGCATGCGATCTGCCAAGATGTCCTATTAGCAATCCTAGTCCTTCCCCCTCAATACGGTTATTTTTGGACCGATCGACCCTATTCCCACGGAAAATTTTATTTAAGATCTAATTAACGTTCTAAACGCATTTTCCTGGTTTTTTGTATTCGATTAGTCAGTATTGGTTGGCGAAAGAGATCTACTTTTCAGGGTAGAGGGCCGGTCAACTACGTAACGATACTGCTAGCTCGCAATATTTTAGCAAAAGAGACGGCTAGACGGCGTTGGAGCCATATCACTAGAGAGGACTAGTGCTTATGCCAACGAGGTCGGCATCCCTGCATAAAAGAACAAAGAGATCGATATTTGTTGGGGCTGGCATCTTGGCACACTGCTCGTCTTCCAGCTTCTGGCGAGGCCTAGTTGTATCCCGTTGGCGTCGACATTCAGCGTTTGCTGAATTCAGCCTCACGACCAACATCATGACGGTTGGGTTAAATTGTCTACCAACTACTCAAATCTGAGCTTCTCGGTACAGATCGTGGCCCCCATGTATTAGTCGCGTTGTAAATCACCAAGTAGTACTTAAGAGGGTATAATATAGGCAGCCATCGGCATTGGAGCAACGCCAGATCCCTGTAGGAAGACAAAGAAAGACAGCGAGACCCCTGGGAGGGACACATATTTAAACCACTACCTTCGCCCAAAGGTACCTCTTTTCTCCATACGGAGTACATCCCCTATCCCTGCCATACAATATTACACGAACCATGCCGTACAAATCCCGCTGGCGGATCGATGTCCCCAACGCCCACCTAGCATCACAGCTACTGACCTCCCCCACCGCACCCCTATCCAAGACCGATAGATGTTTCCTGGACGCCGAACGCGCCGACACGCACTATTTTACGACCCATGACTTCCGGCTCTGGAGCCAGCGGTTCGCGGCCGGACTACGAAAGTCGGGTCTGCGCCCGGGAGACCGCGTGCTGATGTTCTCCGGCAACGACCTGTTCTTCCCCGTAGTGTTCATGGGCATCATCATGGCCGGGGGCATTTTCACGGGCGCAAACCCGATGTTCGTGCCGCGCGAGCTTGCCTACCAGCTCAAGGACAGCGGAGCGACGTATCTGATCTGCGCGCGCGCCAGCCTCGACACGGCGCTTGAGGCAGCCAGACTAGTTGGCATGAGTCGGGACAAGGTATTCGTGTTCGACAACACGCTGTACGATGGACACGGGGTCGGGGAAAAGGGGTGTCGATACTGGGGGGAACTGGTAGCAACGCCAGAAGAAGGCGCGGGATTTGCGTGGGACGAGCTGCGGACACCCGAGCTGGCGGATCGGACGCTCGCGCTCAACTACTCGAGCGGTACGACGGGAAACCCTAAGGGCGTGGAAATTACCCACAAGAACTACGTCGCCAACATGCTGCAGTTCACGTACATTGAGCACCTTCACCCGAACTATGAGGACAAGAAGGCTCGCAAACGCTGTCTATGTTTCTTGCCGTTGTACCATGCCATGGCTCAGATGATTATGATCGCCGCCACGTTGGCCCTGAACACGCCAGTGTATATCATGCCGAAATTCGACTTCATCCAGATGCTCGCGTACACGCAGAAATACCGCATTACGGACTATGTGCTCGTGCCACCGATCGTGGTGGCCTTGGCCAAACACCCGGCGGTCAAGCAGTTTGATCTCAGTAGTGTGGAGGATATAGGGTGTGGCGCTGCCCCGTTGGGCAGAGAGGTCTGTGACCAGGTGCAGGCTCTGTGGCCTCCGGGGAAGGTGAATATCAGGCAAGGTTATGGAATGACTGAGTAAGGCTTCCTGTCGTTTGTGATACAGTTGGAGATGCTCATGAGTGTCTATAACAGAACCACCTGTTCGATCATGAATTGGGATCCCCGGAAGAAGGGTTTCTCGGCTGCTGTCGGGGAGCTAAACGCCAGCTGCGAGGCGAAAATCATGGCGGAGGACGGTGTGACTGAACTCACAGAACGCAACCAGCGCGGAGAGTTGTGGTTGCGCGGACAGAATGTCATGAAGGGATACTGGCAGAATCCGGAGGCCACCAAAGCAACGAAGACCGAAGATGGGTGGCTCAAGACGGGCGATGTTGCTTTCGTTGACGACCACGGCCATTTTCACATTGTAGATCGGCTGAAGGTGGGCACTGTGTGTGACCAATATAGAAATTTAGCTGACAATTGTGGCACAGGAGTTGATCAAGGTCAAGGGCAATCAGGTTGCCCCCGCTGAGCTGGAGGCCTTACTGCTGGAACACCCAGCCGTCGCAGATGCCGCTGTGATCGGAATTACCACGTACGTCCTTCTTGTTTCTCTATGACATGTCCGTCTTTGCAGCAAAAGCTAACGTGAACATAGCAACAACGATGAGCGGCCCCGCGCCTACGTTGTGCTCAAGCCCGGTCAAGCCGCTTCGGCCAAGGATATCGTGCAGTTCATCGATGGCAAGGTGTCGCCCATCAAACGGATCACTGGCGGGGTAGTCTGCGTCGATGCCATTCCCAGAAATCCATCAGGGAAGATTTTACGCAAGACGCTCCGCGAGCAGGCTCAGAAAGAGCTGAAGAAAGGCATCCACGCCAAACTGTAGACAGACTTCGCAACGCATGGCACTTTCAGTACATGTGCTGTCAACGTTCATACTTGACTAGCGATATACTAGTTGCTTCTGTCGATTGGATTCGGACTTCTGCTCACTTTCAGGGGTAGGCAATGGTTTTGTTTCCTTGTAATGCTCCAAGAATCGAGAAGCGCGGACAGTTGTCCAGTTAGGGATATTCTGTGTAGACGTCACCGTGTCAAATAGATACCGAGCAAGTTCCTCTTCTGGCTCACCGATAATAGAGGATATATGCTGGTCTGTAGCCTCCAATTCCGCCTTTAGAGACACGATGGCTATCGAAGCGGCGAAGGTCGAGCTGATGATACCTTCATAATGGGGCCAGGAAAGTAAAGCTTTGACTGCTCTCAGTCTGAGGGAATATCGCGGGCAATTAACAGCCACCGTATGAAGCCCTGGAATAATTCCTAAGTCCAGGGTAATCGTCGGACGTTCCGGGAACTTGGCCATGTATGCCTCATGGGCTAACAGGAGAGCCTCATATTCGGGTATCAAGTCCTTAGGCACAGGTTTCTTCATAAGACAAGTCTTGATCGCGACGAGCTGACTACGATATTGTAATCGAACGATATCCGCGCTTTGCTGCCCCCTGTAACTCAAACTAGGATAATAACGATCGTAAAATGTCTCGAATTGGTGGCGGAAACGAGTATATAGGGACAGGAGCCGCTGCTGCCTGAGGCATAACTTGCTGTAATTGGCCTGGACCTGGGCACTGGAAAGCCGCCAGCGATTGGCGAGAAAATGGATACCAGCATGTAGCAAGGAATTCATATTGCGCCGTACCTCTTCTAGACTGTGGAGGGGGCGAACGAAGTCCGCGTCGGACAGTTCCTTGAGCCCGTCGTTCGCAAATAAGAATGGGCCGGATCCGAAATGCGCAGACTGGACGTCCAACTGCCGAAATGCCTGGATAACGCAATGGGGGATACGCTGTTTCGAGGTGTGCGGAGCCTCCTTTAATATCCGGAGACCACCTTGCAAATGCTGCAGAGCTCTGGTATACTGTCCCAATAGCAACTCGGCGAGAATAAAGAGCAGGCAGCATAGCAGTACGATTTCGAGGCGTTCGGGATCCTGAGAAGCACATCGTCGGTTGAGGAGGGCAAACGATATGCTAGCCTGTTCAAGCGCGAACCGATGTAGGGGTCGCCGGAGGTTTTCGCCTACCAGCAACAGCTTGGTCGTCTCGGAGTCTTCGTGGAGGGCGCTTAGCGCATTTGCGGCATGGTACACGGCCGGGTCGGCGCGACTCATCTGCAGAGCCAGTTGCTGCCATAACTGGGAGTCGAAGAATCCGGCCAGGCTTGGGATGGAGCGATATTGGAAATAGGAGAAGCACCGTCTCTCGTCCGCGGTCGGCACCCAGGCCAGGCACAGCTCCACTTCTGGAATGCGGCCCAGGGTGCTCTTCCTCTTGACAGGCAAACGGCACAAGTCATAACCCTCGCACTTCAGTCCTGCGGTGGCGCAGTTGTTGCATTGGGTGGGAGCTTCATCGCATTTGATGCGGCGCGCGCTGCGCCCAAGATTAGCCGAGGTTTACCCATACGTCGGTCGTTTTCTTACCGGCAGGTCCGGCATCCCGTCATCGACCGCCTCCCGCGTTTCCGGCGTCGTGGAGGATCTTCTGTCATTTCCACACCAGCTCACAATCCCTGCGCGGGGGAGTCAAGGGGGTAAAATACAGCAGATCTATTAAGCTTTTGCCTAAGTTGAGCTCGACTGCAGCTAGGGCTGAGCACATCCTCCCTGGACTCGAGTGTTCCGAAGAGAATCCTCGCTTATGCATGGGTGGATGATCTCATGCCTTCTCCGTGTGGTTCGTTCCAAGCCAAGTCCCCACAACTTACGTGGCGCCATCATATTCTGTCGCGCTAGCGAAACGGGGTTCTTCTTGAATAATTCGCAACAAGCATGTTTGTGGGTCTTGTGAGACTCATCAGAACTTTGACCATACTAACGTGAGGGTCTTTGCTCCTTGACCTCGCAGCACTATGTCCTAGTACGCTGTGCCTGCGCCAAGGTCTGCAACCAGTATGCAAGTGGGACCGGATATAGCATGCCAAGAGTAGAATGACAAAACAATATGACAGGCTAACGGTATTGAGCTGGTGAAGATGAGCAAGTTCCGTTGTCATTTCAGAAAGTGATATCGATTACGATCAGCTGATCCTGAGCCAGAATATATTATGTCCACGTGAGCCCATTGTAGCCTGATGTCGATTGCAGTGATCTACGTTGAAGAGGAAGAAGATTAGCGCAGGTAGCAGAAAGACGAGAGCATCGAAGGGGATAGATAATTTAGTGCCATATAAATATCTACGTAGTTCTGTACGCAACTTGGTGGTGGCCACGTGGAAAGACGAGGAATCCATGTTTCAAAGCCACGAGCAACCGTGGTTCTCATAACATCCAAACAAATACTGACTCAAACATAATCTAAACAATACTGGATATACGACTATATCCGCTGGCTATACGATGTGACCCCAGCTCCTGAGTCTGGGTACGTTCGATAAGTTGTACCCGCACCGTCAATGTCCTCGCACTTGACGGTCAACTCACCTTTTCAAAAGGGCTCATACTACCCTCCCCGGATGAGCGAGTTGACAGAATCACCTCGCACCTCTTCTCTACGTTTTGCGTCCGAGATGTCTTCAAACCGTTAACCGGAACGGTTTGTGATAACGTTTGAGGATCCATTCCCCAACGCAATGGAGGCTGACCTGCTACAATCATCCCCTCTATATCTGCGGGGCGACGAGTTTGCGAGGGAGAGCATGTGTGCTCTTCAATATGCGTTTTCGGTTTATGTGGCCGCCGAGAATGTAAGGGAGCCTATTGAGCGCGTCGAAAATCACGTTTATCACTTGTGGGCTTCTTGGCTTTCCCCATTGTGTACGTCATGCTAGTCTCGCGTTACTTACTATCTACGCTCAAGCGCATCACACTTGACGCCAAGGTGCATACGAAAAGCGATCACTGCACCGGTTGGGTTAGATTGAACTGCAATTTTCTAAATGCTCATTAGAACGTGCGAGATCTGGTTCCAAGGCTTCATCATCCAAGCCCATAGAAACTGCCACGGCATCTTCTTCAAGACCATAGTATTTAATCTACGCGTGGCGTTTGGGCCATGCAGATTAATTCTCGGTCGGCTAATTTACGCAATGTCCTCCGTACAAACAGATCTTCTGCCATTGGGCCTCGCCTATATAGCTTACTTATCCTGACGGGAAATCACTCGGGAGCGGCCGAGGGTTGCCAAGCGCGTCGTGGACATGTCGGACTGCGGAATAGAGTGATGGGCTGTTGCGGATAGTTGATTGGGCGCATATTGCAAAGGAGAATGTCGGCCAAGGGCTGTCGCATTGGGATACAAGAAGATCACTGGCCTACTCGCTGGTGGATCGTTGATCCCATCTCCGTGGTGGGTCGTATTGGTGGATTCCCGGAGCGGCTGTGCCATCACGACGTACGCTAAGTGGGACGGGATCGTGGAGGATCTCGGCCAGATTGACAAGAGAGATATGGTACTGAAGGCGGGGTTGAAATGCGTTCAAGAGGGTGAGCATTTTACCCAGACATGCCAAGTATACATCTTGCTGTGCCTGCGATACCTCAATAGTGCCGGACACAACGTCTCCACCGCCCTCAGCACCGCCTGATCCTGAAATGGTTTAGTGCGATCCATGTGCTACGAACAAACCCGTCAAACAGCAAGAATGCGCTTTGTTCTCCTCTTGTTCCTCATTTGAATTTTGATGGTATTGCGCTATGCAATATGATGTAAAAAACTATGTAAAGAAGCTAATGAGTTTTATCCTGCTTTCCAGAGCAGGTATGCAAATCTAACGATCTATATGCCGAACGCCTTGACTCAATCAAGCGAAAATTTGCAAAATCAAATTCCAATCACAGCAACCAGCGCATCCATGGCAGAGCTATGTGTCGAAGCATCCACCTGAGAGACGGGGCCGGCCCAGTCCACACCCAGCTGGTTCTGCGCATTCCGATCGTTTTTCCAGATGCTGGTGGCAGACGCATTAATTATCTTGACGTACGCATCGTCTGGGGCGACAGAGTGTAGGAGCTTCAAGTTCCGGATGAAGATGCCCTTGAACTGCGTTTCGTTGCTGTCACAGCTGTCTGGTTCACAGGACTCATGGATGATGTCGTTCTCGTCCGCCAGATACGCGATCGAAGCTTTGGCAAGCTTTGCTGCGACATCCACGTATGATTCGTTGGAGACTGCTCGGTCCAGTTCGGCGAGACCTCCGAGAACGACTGCTTGGTTGTAAGACCAGCTGTTCCGGCATTGTTAGTCTGCAGGTCCCATAATGCGTGCATGGAATGTTGAATGGTCAACACTTACATTGTTCCCCCGTTGTTCTTACAATCGCTCGATAATCCATCGTTGATGGTGTTGTTTACGTTGATCATCCCGCTGTCCTTGAACCACGTCCATTGTCGTCGAGCCCAGTCGACGTAATAATCGCGGTCAGAGGCACGATTGGCCAAATGCGCGGCGAGAGAGAAGAAAAGCTCGTTCGTGATGGCATTCACGTAAACATGTGTAAAATCGGAGTCAATTCCTCCATTTCCACATTTCGATGGCCAAGCTTGACTCTGAACGGCCAATTATTAGCAACCATTCCTAGCGAAAGAAAAGACAGAAGTCCGTACCAAATGCTTGAAAATCCCGGCGGCCAAATCCAAGTAATCCTGGTTTCCTGTCACATCGTACGCGGCGATCCACGCTAGTCCCCACCATGCATCATCATCATAGGACCCATCAAGCCATTGCGTGGCGTCTACAGAACGCTTTGTGCTCACGGCACTGGAATAGTACGAATCATTATTCCGCTCGGGATACGGGTTCGACACGGGCCCGACGCTGAAGGTGTTTGCGAACACTTCTTTCACAGTGTTGTTGACCGATTCAGAGTCGTCGACAAGTGCCAGGTCCGCCAACACTGTCATGCAATTGGCCCCGTTCCACCACCCGCAGGTATTCCACATACCTGTGGATGCGTTATACCATGTCTGCAGCGTGGTGAGAGCGGTTTCTGCTCGGGTGATGGCGGCGCTCTGTGCGGACACGCATGTCGCCAGAAGCAAGGGGGCCAAAAGCGACCGGGGTGAGGGCGACATTTTCGAATTGAGATATGGAGGACAGGACGAGATAGGTCAGCAGTCAGCAGCCATGGCTGTGTCCCTGCTTCTTATAACGCCGGAAAATTTCAAAAAAAAAAATAGACCCCCACTAATGCAGGGGCCAAGGGAGACGAAAAAACACGTAAGTGTACAGGCAACAAGGAACCAGGGGTGCATATGCCCTCAGGCATTCTGGAATCGATCAGATGGCCCTGTCACATCCCTGGTATGCAAAGAATGGAGCAAAGCCCCATTCTTGAAACTGGAGACCCATTCGTGATACATCACCCGATTAGCCGCCGTTATTGCCGAGCTTAAACTTCAGACTTTACACCTCTGCCTGTTCCTGACCTTGTACCTGATGGGTCCTGAATATCATTGCCGAATTTGACCAGTGATCCATGGTTGATCGCCGCCAGAGGTTTCGCGTTGCCACAGATCTCCGAAACGCCGAGCTTTGGGACTCGGCCACTTCCCGATATATTGATCGGATTTTCAATAGTCACCAGTGATAGACAATGATCATTCCGCTTCTATAAGGTTATCAACAGCTCTGATCGCCAGTATTTAGACATAGACTGAAACAAAAGCAAAACTCACAACGAAAGGGGCTATATTCTCCAACTCTCCAAGGGGTAAATAACCCGAACCTTAGGTGAGCATGCATGAAATTTGAGCCTCGACCGGATCCTTTCCATGGTTCGGATGAACTCAGATGTATCCGATTGTTTTGACTCGGCTCCCGTTCGCTTTCACAATGCCCGAGTGGGTATTGATTAGTTCAGCTCTAGGCTTCTAGGCATTCTGGGCCGTGGACAGCCCTATTGTGGATATTCAAATTTTTGACTGAAAATGTGGGAGTCCGGATGTTGTCGCACAACAGTGTCGGACAGTAGTTATTTGGCCTTGTCTCTTGGCTAATTGTTGGGAAATACGTCTTTATTTCTTGACGGAAGAGATTTGTATTTATTTATGGTTAGCTTATTATTTTTATTTTTATTTAATCTTTTCCCTCATATTTCTTGAGTTAGTATAATGCGTTCGCTTATCAAGTTGGACCCAGTCGCCCTTCAAACGGTTCGAAATATATCATCAGCCCCGAAGAATGTTCGACATCCCCACCGAGCGCACCCCCTTCAAATGCCACTAATCGTGCAAAGCCCAATGTCACCGTAGCTAAATTCCTCTGTGGATAAAATCTGAAACTGGAATCGACTTTATTCCAACGTCAATGTAGTATACAGGTCGATATCGGAGTCGGTGGATCAGTCATCCATATACGATATGACGTGCTTCCGGTATCCGATGAGCAACGCAATTTCACGCGACTGATTGGCGCCCATCATATGAAATCGGTGGGATTCAATCTCGCCTGCTAGGTAGCTCCTTTTAAGTACCCAGTAAGGAGAAGCGAAAGTTATTATTTGAGTACGCCCCAATAGTGTCAAGCAGCTTCTATGGCTAGAGACAAGCTTAGGGCGGGCCAGGGACGCACGGCTTTCGGCAATTGCGCCATCGAGCTAGCTCAAGCTATCCTAATGATAAAATAACTTATTTTCCTTCGTTCCTCGTTACATTGAGGTGTAGTTAGACATCATTCAGACTCTGCAGCTATGGTCGTCGATGCAGATGCAGTGGCTCGTCTCGATTCCTCTCAGGAGGCAGGAGACAGGACGGTGTCTCAGTACCAGGCTATCTCAAAGGACAGCGATAGACAGCCAAATGGCTATGGTGATGACGAGGAAAGTGCACTGCTTTCTCCTCCGACCGCAAATGACGAGCGTGAAGTAAAGCTTTCGACTAGTGTCAGCACCATTGTCGCCGTCTTACTACTCGGTTGGAACCCATCTTGACTGGATGAATCAAACCAGGCGACTGACTTGTGATAGGCGAATTTATCTCAAATGCTGATAGCACGTTAGTTATGGCTGCGACGGCAAAGGTGTCGTCCGAATTCAACAAGCTTCAGGATGCCAGCTGGTTGTCGACGGGGTATACCCTGGGGGTATGTGCTGCGCAACCGATGTACGGAAAGCTGAGCGACATATATGGACGGAAAGCGCTTCTACTTGTGGCATACATTCTGTTTGGATTGGGTTGTTTTGTCTCGTAGGTTCTGTCTACCGTGGTGTTGATCTCATATACTAACAAGTGGTTCTTCAGGGGCGTCGGTCGGGATCTTTGGACGGTCATCCTCGGCCGAGCAGTCAGTGGGATCGGAGGTGCTGGCATCATGACCCTTGGCTCGGTTATTATCACTGGTATGCGTTCAAGGATCATCATGGAGTTCTTGTGACTGAATTGTTTGGCAGATATTGTCCCCCGACGGGAGGTCGCCTCGTGGAGAGCCTATATCAATATCGCCATGACTTTGGGTAGAAGTGTCGGAGGCCCCGTTGGTGGATGGCTGACGGACGCCATCGGATGGCGCTGGTACGTTTGTAATTCAAACCCTTTAAGAGTTTTCATTAACACTGCGGTCTTGCTATTATACTAGGTTGTTCCTTCTCCAGATCCCATTTATCGTCCTCGGTGGTCTTTTGGTGATTGCCAAGCTGAACATCACATACCACGCAACATCGAAAGCCTCGATCCGCCGCGTTGATTTCCTGGGAGCGGGACTCCTTGGAGCATCCGTGGTGGCCATCATCATGCTCCTCGATCGAGGTGGCCATGCCTTCCCATGGATCTCACTGCCTTCCTTCCTGTTGGGCGGTGTCGGTATCGCATCGCTTATGCTCTTCGTCTGGGCGGAACGCGTCGCAGCCGAGCCCATCTTCGATCTTCGGATTCTTGCCCGCCCAAACGTGGCATCCAGCTATATGGTTGGGTTCCTCCAGATCACCAGCCAGCTGGGCATGCTATTCTCCGTCCCGCTATACTTCCAAGTCACACAACGCGCGTCCGCGACGGTTGCAGGCGGTCATCTGGTGCCCGCCGTGGTTGGAAACACGGTAGGAGGGTTAGTAGCGGGTAATGTCATCCGTCGAACAGGCCGCTACAAGACATTGCTAGTCATCGGAGGACTTATCGCCGCAATCACTCATGTGCTCATGCTCATCCGATGGAACGGGCATACGAACATTGGAGAATCCCTGTATATCATTCCCGGGGGTATAGGCACGGGCATCGCATCAGCGTCTGCTTTCGTCGCTATGACAGCTCTACTAGAGCCCCAGGACATGGCCATGGCGACCGGTGGATATATGCTCATCGTCAGCTTTGCCATGACCACGGGTATCACCATGACCAATACGGTTCTGGGACTTGGATTCAAGCATCAGTTGGAACAGAACCTGCATGGCAGTGGGGCGAAGAAGGTGAGAGTCCTCCACGGTAATCATGGGACTACATCTGTACTGACTATCGTAGATCATTCGTCGCGCGACGTCGGATACTAATTATATTGCTAAACTGGAAGGAAAGATTTGGGAGGTTGTCGTGGGCTGCTTTGTGGCGGGCTTGAAGAATACTTATGGTGAGTCCTTTTTATAACTTCAATTGGTTACATTTGTGCTCATGGCTTGGTAGTGATCTGTCTTATTTTCTCGATCTTGGGCTCATTGATTGCATTGACAATCCGTCATCATCGCTTGTAGAATGCGAGGGTAGAAAGTGTCAAGGATATGGATGTTCTGAATTGACACGATTATGCTCAGTAGTCCTTCTTTCCCGCTACAAGTCGGTTTGTTAGTTCTTTCTACAAAATATAACTCACTGTTGAATACGTCCCAGGTGTTCTTGCTTTTAAAGGTAGCGAGCCGTTGGTAAGGGGGCTAGTAAGGGGATAGACCTCAGATGACCAGGGTGATCGTAGCTAAACATCAACTTCAATGTCTGACTTGGAAGTATAATTACACAAGCCACAAGAGAGACAGATGGACGCTAAAGTAAGACTTGCAGCCACACTCTGCCACGAATGGCTTAGTATGAAGACCAAATAGGCGGTATAAATACTGGATACCTGCCTTGAAGACACCGCGGTAAATTTTCATTCTTAGTGTAGCATCTACTCTGGCTGTCCGGTTCCAAATCTCAGCAACATCATTAGGGTCAACATGATTCTCAGTGGACTCGAAGTCGTCACTCGCCAATTAGTGCGTAACTTACGCCACCTCCCCCAGCAGCAACAGCCATGCGGTGTCGACCTCACTCTACGTCAAGTTTGCGAATGGACCTCCGCGGCTTGCATTGACTTCGATAATACCAAGCGTCAAGCGGCCAAGACTTCCAACCTGCCTTTCGACAACACCAGCCACGCAATCACACTACAGCCAGGCGCCTACTTGGTCGATTTCAACGAAACCGTTCAAATCCCGCGAAATTGCATGGGAAGCGTCTTCCCTAGATCATCGCTCTGGCGGTCCGGTGTCGGAATTGTTGCTGGTGTGGTCGATGCTGGATATGAAGGTGCGATGGGAGCTTTGCTAGAAGTGAAAAATCCCCACGGTGTCGTTCTATACCGAAATGCCAAGCTCGCACAGATTGTATTCCACGAATTGGGGGAAACGGTCGAGGGATACAACGGTATCTACCAATCCTCAACAAGTTCTGTTGGACGCGATGGCACGGAGAGGACTTAGTGTATGAGGTATGTCTGGCCATCGAACCTTCGTGTTAGGGAAGGGTAGTTATTCTTCTTAGGAAGATGTATACCAAGGACCGAGAACTCGTGCAGGTTTCTCATGCCTGCTATATAGTTTGTTTTATTTGTGATTTTTGTGCCTTTCGCTAGATTGTTCATTGTGTCACTCGACCTGGCTACACATTCTCGTCTAGGTTTACTCAAGAGCTTGGTGACAAATGATTGGGTTGCACTGGATATGCAGGTGTATATGTAGATAAAGGTCTGAATTTAAAAAGACGATTAATACGCATAAAGTCACTTGACATATAACTGCTGTATCTTTAACGAGGAAGGTTCAGCGAAGGTGGTTGCTGGTCATCACGAGACTAATTGTTGACCTACTTCAACGAAAGTCTTGCGGCAAACAGAGGGTCTGTCTAACCCTTGTCATTACCTGGGAGCCCTTTGTGCCACTGAGCTAAACAATAGCCTGTTGATTGTAATTATTTGGCCCCTACCATAGCAACCAGTAATAATAAGTCAAACCGATAAACTTACGAACAAACAGCGGATATTGCCGCTGCCGTGACCGGAATTGACCAGGCACTATCAGAATTGAATTTTATCTTTCATCGCTACACTAAGGGTTACCACAGGACGCATGATCCAGTGAATCTCGTACAAAGCATCAGGGAAAATGCTTTTCGAAGCGTGAGCCTGCGAGATCCAGTTCGTCCATGCGAAGGCCGTGATTATGGTCGAAATAATCAAGGCTGCGTAGGCTGTAGGAAGCGCTTCACTATAGGATGCTCTGCCGAATGAAATGTTTGGCACCAGATGTAAGGTCATGTTGAATCTTACTAGTCGAGTCAAACCAATATTCTACAGTAGCTAGTATGCTAAAGGCCAGCCAACAACCTTAGCTGTACGCCAAGCCTAAATCAGGTATCGCATATATGCCCATTGCACCCATTAAACGCGGACAGTCGCCACGTAATATATTATGACCCCATGATAAAAGTAGCTACTAGGATCCACTTTAAACAAACTCACCCCAGGAGTCGTTACGTTATGCGTCTGTGATCCAAAGCACAAACAGACCCTTCTGCCAAGAAAAGCTATCCCCACAATGCATCATGTTCTGCCTAGTGCTGCCTAGACTCGAAGGACTAACTAGTTAAATTTAACCAGTTGAACTACCCTAAATCCGACACACTTAATATACAGCATCCCAGCCTATATCACAGTGTCCTATTACCATCATCCCCAAACAATAATGAGCGCAACAACAACATCAGTCACCCCCTTCCTCATGTTCGAAGGCGACGCGGAAGCCGCCCTGAATTTCTACGTCCAAACAATCCCAGGATCCAGCATCATCTCTATTACCCGCTATGGACCCGGGGAAGCAGGCACAGAAGGGAAGGTTTCCATGGCCAGAGCGAATATCGGGGGGTCGCTTGAGGTTATGGCAATAGATAGCTACGTGAAGCACGCGTTCAAGTTCACCCCTTCGCTGTCACTGTTCGTCAAGTTTACAGAAGAGCATGGCGATGATGCCATCGATCGCGCTGTGGGTGCTTTGAGTGAAGGAGGCTCGGTGCTTATGCCGTTGGATAACTATGGGTTCAGTCGCCGGTTTGCGTGGGTGAACGATCGGTTTGGAGTTTCGTGGCAGCTCAATCTTGAATGAGTCAATCGGCAGGGATTTAGTGGATTTATATGGAATGCTTTTGCTTGACATTGGTAAAAGTGTGGAGTGGATATATTTGTCTGCAGAGATGGGGATTTGTTTTTATGTGGCCCAAGGTTTCCCGCAATCCTTTGTGCAAAACATTACATTAAAGATATCATTACTGGTAGCTCCTTTTCAGCTCTCCTTTTGTCGAACAAAACAGTACAATCATATCAAGCAAGCTCATATCGAACATGACTACTGTCTGCCTCCTTTATGCTACTTTCGCCGGACAGTTCATACACCGGCGTACCATCGAGACACATAACCTCTGGCACAGCCGAATTGGTGCAACTCTTCTCAGAGTCAGGTGCTGCGCAGGGCTCGCCATGCTCGATGGATGGGCGCCGATTTCTTCGTCTTTGCAGGAAGACCAAGGCACCGATAACAGCGCCGCAGAAAGGTACACCCAAGCCAACACCAATTCCTATTGCGAGGGCTTTGTCATGCGAGGAGAGCTCACTATTTGATTCTGGGGTATTCGACGGCGAGGCGGAGGGAGTGGCACTAGTGTTCGTATATGGTCTGGTCGTCACAGCGCCAAATTCCGTGGGTGAGGGTGTGGGTGTGGATGTAGGAGTAGGGGTAAGGGTGGAGCTGGAGGACGCCTCTTGATTCCAACCGATCCAGAATCGGGCGCTCCAGATGCCTCCAACTGCCTGGTCTTCACTCGAACCCTGTGCGTTGACCAGTCGGAAAACAAACGGTTTAGAGTCGTCTCGCGTAGGGTACCCGACTCTCCATTCGTGCCATGTAGATGCTGTATTCACTGTAGCTGTTGTCAAGATCACTAAAATATGGTGTCTGGGTGCTCGCTGCACTTACATGACAGGGCAACTGGATCGTCGTAGTTGTCGCCGTGGACCAGATACAGATTGGTGGTCTTGTACTTGGTTTCCCAACTGATATTCATGACGGAGCCTTGTGAGAAACACTGGGGCGCCCCATTTGGGTAGAAGAATTTGCCATCGGGCCAGATGTCAGGTTGCGGAAGAGGCACGGCAGGACATCCAGCGAGAGAGTACTGGGCTAGGAAAGGGACAATCCAGAGCCGCGGAAGCATGTTATCATAGAACGGTCGACCGAGCGAGTCTAAGTCTGGTATAGGTGTACTAGAGTAGGGGGGATAGTCTGCGAATATCTCTTGATCATGGTACGGTCAGCCACAAAGGCCCACACATGACTTTAAGCAATATTCGATTTTGCCACCATGGGATAGTCCGCTTCTCTCTGTCTGATATGCTACAGCTCCAGGGCTTAGTAAGGAGGTTGTATTCATTGTGAAGCATGGGAGACGATCCCCATCCAGCATTGTGCACTAAAGCCGCGAAGCTAGGCAGGGGTCCCGTTCCTCCCATTGGCCCCGTTTCTGGATAGCGCCTACCTGATGGACGATTGTCCTATCAAAAGTATCGAGATGCCGTTCAGGGTCCATTCACCATACAAAACAAAGACATTGACCGGCGCTTAGTGGTGCCTGTGCAAAAAGGACCCCATCAGCTCAATGTCACTCTATAAGTAGTGGAGACTCCCTCCCTCCGTCCCTTAATCCTTCTGACAGGGTCTTCGTCACCCCCCTCGCACTCTTAGCAATGATTTCCTCGCGTTTTCGAAATATCCCCCTCATTGTGGCCCCTGTACTGGCCTTTATTCTGTTGAACTATCTATTCTGGTTTCGAAAGGACGGGCATGCTACAGAGACGGGGTCCATTCAACGAGAAAATAATACCACCGGTGACCCAGCCACATCGAATCCATCTGGCTGCCCAGACCTACCAGGGATACACGACGTTCTGGTGGTCCTAAAAACGGGCGCCACCGAAGCATTGGAGAAAGTGCCAGTCCACTTCAACACCACCCTCAAATGTATCCCAAATTTCGTTCTTTTTTCCGACTTCGAAGAGCAAATTGCTGGTGTCCAAGCGCACGACGTCCTGCGCGGTGTTGACGAGACGATAAAGGAAACACACTCGGAATTCGATCTCTACAATCGACTACGTGAATCTGGGCGGGCGGGGCTAACAGCGGAAGACATCAACGACGATCCAAGCACGCCATCCGGCAAGCCCGATAATCGGGGATGGCTACTGGACAAGTGGAAGTTTCTCCCCATGATCAACGAAACCCTCAATATTCGAGCCGACGCAAAGTGGTACGTGTTTATCGAGGCAGACACGTATGTGGTATGGCCGAACCTTCTGGCATGGCTGGAGAAGTTTGATCCCAGCCAGCCATACTATATGGGATCGGGGGTAAATATTTTGAACATCAACTTCGGCCATGGTGGGTCTGGTCTCGTCATATCCCACGCGGCTATGCATAAGGTTTCCGAGTATCGTGCGTCCAGAGTTAAGGAATATGACGATTTTACCGCCAGTCAGTGGGCCGGCGATTGTGTCCTTGGAAAGGCGTTGAACGATGCAGGAGTTGGTCTTTTTTTCGCAAATCCCATGCTACAGGGCGATACACCGTGGACCTTCTCACATTATGGACCGAAGATTGACCACCATTGGTGTACGCCTGTGGTAACCTATCATCATATGACGCCGGACGATATTCGAGAGACTTGGGAGTTTGAGCAGCGTTGGTGGGCAAATGTAAGTATACGCTGGCCCTGGCCCAGAGCTAAACGGAAGTATACTTATTCATAAATTACCAGACACAAAGGCAGACCCTTCTGCATGCCCATGTATTCGAAGAGTTCGTCCGTCCACAAATCGGGCAAATAAAGGAGGACTGGGATAATGCCTCCTCCGATGAGAGCATTGAGGGCAATGGCAGTCAAGAGGACTGTCAAGCGCAATGCGAGAAGGATAGGGGGTGCCACCAATACTCATACGCGCCCGGAAAGTGCTTTACCTCCAAGGTAGCCAGGCGAGGCAGTGGAAAAGCCGGCATGGGCTCTGGCTGGATGGATAAAAGGATTAACAAAACAATGGACAGCCTCGGCTCTTGCCGAACAGTAAAGTGGATTACTCCACGATAATCCTTGCACTCGATTCGTGGTTGGTGAGTCAATCAATTGTCAAGCGGTGTCATTTTGGCCTTTGTACATACATACATACATACATACATACAGTCATCATAGGTTATAAATTTCTTAGAACCCCATCTGCAGGCGGTTGGGGAAAACTGAAGACATACACAGCGAAGATGGAGTTTTTCATTGGACTGACTCCCTGCCCTTCAGCTTCATGTGGCTTTCTGACGTGGCGTGGCCATGAATGCAGTAATCAAAATGGTCCTTCAGATTCGGTTCCAGCAGGCCCATCCAGACAACAGATACAATAGCTGAAGCTATTAAGGGAATCATTAGATAGCGAAGAATACTATTACACAAAAGGTTATGCGCGCATCAGAATATCTATTCATATAGTTCTATACTATCCAATAGATATCCAGTTTTATCAAATTGTGAGGGTATGCGATCCACCTGGCAGGCGAACAGGCACCCAACTAGGCCAAAAGGTCAGCTACATCTGAATCAGACTACAATTAAGAATACTCTGGATCGCACCGATATAATATACCTTGTAAAAATAGAAAAACAAATAACCTGTCTATTTTCCATAGTATAGATCATTGAGTAGGATAGAAACAATTTATATGGTCATATGTTTGGTTTTTATTCGCTTATTACGATCTACCCTAACAGGCGGGTTGAGGATCATAGCCTATTAGCGCTTAATGAGAGGGCTTTTGATAGGATGGAAATAGACCATTTTCTCTATACAGCCACAGCGGCTCCATATCAAACCAAGGGAATGTCTCGATTAGAGCGGCAGTGGGTTTATGATGCCCAGTAAGGAGAATGTTGAGGGGTTGAGGCTGAGGCGCGTCCAGAGCTGAGAGCTATTCTGAGACGGAACTCTTTTCCCCCACTGTTCTCGGCTGGAGACTTCTTGGTGGGGCTTTAATGCCAATACTTTCCAATCTAAGCCCATTAATATTGAATGGCACGTTTAGAGTGCTACTCAAGGAACTAGTATCTTAGCTGACTTCACCAAGTTTTCAACAATATATACCATAATAAGAGGATGATCACTAACTGTACACAATACAACACAAATCGTGAAGATAATAGTCACTAATGTGCTTTGAACTCCGTAGATACGGCTATAAATGACCCAAATACAACTGTTAAATTGAGCCCCCTATTCAATATGGGTTGAAATCCCCACCATTCACGGCCGCATTCCCGCTTTCAGCTTTCCAAATCCAATGCGAGGACGATAGTCCGTCACCGCAGCAGCTCCAAAATCCCACACAGTATAGAAATGTTGAAGTAAAGGCGTGCCGAGAAGGGCAAAATCATTACTCCCGCTGTCATCGAAGGGTGGATTGCATGCATCCTTCCTGTCGGCAAACCCAGGCTGGGCCAATTGATCGCCGGTTAAAGTCAACCTGGGGTCTGCTTCGGAGTCCCCGAAATGGAAAGTAACAGACCAGCTCGAGTTGAAGTCCCTGCATAGGGGTATATAGCCATCTTGACTAATGGCAGTCCAGTTCATGCCAATTGATGTGTAAAGCTCTGAAATGGCATTGGACGGTACCTGTAGTGCTCCAGCTCCCGTGTCGAACACTGCCCTACCTCCATGAATCTTACTTGTGGCTTGCCTTTTGCCTGCATTGCTTGACCCGGTAATCGACGAGAGAGTGGTGCGCCACACCTGGTACTCTTTTTCCAATGCCAATGGAACATATGTCAAGTCACCATCGACATACTGCTCCTCCTTCGAGCCGCCGATTGTGAAAACACCTTCCGGGTTTGTACCGGTATCCTTGAACTCTTTTCCATAGTAGATCGCAAAGCGGGGCTCGTCAAGGTGACCCTGCTGCATGAGGGTCTCGACCACGGTCGTGGTGTTCGCGACAGCAATAGTGCTAAAGGCTAATCCCAAGAACCCATCTGCAGAGATGAATCGCCAGGAGGTTTCATTCGCAGCTAGGAATGTCTGGTTCCACGTTAACCCGATGTCCCCCTGCGTCCCAGCCGGGAGGTTGAAAGTATCGGCTACTCCTGGGCCGGCGGTCTTTCCTCCGAAGTAATCAATGCTTCCATAAGCCCCTAGAGACGTGCCAGTCGAAGAGGCAGAAATGTTGTAGCCTTGCCGGTCAAACCTGATCTAGTTAGCTTTGTTGCTTAGAAATCTCACGGTTATTCATGGACGTTGTACCCGCTTCCATTCGGACAAGTTGTTGCGCAGTTCTGGTCAACGACCCATGTGGATGATGAACCGGTATCGAAATGAAGGAAATGTGTTTGAGAAGGTGTCCCGATATCTACTTCCACTGATGCCTGGAACCATTGGTTACGTTAGCTTATGCTGAATACACGAGATCAGGCTATCAACCTACATAACTATTGCGAAAGTGAATTAGCAGATCAACAGTCGCACACCACGTTGATGGTAAGATTGCGGCTACCACTGCAATCCGGTATGAATATCGTGTCATTACGACTCCTATCGATGCTCGTTGATCAATGAAATTGAAGTTCGTATCTGTTCAAAGGCGAATGGAGAGACAGATAGAGTTACAGATGCAAGAAAGGGCTACGTTCCTTATGCCGACATCTGGACCAACAAACTGAATTTATATCCATCCTGTCGCCAAGGAACTTGTCCCTTCTTACATCTTCTGCGGGATATCGACCATGAGAAAAAAAAACAGACCATCCACTGGGGAGAGCAACCCAGACACCAGCGCCTACGAAAAGCGAGAAAGTGAGATTTTGCGCTGTCGCCATAGGTTAGCTACCAAACACCATCATGAATGTGAAACATACCGTCGGATCTGTCCCCGGGGAAAAGTCGCGTTGATTGAATATACCCAGCCGTGTCCTCTCGGGCCGCTTTATATGGAACCTTAGGCGAAGATCGCTGAAGAAGACGAATGCGATAAGCATGTGGTGAACGAATTAAGTTCTTGGACTAAAGATCTACAGGCTCGGACACCTCGGAGCCCTGCCGCAGGCTCCGAGCCCTATATTAGTGTCTCGGACTTCTGAGACATTGTTTCACGGATGGACCTGCACAGAGTAGTAATATGGGCATCTACCTGCATTTACGGTCTTGTTGGAAAATACTTAGAGCAGCCTAACGCGATTTGGAGTATACCTCGGAAGATGAATTCAGGCAATTACCAAAACAGAGGAGATAACCTGTACGAAGATTATTGGACTCAGTAGCTAGCTATTCCCAGGTCAGATAAACGCATCCCGTGAACGCGTGGCCAGTGACCTGATCGCCCCATCCTCACTGGCGCACTAAGCTTGTTTGTGTGCTTGGCTCAGCAATATATCCAGGTAGTGAGCAGTGGAATTAAGCAGAGCGACATGCAGTGTCTCGTAATTCAAAGTAATGGTGAGATCTTTTGTTAAAAGAGACAGCATTCCGTGTCATGCTGAGTATGTTGAAGGATCTTAATACCTCGGTTGAGAAGGCACCAGCGTGTGTGAGCACATACCTATGTACCTTGTGATGGTAGCGCCCAAGCCTCTACTCCGTACTCGTGTTGAAAGACACTATTTGGTGCTACAGCGCGTATGTGCTAAATCGAGTAATCTTACCAGCGAGGTCTATCCTGCGCTTATCAAACTCATATTAGTTTTAGGAGCGGACTTTGGGAAGGATCGAAATAACTCGGACATGAAATTACTGTAACAAGCATGTGCTATATTCGCACAGGATACCAAGTAATAAACTGGGGCCGCTTTATGATACACGTATGCAATCCCTAAGCGCAGGCCTTACAGTTGTTGTGAGCCTGCTGGCTATCAACTCGCAGAGAATGGCTCTAAGGGAGCCTTTTCTAACACTATCTGTTTATCCATTTTAGCCAACATGTATTGCGATGTAAGTCCCGGCTTCCCTTCTATAGGGACGAACAGGCATCTGGTTTTAGCCCGCCACTACGCAACTCCAGCAGTTCCTCGAGGGTGGAACCAGAAAATTCGAAGCTCTGCTACCACCCCGGTAGGAACTTAATCACTCTCCAACCCGGCCAGGACACTGGCTGGCGGTGCATAAAAGGTCACTCCAGTCAGTGGCGTCGAGAAATCGAGCAAGCGGTCGTGTAAGCCAGGAGGGCTTCCGATGAACATGCGCTCTAGCATCTTTTCAATAACCCACAAGCGCCGAGTGTATCCAATGAAATATGTTCCAAACTCCCCCGAGCTAGGATTCCCGAAAGGCATATTGTCACGCAGAATTTCATGCTCCTCTCCATTCTCCTCGATCGTGGCAAGAGATTTGTGTGACTGTTGTTTACCTTCGTCGGCATCATCCAACTCGATATTCTCCCACTTGGTGCGGCCGATGATTGCTTCCTGCTTCTCGGAGGACATAGACTTCCATCCTTGGAGGTCGTGTACGTACTTCTGCACCACGATGTAGCTTCCTCCAGTAGCGGAGGTGTCTTCTTCAGCGACAAGGAGTGTATCGGAGACTGACGGACCGGTTGGGTTGGCTGTGCCGTCGACAAACCCAAGCAAGTCACGCACGTCAAAATACCGGAATCCGACCGTCTGATCGACAACCGTAACGGAGTCGCCGAGGAGGTCCATCAATTGGCGCTCGAACTCGAAGCATAGGTCACGACGATCCGAGCGGATGTGGAAAAGCAGGTCGCCGGGGGTGGACACTGCGGTGTGCTTTTTGCCCTTTATCTCACGGAATGGGTGCAGCTCGGCGGGGCGAGGAAGACCGGTAAGGCGATCCCAGACGTTGCTGCCGATTCCTACGGTACATGCGAATTGGGCAGCGAGGTCGCGAATAGAAACGTTCTTGGAGAGGTCATCGACGCTAGCGAGAGTCGAGCGGACGGTTTGAACGGCCTCCGAGTCATCCTTAACTGACACGACGAGGAAGGTTGCAGATTGTGTCAACGGTGCGTCGACTCGTTGGGGCTCGATTGGGGTGCGACTGCTCATGTTTGCGGTTGTGGCTGGTAAACGGGTTCTCAATTGAGGGGTTACAGGACTTCGGACCTGTCTTGCCGACGTAATCCCAGCTGCTCGCTGGCTTGCGATGCTGTTTTGCAGTGGTGGTTTAGGCAATGGACGATTGCGGCACCGTTGGGAAACTATATTGTACACGATGTTCCTGCTTCTGGGGATCCAGTTCATATTTTACCACCATCAGCTCCAGCGGACCTTGTCTGACACGAGTCAACCCTGGAAGTCACTAAGGTCAGGACGGCGACTCGAGCTGAAGTGGAGCATGAGGGGTCAAGCAATTGAGGGCTAATCTTTGATATATCATATCACACTTACTCCTTTCGGCGTTGACGTCACTACTGCCGCTCTGGATTGGTTGCCCATGTGATCATACAGTAATGGACAAACCCTAATTGGTCAACGTGTAAGAGTCCTCTTCGATGCTCTGTACCCAGGAGTGTGGTCCCAGATGGTGAAGATAGAAGGTCAAGACGCTCGTTGCGCATGTGGCGATCGAGTCTTACCTTTACCATAGCCATACAATGTTCATATATGAGAAAAATACAGCGAGTTTCTTCAATATATACCTCATACTTGCATACCACAACATGGCTAAACAAGATCATCCCATTTCAGAGTCATTTCCTATTGGCCACTTAGTATTGCCGGATTAGGCTTGGCTTTCATTCCTGCAGACACTACTCTAAAGGTGGTTAGGTAGACTGGTCCGTGCGTAGAGTCGTGTCGCGATCTTTGGCCAGTCTGCAGGCCAGATTAAGTGACAGCATTGTTCTAGATGCACCGAATACAGGCACAGATGTCCAGTCTAGACAAAATTAATGTAGAAGTCCTTCTGTACACCTCAATCATGATTTAATTCACAATCGTTCATTCCTACTATCTCCAAAGGAAATGTTCCTGAGTTCTCTGGCTTGAATCATCTACTGACAAATTGAGAATAGGACTTTCTACATAATGGGGTTTTCAGACCAGGTTTTCTCAACTTATCGCATCACTCTCCGTTCTAATTCCTTAATATGATGAGATACTCAGAAGGAACGGACCTCCAGAACAGTCATTCGTGCCATCTCGTTACGGCCACCCGACAAACTTCACAAGTTAATTCTCTGCTTAAGATAACAAGTCGTTGTTGAGTATACCAAACCGGAAATATTGATCGAGTTTGATAACACTCACTGGGGTGGAGTGGAGACAACTTCCAACTACGCAAGAAGCTTGGCTATTTCAAAACAATGGAATGATACTGGAAACAATACTGCAGCTGTAGTTGAACACAGCTTGTTCCATGTACCACGCTACTTTCGATCTTCTCTATGATTCTTGTTGTAAACCCTTTCGCCAGCCCTCAACGCTACCTTCTCTACATACCCCGTGACGTCTTCTTCCAGAAGGGCTTTTCTTTTTCTTTTCCTTTTGTTTTTACCTACAAACTGTGCACTACGACATGGATTGATTGCCTTGCTTTGTTTTCATGTTTAGAATCACGCGGCCAATAAGGAGAGAAAGAAGTCACTGGACTGATCATAGCTTAATGTAGAGTGCCGGGGTTTCGGTACTAAATGACCAGTTACTGTAAGTTAGATTCAGACTGTCGTAAGTAATAAAGCTTTTCTTAATCTTGATAAATTTTACAGGTCTTGAGAATATGTATCCTAATGGGAAATTGAATAAGAGCCAGACATGGTGATACCATATATGAGCTGGATTAGCTCCAAATCTATGGGCTACGGCCGCTGACCTCGTCATTCCCTCCAGGCTGGCGGTCTCTTGAGATAGGGATAGACGATGTTATGTACCGCAATGGTGCAGCCCAACAAAAGCCTCATCAAGTAAAGTCTTCCATGTTCAAGTGGCATTTAATAAGAGAACAACGGTGCTGTCCCTGTAGACTTCGACAGTACGCACGCTTGGTACTACGTTATAATGGAACGAGTAGCTGTAAAAGACCTTCATTCAATTCATCTAAGACGCTCGCATGGCTATGCAGCAAGGCGAATCGATTATTCACACCTACAGCAAAATAAGCAGATGCTACAGCAAACCAGATAATGCTTTGAAGGACTTACATTCCAGACCAGATTACCGTTATCGTTACCAATGTACTCGTCGAGATTTATGCTCTCAATACGGTCGCGATAATTTCCACTACCCATTTGCAATTCGGCCTTCAGATACGGGACGTGGCCATCGGATTCCAAGTAGACGTTTCTTGCAGTCTGGGTGAAATTCGACCCAAGCTCAAAGAAACCTGTTCGAGGTTAGTTCAGTTCATCGCCCAAAGATCGAGGCGGGGCACTGACCCTCATGATTCCCAATCCTCTCATCGAGTTCAATTTCGGTATATCTCACGTTGCCTGACTCGCTTTCGGCCTCACGTGAGAGAAAGGTCTTGCCATCCCGGTTTTCGAGTTTGATATTACAGGAAGATTGAGAGAAAGACATGTTGGGTAGGCTAGAAGCTGTTATGGAATACGGATGGAAGCAAAGGTTAGAGTTATAATGACTGAAGAACTGCCTGGGATATTGTGAGCCTCTTATAACTTCAATCCCCCTCTTCATATGTCCAGGTGGAGGGGTGGAGAGCCCCCATCCTCGCACTCAGTCCCTTGGCGACTGTCTTCAGATGACGTGCCGCCGACGAAAACAGAGATCCTTGCCAAATGGAGAGATACTGGACTACCACTATTGAGCAGTGCTAAAGGAGGCTTGAGATGATCCAGCTGAAAGATGGAGTAGTTGTATCTAGCCGGTCTCTCTGTCCACCAGAATGTAGAAATGGAGCGGTATGAGAACTTTACTAACTTCCAGCTGAGATCGATCCACGATCGATCTGCGGAGTACGCCTTTCCTATTTCTATCACATGAAACACATATCACCATAAGTTAAAGATTGGCTAGGAGCTCTAACGGGGTATTGATGTCTTGAGTATTGCTTGCTAGGTGACCCTGACAGTATAATTGAGGTACAATTCGAGCCAGCCCATTAATGTTATGCCAAAACGACAGAAGGCCAAGAAAAATTACATAGATAAATAGACACATAAATAAAATAAAATAAAATAACCTCGCAACTAGTCAGGTCACCACTCGATTGACCGCCATTTGTAGTAGGGAATAATTCGTCGTAAGTGGAGGCGAGAATTGAATGAATTTAAGCGAGAAAGAGTGGCTGCAAAATGACGGGTCCAGTATATGTAGGGCCCCTCATCGGCTACATAATATATTCTAAGATGTTCTGATGTGTGTCTAAATCCCGCTGGAGGGGTAAGTCCTCTCCATTCAGCTGATATTAGCAGCAATATCTACATCGTACACCAGTTCTGTCCACGTAGGATGATTTTCCATAAAAGAATGGCACGGTGTAATTTTGCAAATGCCCATATTTCGCTAGAACAGCTATCTATCTCTTCTTTTGGGTTTAGACTACAACACATCTACTAACTTCGGCATCGTTCCCTTGAGTCTAGAAACCCCGTGTGGAATATATCTTCTTCACGTTGACTGTGGGCCCGATATTGACCTAGACAGACGACATCATGCTAAGCCCGATACGAGAAGCTTATTCCGTTGGTTTCCATGGATATTGGTCTTAGCTGCCGGTTGATGACTTTGGGAACATGTCGATGATCGTGTTAGACCGATAGTCAGACCATTTGTGGTGTACATATCGATATCCTCCGACCTTTCGTGATACCCTGATGTAAAGTAGGCTCTATGTCTTGATCTGTTCTTCTCGCCATCTATTCTACACAAAATGTATATCGCGGGCGCTTGGCAGAAGTTCTATTTGGAGGCATTCCACTTGCCTTCCAGTATCCGGAAGGTCCCTGCCTGCCATGGTAGCTGACTGTTACAGAGTAGTGATGGATCCACTTTTAGTTTCAAAGTCCGCTGGGTACTGGAAGTAGAAACGGGACCAACAACTCGGAACTTTCTCCACTATTTTAATATCTGGGGAGGCTTCACAGCCAACTATGTCTGTTCTTTGGCTGCTGTATATCCTTTCTATGACGGACTGGGGACGTGGGGTAATCCGATGATCCGGTGTTGATCGTAAACTAAAATTATATCAGGAATAGCCTGACTAATGTGTTTTTCTTTTCCAACTACCAGCACCAGGGGGTAGCTTACTTATACCATTTGGAATCCGTGACTGGTTCGATTTTCATAATGAAGGTCGTTCCAGCGGATAAGCACAGAACGCACTCTGCCGTCGACCAACAGTTGTCGCATCCCAGCAGAAATGGCTCCTGGTACGGAAGTTGAAGTTTACTGATCTGTAAATAGGCTAGGGATAACCAGATGGCTCCCCTAGGTCAGCAATTATAAGTATTTGTCAACAACGTATTTCAGTTCCTCGATAGATATGACAGACGTACTTATGGTAACGGCAGAGTGCTGGTAATGGAAATAAGCGGAGTTATAGACATAAAACTAGGACAAGCGGCGGCGTTACACTAAATTATTGTCCCAAAGGATTGGACACAGGGTACTATATTTCGGGTTCTAAATTCTGGTGAATTCACTAACTATGGTATGAAAGAAAGAATAATCAATACTGTATTGCTGGTTTGAACTTTTGGGTTATGCTTTTCTTAGAGCTGTCCAAGTTTCTCAAGAAATCAATTGTGTAGAGACGCAAATGATTAAAGTTATAAATAAAGATGCTGGAAACCACGTAAAAATGGTGAGGTGTTTTTATGTTGGGGTTTTGTTTGCTGCGTGTGCCTTGCCCTAATCGAGGTTTTTTTTCTCCCGTACCCTATAGTATGAACTGCTATAGCACAGAGATAGATTAACTACAGCGACTAAAGGGTAAAACCCCACAAGGCTAACATGCAGGAAACATTGCTCACTAACCAGTCGGATGGCGTGCTTACGTACAATTTATCATCTCGCGGAATTATTTCCCAAGGGATGCGCCGATCCAAAAACACGTTTCCTTTCTTGAACCTCCAAGGGGGGAGGGAAAAACCAGAATTGAACACAGAATGGCGATACCCTTCAAGGGCCCAACGCAACATGATCGTGAGATATCGCCAAATCCCCAGCGCGGAGGGAGCGCTCCAGCGATCAACGATAATGAGCAACAACAACAACAGATCGTCTCCCAAGAGGAACGCGAAAATCTGCACCGCGGACTGTCCCAGCGACATGTCCAGATGATCGCCATCGCGGGCGCCATTGTATGTGAATCTACACCATCTTATCCCGAATTACCCATGAAATAACGCATTCGAGCCTCTAGGGAACGGGACTTTTCCTGGGCCTCGGCGGCGCGATCGCGACAGGCGGACCGCTTGGTGCCCTACTCGGCTACATCTTCGTCGGGCTGATTGTATGCTGCATTCAATACGCTTTGGGCGAGGTCTCTGCGCTGATGCCGGTGACGGGTTCATTCGTGCGACACGCTGAACTGCTGGTCGACCCCGCGTTGGCTTTTGCGATCGGCTGGAACGTCGTTTATGGCTCCTTCTTGGCCGTGCCGAGTGAGATTTCCGCGGCCGTGGTGATGATCCAATACTGGACAGACATCAATGCCGCCGTATGGGTGACCGTGCTAATCTTCGTGTCCGCTGGCGTCGCCATTACACTTGTGCGTGTGTACGGTGAAATCGAGTTCTTTTTCGCCCTGTTGAAGATTCTGTTGGTGGTCTTCGTCGTGATTCTCGGTCTTGTCATCGATCTCGGGGGAATACCTGGCAAGCCACGACTAGGCTTCCACTACTGGAAAGATGGCCTTTTTGTCGAGTACATTACCGGTGGCGCATGGGGTCGCTTTCTCGGTTTCTGGGCCGTGATGACCAACGCCGTCTACAGCTTTTCGGGTGTAGAATCCTTGGCGATGGCAGCAGCGGAGACGAGAAACCCACGCCACAATATCCCCAAAGCTTGTAGAAGAGTGTTCGTGCGTGTGACTATATTCTATCTAGCCGCCGTTTTAGTCGTGAGCATGCTAGTCCGAAGCTCCGACCCAAGGCTGCAACATGACTCTGGCACCGCCGCAACGAGTCCCTTCGTGATTGCTGCCAGCGACGCCGGCATCAAGGCGATACCCTCAATCGTCAATGCGATCTGTATTACTTCAGCATGGTCAGCCTCCAACCAAAGCATGCTGGCGGGCACACGAACACTCTACGGTCTTGCCGTCAAGGGACATGCGCCTAAGATCTTCCTGAAAACATCCAGCTGGGGGGTACCATACATGTGCGTCGCCGCCCAGACCGCTGTTTCCTTCCTGGCCTACATGTGTGTCTCAAATAGCGCCTTGACCGTCTTCTATTGGTTCCTCGATTTGACAGCGGCTGGTGTGCTGGTCTCGTGGATTACGATCGCATTCAATCATATTCGCTTGTTGCAGGCGCTACGCGCACAAGGCATTCCAGCGACGGAATTACCCTGGCATAATCGCATAACTTGTACGTGTTTTATCACCTGGAGCTCTTGGGATGCTATATATCCGACTAACACTTTGTAGACTTTTCTTCGTGGTTTGCTTTTATCGCCTGCATACTCATCCTCTTCACTGGTGGATTTACCGTCTTTACCGCCGGGAATTGGGACCCTGCCTCCTTCGTGTCGTCCTATTTGTATGTGATACTGTTTCATTATTTTCCATGTATCCGGACAAAAGACTAATAATGAACACAGAGATATCCCCCTCGTGTTAGGTGTATATGGACTCTACAAGTATATTCGCGGGACGAAAATCATTCCCTTGACCGAAGTACCAGTTCGTCAAGCGCTGGAGGAAGCACGAAATGATCCGGAAAATGTACCAATTAAGAAAGCTAAGGGGTGGAAACGGCTTAATGTTTTATGGGCATGAAGCTGAAAGTGATAGATATAGTGGAAACACGGCTCCCACGAGGATACGTATATGCATGCATTGATATAGACGGCAATATATTCTGGCATATTTTAGCGGTAGGTATCGTCAAGGATGGAATTCGTATGAACTAGAATCGATATGATTCAATATCGTCTTATTAGTACAATTATCTGTTCTTCCTAAGATATAATCATGGGTTCATAATATTAATATCTTATGTGTATTGGCCTTCTGTTCTTCTGCCCTTGCCGTTTTAACAGATATCCCCTGGTCTAGACTGGGCGGTCTCCGTGTATAATTATACATTCATATGAATTAATATAAATCCTAGGCAATAGCCCAATGTGGCCTCCTAATAACCCATCGAAGCTTACGAATTCTTCTTTCTTGCAGGCTCTCTTAGCGCTGGCGGTCCCAGGCCAACAACGACTTATCAAACCCCTCGTCCCACTGGCAAAGCGATACATGTGCAGTCAGATATTATTCCTACATGTCTTCACGATTATGAATATCTCTTATAGAACAGAGTCCAGGCCAATATAATCCAAGATGAAGCCATGGTTGTCCATATAAACGGACTTACAATCAGCACTTATGATCTGGTATCCCACAAGCGCAAAGTCTTAGATCCATCATCCGATAGGCAACCGCCATAACCAACGACGAATCATTCGCAAAATACCACTATAGAGTGCTTTAACGACAACCACCCTAGTACCATTCCTTGGGAACAGAGGCATACTGCCGGCATAGGAGGTACGCATCGTTTCTGATACCTTGATTGTGTTGAATTCATATCTTAGAGTAGCCCGAACACCTTCAAGACTGGTCGGTCTGGCATGCTGCAGGGCTCAATTGTTACTACCCAAATCAGAATGGGAAAGGTTCGTGTGATTTCTCCATATTACTCAGATGGGGGTTGAGCTAACATACTGGAAAGTTTGGTCTCTCACTGACGATATTCGAGAGAACGTCAGGGTGGACTATCTAGCACATAAAATGGATTCACTATGGGTAAACCAAAATCTATTGGATTACATGGCAGCTACGAAGTCTAAACGTTGTATATCTCATTCGGTATAGCACTAATAGACTAGGTACATTATCGAGCAGGAATTCATTACAGGCGCAGATGAATCATGGATGCTACACAAACAACCCAGTGGAAGTTCTTTTGCCCGCTAGTACATAGTGCCTTAGTAACTCGGTGGATAGAGAGCCGAATGGATCCGAGTTACATGAGGCGGCTATTCCGCTGTGGAATGATCTCTTTGGTGCCAGGTGCAGGTGCCCCAAAATTAGGTGCACGTTCTCCACCCACACAAGCCCGGGTCGTTCTAGACTAGGGCTTCCTCCTATGGGTCAGGTCTAAGCTTGTCGTTTTATGTCCAATGCATTATACCTAGTACGGACTAGCCACAGCCTTGGAGGAGGGGAGGCGGTACAAGGATATAGATCCCCGACCAACGAAGCGCCCAATATTTTTATGTAGGCATATTGGGATGTTGTCACTTCGGTATATTTCATTGGCTGTCGTAAGTCAGAGATTGAAGCGCCAACATGGCGACACAACGAGATGCTCGAGCGCATGAATAGGTTGTTACTACTACATATAAAACGGCCGAATGTACTCCTGTTCTTACGCTTTTCCATTTAAAACATAAACCTCTCTGATTTGCAAATATACTAATTTTCTTTGATTCGACGTGTTATCAATTTTCAGGTATCCAACACTACCCTTACCATGAGTCGCAATATTACGAGGGGATTCCAAACCGCCTCTTCCACTTTTATTCGGTATGCTGGTTCTCAGCTTGAGGAGCTTGTAACCACAAACGGCCCTGATGGCCCTGCATGGTCGCACATGACGGACACCGTCTGTCATGAAATTGAGAAAGCTGTCAGTCCCTCTACCAGGCATAAAGCCATAGGCTAATTCTACTGATTGTTTTCAGGACTCACGGATTACTGTGGCAGACATTCAGTACGCAGACATATTGATGACTATAGGCACGGGATAGTTCCTGACATTTTCTGTAGGGGTTCTAGGGCTCACAAATCTTCTAAAGATAGGGAGGATAAGGAGAATGTCATAACAGTTGGGTTGCAAACAAACTCAGGCACACGTATTGGCTCGCTTCATGTACATCTCAATGGCACTTTCAAATTTTTCGCGTCTCGCGCAGGAAGGGAGGGAGGGTATGCCGACAAGATTGCACAGGCCAATATTCCAGGTTACATATCTAGTATGGAAGAGCGAGAAGAGTAGTAGAATCGGCTGTTAATGGCAGATGGTTACTGACTGGATATATTGTTGGATGCGTATTGATTAAATTGATCATTGGTAACGATCCTCTTTCTCTGGGCCACGGCCCTAACAAACCTATTCGGGATTTAGTGGGGTCAGAGTCAGTTGGGTCTCCCGGTTTGATCACATGATACCAGCTCTTGATGCCTCAGGCCCACAATGACCCTGTCGCACTAAATCCTGACCCCTTCGGAACTGGGACCTCCGGGAGCTGCATACCACACGGCTGAAGCCAGCGAGGGTTGGGTGCAAGGAAAACAAGAACCTCCAAGATAGTATTTAGTTAAACTATCACATGTCCACTTGACTTCATGTCTTTGCTCTGAACCAGAGCACATGATGCACTGGACTTTAAGTCGTTCTGCAAATGCTCTTACTGCATTTAACAGACTAGCCTTGACGCGTCGGCTGTCTTCGACTATCTGTCGCCCATTTATCATCCCGTCGTCCCATAGTCCGCCAAGCCAGCAGCGCCGAACGGTTATGTCATCGCCCCAATGGACATCTGAACCAAGGGTATTTCCGCCTGCTGGCTTCGGTTTGCTGGATACCTCCGTGAAGATCGAGGAAGAGACGTTACCAACCTATCAGCCGGAGAAATACTATCCAACGCAGATAGGAGATGTGCTCGATAATAGATACCAAGTCCTCGCTAAGTTAGGCTACGGTGTCACGTCAACTGTTTGGTTTGGTCGTGACTTGGTGTAGGTGCAATCCATTCGCTCAGTTATATTCTAGTTTTCTAACAGCGGCGCAACGTAGCGAGTCCAAATACGTCGCTCTGAAGATCTTCGTAAAGGACAGGGAGAGAAACCATGAACTAGATATCTATAACCGTATCAACTCGGTGGAGACTGATCATCCAGGAAGGAGGTTTATTCGCAAGCTACTCAATCATTTTACTATCGCCGGCCCCCATGGCCAACATATTTGCCTTGTCCATGAGCCTTTAGGAATCAGTGCAAGCGAGGTGATGAAATGGATGCCTGGGCAAGTGATGTCCCTCGAGGACCTAAAACCTTGTATACGGCAGTTACTTGTGGTATTGGATTTCTTGCATTCTTTAGCGCACGTGGTTCATACGGGTATGCAGTACTCTTCTCAAACTTCTGAGTCTGGGCTGAATTACATATAGATATTCAATTGAAGAACCTCCTTCTTCCCACACCGATGCCAAAGGCTCTTTCCGACTTTGAAGAAAAGCAGATAAAGGCACAACCACCAAGGAAGGTCCTACCAGACCGCACCATCTACAGGTCGTCACGTTTTCCTCCTGGCGATGGGTTACCCCTTCTGAGTGACTTTGGTGAAGCTAGATTTGGTGACGAAGCGCATAACGAAGACATTATGCCAAATCCCTTTCGGGCACCTGAAGTTATTCTGAAGTCGAGCTGGGATTACAAGGTAGACATCTGGAGTGTTGCCATGGTTGTAAGTAAACTGCACCTACACACCAGCTATACTGGTTACACTAATACTTCTCATCAAGGCATGGGATATTGTTAGCACGTTTACTCTGGTTTATGGAAAGAACACAGACGGTGTATTTGATGACCGCGTCCATCTTGCCGAATTAGTTGCACTTCTCGGCTCTCCCCCACCCGAGTTTCGCCAACGAAGCCACCTTAGTTCTGTGTTTTGGGATCACGGAGGTGAATGGAAGGGATTGGCCCCGATACCTGATAGGACACTGGAAGGTTTGGCCATCGATGTCAAGGGCGAGGACAAAGAAGGCTTCTTGCGATGGCTCCGACGGGCCTTGCAATGGAATCCCGATGACCGACCAACAGCTCTAGAGCTCCTGTACGATGAATGGATGATGAAGGGACTAAAACTAGGCAATGCTAGCGGAAGTGCTACGTCTAAGGGTTGAAATGTATATCTTCTCATCCGATTGTCTGTGTAGTCCGTAACATAGAAACTTAGCAGCAATGTGAAACGCTCCAGACTATGATCCTATCGAGGATTTCTTTGCTGAGCGGAAGGGGTATATAAAGAAATCATGGTCAACGTTTGCGGAGAACCCTGATCAAGGCTTTCATACCTTCCTTGGGAAATGCGTCCAGGCTGTCGGCGAACGGGAAAAAAGTAGGGAGAGATTTTTCAATATACAGATATAACAGTAGAGCACAAAGGTAAGCCGGGGTATTTATCAAGCTTATCGGTTATGCCCTGAGGCATGTGAGCCATTGAGGGAAATGATACAGACTGGGCAAAGTAGAAGAACGAAGAAACTATTACGTTAGAAGGTCCCAATCGCAGAAGCGAGAGAGCTTCGACCGTATCAGATAATGTACCGCGAGTGGGATAGGTTTGAGAGAATACCTGCCGCCTCGAGTCGCAGCCGCTGAACACGCTGTTCAGCCTTTTGCATCGACGTGTCAGATGACGTATCGGCCTCGCAACCTGCAGCTATAGCAGGGAGGTGGCCAGCGAAACGACCGACGGAAACGAATAGCTAAGGATTCAACAATTAGAATCAATTTATCCTCAAACTATTTGGGTACTGATCTCTATTATAGTACGGTCCCAGCAATATTTAGCCTAAAAATATGCTAATAGCTGTATTCAAGTTCGATAATATTACTCAGAAATTTATATGTTCCGAGAGTTGGCGAGTTTGCTTTCCCATATATATCCCACTTATAGATATCACAAACAAAACGACGGGCAGTCCCAATCTGAATCTGGTTCTGAATAAAGAAGTCATCGGGGTTAGAATTAGTGAGTAGGAGATCAAGATCCATGTGTTTCTTCAGCACTACATCGCGAGCTCTTCGAATATCGGGTTTGCACAACGCGTCATCGTACTGAAGTTCAATACAAATGTACCGCACTGACCCACACTCTCAGTGTGGCAAACAAAGATGAACGATGTCTCTATTTGCCAAAGAGCATCTCACCATTACAGTCTCCCATGCGATGGCTAGTTGGTCGGCTTTGGGGGATTCATATCTGGCCCAGACTGTTGTCGTCCGTTTCGAGTCAGCCTATTGCCTTTTTTTAAATTAGGCTTAAATGTTCTACTTTTATTATTTTACATTGAAAATTCCTATAACTGTAGTAGTTTTGCCTCAGATAGCTAACAATAACGTGTTTATTCTACCGATAACTCAGTCGCACTTGATGCAGAATGATTTGGTGTCAAATGTAACCGGCTCGACAGTAGTTAGAATATAACAATAAGTGCAGGGAATAGCTAAAGGAGTTAATCAGTCGATGAAAAATATGTTCAATTAAAAATAGAATAAATTAGTTCGTATTTAAACTTCGAAGCGCTTCGTGATCTATATATATTATAGGCCATTGGGCAGCCATATCAAACAGCCAGCAGATCTCTGGACCTGTACCAAATTAAGTAGACGGAGTTTGGATATAACAAACACATGCGGTGATTAGGAAGCGGGTCTGCGGACTCAACAGAAATAAAAAGCAGAGCTATGAGACAAAATCACAATATCAGAAAATCGCAAACCCGACTCAGTAGTTAATGGTCCTTAAGATTGCTCCTGTGTGAAAGCAGCAGAGCCTCCGAATGGACCGGAGATAGCGTTGTTGCGAACCCGCACGATGCAGACGTTCTTAGCACCTCCAACGGTTGCAGTGCACTTCATTCCCTGAGGGACCTGGACCTTCACAGCATAGTCCATGGTGCTAGAGGTCGAAAAGCCAGCAACTCCAGGGATGTTCTGGATGACTCGGGCGCTCTTGAAGGCCTTGGGGTCGGTGCCTCCACTGGAGGGGTCGATTTCAGCAGAAAGCGGGCCCGCACCGTCCTGGTTAACCTGAAGTGATGTCTTAGTCTTTGCTTGTGTGCGTCGTAATATTTTGGCTTACCTGGTGGAAGATCATAGTAACTACACCGTCCGGTGAAGCAGTAGGGAGACCAATGCTCGCGCCCTTTCCTGAATACATTTGCATACCGTTCTCCTTGGCACCTTTGCCAGTCACTGTACCGGACTGGGTTCCTGGAAGGATGGCCATGGCATCATCGATGGTGGATTGAATACCTAGTGGTTTTGGTTATTATTGTCCTTATGAAATGTGAAGGAGCTCTTACTCTTGATGGTTCCGCCAAACGGTGTCGCGTCCGCAAGGTCCTGGATACCTATAAGCTATTAGTATATCCCTAACAGTGAGGCAGTGAAAAGTAAATACCATTGAGGACAGTACCACCAGCATTGGTAACAATGCTCGCAGCATCGTTAATCAGCTGACGCCCTTCGCAACTATTAGCCTAGTCAAACCGGAATAGAGGGCAATATCTCACGTCTATGACTGGCCGGAAGACGAGAGCGCTTCTGCGTCCCACCGCTCACAAAGTTGTTGATAACAGTGGCAGGGTTAACGGGACCGCCACCGAGAGTACGACCCAAGGGGGAAGCCTTGACGCTTCCAAACTCAGCATCTCGGATGATAGCCGTATCCTTCTGGGCGCCACATGCGGCAGATGGGCAATCTCGGGGGACTCCATCCTGAACTGAAATCGTCAGTTAGTCTCTGCGTCATGATATGCGCACCACTTAAACACTTACTCGTCAGCCCAGGCATGTCAATGCCATTGTGGCCTTTAACACGGGTGATGAGACCATGAGCTGAAACCTGGCTCACGGCGAGTCCTGTCAGGGCAATGGCCTTGATGAACAACATCTTGAGTATTAATGATTAATAGTTAACCGTGGATAGGTAAAGTTCGCTTGAGAAAGAGATAAGATTCGCTGAGAAGAAGAAGTGGATTGTGTGTTGCTCCAGGTTAACAATGACAAGACGCATGATGCCTTATATATCTCTCAAACGTGCGCATCTCCTATCTCTGCTCCTGCTGCTCCGTGGCTAGTATCTTCCACCAATATCCACAACTTGGACCAAAAGTTTGTCCATGACACATCGAATGCAACCATGTGAAGATGCTTTTCAAACATCTATCAGCATTATGGCTAGTGGGCTTGTAAGCGCGCAGTGTAGTCCCTGTGGAATTGAGTTTCCAGGCGTTACCAGAGTTGCAAAGGATCGGAGCGAAGACCCTGGTCTCGAGGACGGTACTTGGCAGATGATCGCCAGAGACTCCACGTGTTTCATGAAGCGAAGCAAGCAGAGCGAATCATGGGGAAGACCGTGCATTGACAATGTTTGGGACTGAGACTGGGCTCCCGAGCGATCTGTAGATAAATTGCAGGGCTACAGTGGAGCCTGATTAAACTTCTCAGGAACTGAAGTTTGTCTCTGCCTTATCAATAACCGCATGAGCTTGAAATGGTCCAACTCTTACTCAGTCACGGAGTATATGCTTCCCAGCTATTGTCTCAGATGAAAGCTATCGCGAGTTCTCTGGGCTTTTCATAAGGCATTATTTGCTAGATATTACCAATCTAATTGTCGGCCGAGCGCCTTCTTCATCTCTATGTCTCCTATGGCTCAATGGCGATTGTCTTCCTACAAAGTTCCCTGGGGGGAGAAAACCATTACTGGTAGAGTTCCGTAGCGATCAACTCAATGCTTCACCATGTTTCAAAGCACCTCAGAGATTTCCTACTAGACTCAAGCTGCGATATGCTATACCCTAACTAGTAAAGGGGTCAGAAAAAGTATGCTGGAGGGTACAAAAATAGCAACCGTAGGGTTGCATCTGGTGTGGAGCCCTAAGCAAAATTGGCTTTCAATTGGGGTAAAGTTGCGGCCATGAACCCAATCACACCAAGTTTCCCTCCTGATGGCTTATTTAGCTCCCAGATCATGACCTGATAGTCCTCGGGGCAGTCGTTCTCAAACCCCCATGCGTATCAAGGCTGAGGTTCGTGGGGAGTTTGGTCGATCATTGCCCCGTACATGTGACTGCCAAGTCGGACTCGGTTAGGTCGGTTTGTCGGGATACGCGGAGATCTTGAAACAAATGAACCCTTTTTTGTAACTTTTGGAAACAGCCATAGGGGGTGGCTTTCAGCTAGCTGGACTGCCGTCTAGACTCGATGGCTTTGGACCTTGCCACTATTTTCAGGGTTTGGGCTTCCTCACACGGCAACGTTCCTGGCCCGAGGGGCCGAGCCGATTGACCCGGACGACGCTGAAGTTCATGACCCTTAAACCTCACCTTGGTTGAACTTTGGTCTGCGGTACTATATTGCACAAAGCATAACCCCGGGGTATAGATAACCTCAGGTACTTTGATCTGACGGCGTAGAACAAATGGCTGCCTCTACACATGAGGTCCTCAACGACTAAGACCTCTCACTAAAAATAGTTACAATGAAGACTTCATGAGTGACGCTCATCCAAAATTCAGCTTTTACATTTTTGCCGCTCTATGTACTAGTTTCCCATATATTCGCCTTGTTGTGCTCGACATATACAATTGCAGAAATATATTTCTAGCAAAAGTAGTTGATATCGGAGGATCAAAATAACCCGATAAACTCAAAAGTAGGAAAGTTAAATTTTCTTGTTTAGCATCAATTTTTGGACTTTCTACCCTGCCCCACATCACTAGTGCCACCATTATCCAAAGGAGAAACCTCTGACATCTTTACCCAGGAGAAATGTCCGTCCGAGGAGGATTAGTGATATAAATAGACTGCTAGAAGCCTTCGAGGTCGAGGTTTCTTAGCGACTCAATGGCCTTTCCCTTATCGCTAATTCTGGTGCATTGGATATGGCTACATTGTTTCTGTGTTTAAACTACGGCTGAATGTATTTGACCGATTAGGGGTATGTTGACTTACGCAGAGCACTAGGTTGCAATCCGCAGATCGAACAAAAGTGGAGGGACAGCCCACGGTCCATATCGACACCGTTGAGAGCGACATTTCTGACAACTCATGATGCTTTCTGGATTTTCCCTCACAGAATGAATGGCCTGGTGGCTGAAAACTTGCGGTCAGGCAATATTCGACTGTCTGAAACATCTGCGTCTTAGGCTCGTAAACATACTGCCGTCCCAACTGGCTCTAATCGTAGGTAATTATATCTACTGAAAGTTCACTCACCGTCCAACTCTTTCGTAATTACAAAGCTACCGACATAGCCTTGCGAGATACAGTGCCCTATGTTTGGTAGATTATTCCCATGGGTATACAGCGTATGTTCTGTTGAATGTGTTGCTCCGTGTCGCCATGCCATTTCTCCTCTGGACATGAGAGTAACCATTACTAGGGATTCAGCAACCCTGTAGTTGTGTAGAAGCCACTCGCCCTATAGCCATAGATACTACGATTGTGCATGACATTTACGAAACACAGAGCTTATTCTGAGTGTTGCTCGACGGAAGGGTCTATCCCGAAGTAGTTTTCATCTCTTCACCCCAATGTGACATCATACATGAAACCATATCGCAGTCGTATCTTACACATTCACAGCCATCTCAAAGGAAATAATAAACCAAGCTAGCGCCACCCGAGCGAAGGATGTGTATACGGCAAAGGCATCTCAGCAAGAATAGCTCTCCGTAACAAATCCGTGGCATGCTCCAAATTCGGCTCCACACCGTTGGGGAGATAGAAGACGAAAGCCGAGTAGATCCTCATATAATCGCAACGGCATATCCTCATAAGCCTTACATGTCCGTGCTCGACCATAGTCTGACAGCTCTGCAGGAACATTTGTCGATTGCCAAAGCCAGAGTCCACCTCGACCTCTGCGAACCACATGACGAAGTCTGGGAGGTAGACCGATCGGCTCATACTTGTATTTGGTGGCATCTGCTTGGTGGTTTGGTGTGGGTTGGTTTGCAGAGGTCACTTTGATGGGCATTTAGAGTATTATGGGAGAGCAGAGATGGGATGTTGGAGCTGAGGGGCATTTGATGGGATCCAGGCAGCTATAAAGCACACCTGCCTCTTGTTTGCTGTATCCATTGTGAAAGAGGAAAAGTAAAGCTGTCAGCTGTGAAAGCCAGAGCTCTTTGGAATATGCGTGTTCTGAGAAGCAATGACAAATTCATAGCCTCAGAATCTTGAGAGTACCTGAGTGCTCGATTGTATATTTTGTTGTTGTTTGCTGGAAGAAAGTACAATGCACTTGTTGTTTGTTACAGGGAGAAAGCCTGAAAGAAGAAATAGGAAAATTCATAATGCTTCGCAAAGTCCAAGCAAGCGTGCTCTTTGTGCAGTTTACCGATGCTTAAGGGAAAATAGAAGCACTGAACCTTTTAGAAGGAGCTAGGTAACGACCTGCGGTAAGTTCCATATCCGAAACACGCAGTATGGCCAGTTCCTGTAGTAGAGTCACGTAACGAGTAGATGATACAGTACAAAGGAAATAACCAGCTTACTCGGGAGATGTCCCAGATACTTTGAGTTGGAAGCCTATAATAGCAGAATAGTGTCGTAGATATCTGCATGAGCTTTTTCAAGAGGCAAATACTTTCGGACATAAATATGGCTGAGTCCGCTTGAATTCTGGCATCATGCAAGTTGACATATAGAGATTTCTAAAGAGACATCGAACGACCATTATTCTCCCTTTCTCTTCTTTACGCTTTCTTTTCCCAAAAACCTGGAGACGTGAATCAACCTGTCAGTTCACATGGTAGACAACGCTCATGGAGGACGTGCCAGCCCTCGTACACAGGAGTTTGAAAACGGCTCAGAGTGGTGGTATGCTGAGATTAAACTTTATCCAACTGTGAAGCTGGATCGCGAAGGGCTCGAGAAGTTCGAAGCTGCTATAAAATAGGGCCGAGCCAAATTGACTAAAAGGGATAGAAGAGGATACCCGGGTCGACTTTCAGTCAGCTATGGTTTAAGACTCCGTAACGAATATTCTGAAGGGCAGCCTGCACCCGCAGATGCTCGGAGACTCTTGCAAGTCGAGGTTGAGGAGTTGAGAGTGAAAAACCTCCACCCTTTGCCACACACCCAGGGCGCTCTTGGTCTACGATAATCGCTAGTTGGGGAGCAGAAGTCATAGAAAAGCCTTATGTTGTGGCTATGCAATGCTGCTGTGGCTATCTATTCGCTGATGTGATGCTGATGCGCTCGTTGTTAGGGTTTTGTTGGACAAAAGAGGATTATGTTAGATGGATCAACTTCATACTCTATGGAATCATTCAGCAGGATGTCTAGAATATAATCTGTTATGCTTGGAAATCCACACTCCTCTTAGTACCCATCATTGTGGACAGTAAAAGCGAGCTGCGATCGTAACCTAGTACACTATTCACATAGGACGGTTGCATCGCGACGTTTTCAAAAGGTATGCAGACGAGGGCAATAGGTGCTATGAGCCAGGCCAACGCCATATTTACCAGACAAGATAGAAGATGGTATGGCACCAAATTAGTTCACCAATGTCTTGAAAAGCAAACTGCAGTCACAGAAGCTAGGCGAAGACGATGGACAAGAAGACAATACCAGCCTATCTCAGGATGTTCAACATAAGACGATAAGAGATTTATCTCTATGGTCTATCTGTAAGTCCCTCGGACTCCCTCCGCTTGACCAGTTCAAGCTAATCTACAAATCACTCAGCCAATCAACAGGATACCTCGCATAGTCCGGTGGGGATTATCAAAACCACCAATCAATAAAAGGAGTGTAAAGAGGTCTGCGGGGTTCGTATTCCTTCACACTAATGGACATCCGTTAGCCTTGGCTACAAGACTCTCAGCGGATTATCGATCACTCGATCTTATCTACCCCACCTTGACCCATGGAAGATTGCAAGGTTACGAGCTCAGTGCTCCTGAGAGTACTCAGAGGAGTTGCAGCGGCCACATTGTTAGACGAGAGCAGTTATGAGAGGCTCGCTGAGTGTTTTGCCCCTAGTGGCCCAATGGCAGAAGGTGTCAACACTCTCCCCGAGAATGATACTGCCCGGGCTCTTCCTCTCAGTGATTGGCTTGCTATAATTGCAGATATTTCTTGGGGTGACAAGGACAGATGCCTCATAAAACACCTGGCAGACCTTGTGCTCGCGATTGCTCTTCTTCGCGAAAACGGTCGAGGGACAGGGAATCCTAGCCATGCAGCCGTCTCGGACGCGGATATAGCCACCGTGTGGAACATGATACGAGACGCGCTTCTGAGTGACATGTTCCGAGATTCTAATGTCCGGGCATCCCGCAGCGCACAAGGGTTCCTCTCCGTTCCCCTCTGTAGCATAGTGCAGAACGGGAATATCGAGGAGCTTTTTCGGCTTCATGTGTGGCTACCCGATGGACAGCGAGGAATTCCAGAATTTGCGGTCCACTCCCATCAACCATTCGCACAGAGCTGGATCCTTGCTGGTGCTGGAGTGGACCATTCATTCGATGTTCAGCCGACAGAAGATCGTACGGCAGCCACCCATGCGGAATATAGGCTCGTCTGGCAAGATGCAAACAAAACGGATAAGTCCTATAAGACGCATCAAATATCATCTACCGTCGAGAACACCGGAAATTTGGTGCGAGTGACGGCCAAAGGCTCAGCCCTGCACACGCGCAACATGAGCTACTCGATTCCGGCGACTGCCTTCCATCGCACAGAGGTTTCGCCCGATACCTTCCACGCGACGCTATTCTTCTTCGACGCATCGCGCGGCTTTGTGAAAGACGCGCCAGTGTTGGGTCCCAAGGACCTTCGCTCGTCCACTCAGCTGCGTGATCCTGGTGGCATCTCACCAGCAGCGTTAGCGACCGTGGTAGACGCAGTTCGATCATGGGAAATATTGATGGAGCAGGGAGAACAGCATGCCCAGCGCGCTGAGTGGGAGCATGCATTGCGGTCTTTCAGCCATGCTCTCAGTCTCTGTGGACCAGGAGCATCTTTGCCAGAGTCAGCAAACTTCAAGAATGTCGCATTGGGGAAGCTGGGTTATACTAATAGGCGATTTGGAAGATACGAAACGGCAGAGGGATATCTAAAGAGTGCCTTGGATGGGCTTGGTTCCACACCTTTGCATGTCGAGCTTCTTGGTGAACTGGGGGTAGTTTACCGCCATATGAATCGCCTCGAAGATGCGAAGCGAGAGTTCGAGATTCAGTATAAATTGGCAGGGGAGCTAAAGCTAGAACATGCCATGTGCCGCTCCATCGGGAATTTGGCCATGACAAACTATCAGCTTTCGAAGGACCTGCTACCTCTAGCAATTGACCAGTTAAAAGAGCGCATCCGCCTAGCTCGATCTATTAAAGCATCCATCGGATCGGGAGAGCAAAGCCAGGCCATCATCTGGGAGACTATTGGGCTGTCTCGACTGTCGCTCTGCTACACTGCCTGTGGTCTTGCGAAAGAAGCGATTACCGCGGCTTCGGAATCCGTGGAAGCTGCCCTCAGTACCAAAGACCCTACTGTAGTTGCAATGTCCAGGTTTTTCTATGGGCGCGCGTTGTTTCTAAGTGGGCAGCTGGAAGAAGCGCTACAGCAGTTCAATCCGGTTGGGACGTGTACTCCAGCTATGGCACTCTGCAAAGAGCCTTCAGATGAGCACTTAGGGTATTTACAAGAGCTGGTAGAAGCTGGAATTGATTTGGACCTCGTTGATGAACATGGCTATAGTGCATTGGATTACGCTGTGTTTTGCGGCGACAAGCAGACTGAAAACGTTGTTCTTGACGGACTTCGCCGACAGTTTGGAGAGAACGCGAACGACAAGCTCCTCCAGCGACAAAGAGAGGCTCAAGTGCGCAAATGCTATCGGGAATTGTTCCAGGAGAGCCTGCGGCCTATCCTTCTGGAGAACAGGAACGATGTGAACCATCTGCAGCATCTACGACGCGTGTATTCCACATCACTTGCGGCAGACGAAGAGAAAACCAGTGTATTTGACGGGCTCAAATTTGTGTGGTATCAGGACTTTGTGCGTAATGGACGACTTCCACGATCGAACCACGGCCTCACGCAGCATTATCACGATATAAAGCCCGAGCTTGCGCCAGATTATATCGTGTTTATATCATATCGTTGGATCAACGGTGATCCAGCGTGTGTAGCATCCCCGGACGACGCCAATCACACCCAATATCACCGAATGATCCGAGCAATCGAAGCATTCATAGACACGCGCGCCTCCATTAACCGAGAGCGGTTGGGGATTTGGCTGGTAAGCCCCGTAACCCATTCTCTCGAAGTGATGATATGTACTTATCTTTATGCAGGATTGGGCCTGCATCGATCAGGATGACCCCTTGCCTGGGATTGCTGCACTCCCTCTCAACCTTGCACAATGTGATACGGTAATTAGCCTACTTGATGATAGTTACCACAGTCGTTCTTGGTGCTCTGTCGAAGTTATGATTATACAGATACTACGACGGTCATATCAGTTGCATTCATGGTATGAGCATAAAAGAATAGAAAACACGGAGCATTGGGCAATACAGGAGGGACCGTTAGACTTTGAGGCGTCCGTTGCGGGTAAATCATTGAGCTCTGAAGATGATAGGCCCAGGATACTGTTTTTAGAGAGACAAGCGAGATTGCTCGGCCGGGCCTAAAACACGATTGGACCTCTTCTCATTGCTATGGTGATAAGCGAAGTCCTGTGCATTTACAACATACAGAGCGTTTTAGCACACCTCTACGACCCAGTGTTATTCACTAAAAAGCACAGCTTATATGAATATATTGAGGCCAGATGACGTATTCTTGGTAGAATGACTGAGAGATCATAAAGTCAAATGTTACACTTTATGCGGAGCGGGCGGTTGGGGTGACAAGAAACTCTTCCAAGCCCGATATACGCCATGCCATATGTAGAACACACACAAGGTGTAGACCAGGCTGTATCACGTATAGGCGTAGCAATACTCATAGTCGATCGGATCCATCACTTCCCTGACCTTTCTTGGGCTATCTAGCACCCCAAACTCCATCACCGTATCGAGAGTCACGAACGGAGCATCCGGGGGGTCGTAAATGATCGTCGTGCCATTCAAGGCATTTCGACGATTTGGGGGATCATGTCGTTGCCATATACTCCAGATCCGATCTATCATAGCATGATGCAGCATGAACACTGGATCCTGGGGTGATATAAATAAGTTCTGCATATCACCCCCGATAGAGTGGTGACCTCCCCCATGCGCACCCATATCATCAAAACCACTAGGTTCCATAATCCTAAGAAACTCTGTTATATTGGCGGCCCCCAGCAATCGGTCGCCAATGGTGTCATTGTTGAACACGGCCATGATAAATGGGTTTAAACTCCGTGTTAGACAGTGTGGCTTATAGTCAAAGGCATTGGGGGGAGGTGACGCATACGGCTGTGCCAAATTTGAGTCGATCGGCGCCAGGTGCACCTGGAAGTTGGCGAATGGGCCCGATCTTACACAGCCATTCCCTGTGCCTCGCGGCAGACATTCGGTGCCATCGGAAGTGCATGAGAGTGTTTCGTTTGTTTCAAACGCCCCATTTCCGGACAGCGATACGGCGTTGCCGTTCAGCATGGGGCTGTCAAACAAAGTATATGCGTCCAGGGCCCAGTTCCAATACCTACAATGTTTTAGTGAAATCAATGGTCGGGGCTTTGACCAGATAACTCACGGTAGGCTGCCTTTGTATCCGCATTCCTCACGCAGGGTTGCTTCCCAGAGGAAGATAAAATGGCGATGCCAAGGGAGCAGAAGCCCATTTTGATGAATCCGGGTTGTGTAATTGATATGAGTGCTGCGGGTATCAGCTATAGCAATTAAGGGGCCATTGGATATCTACTTACGCAACAAAATCATCTAATCGGTCTCGAACCCCAGGGAACTTTTCATTAGGTAGGGCAGATGAACGTTCACGCAGGCAATATATCGCATTGATATAGTCTGTCCGTTCAGCAACGGCTAGTTCTCTCCTAACACATATTGGATATGGGAATATCTGGATGGCAATGGTGGAACATACCATTCTTTCCTTATAATCAGCTTATCTGGACTGCATAGTCCTGCGGTTGTTGAGGTAAAGCAGGCGATGGCCAGAATAATGAGAAAGCTGATGAACGGCATAACTCTAGCTCCACAGGTACTGTCGATTGAGAGTGAAGTATTAGAATTACTGAGGTGAGATAATTAATGTATGTTCGAACTGGAGGCCAGGGATCAGTCTTTCTATCTTAAATGCTATATGTATGTATGTCTGAAATGAGCTTTGGTTTGAGTTTATATGGCGCATTGAAGCGGGATGTATTTGTGTCACAGTACAATGCCACTCCTATGACCCGTGGATTACAGGCGATATATATATCTAAAACCGGTTCTAGACTGCTTCCGAGTAATTATTCTTTACAGGATATCTCAGTCAACGCGGTCTTTTCTGGACGCATTGAGCCCTTGAACCTTGTGGTCCCAGTAAGCTGACCAGTGGCTCATACCTAGAGTCGGTGTATCTGGGGATAGCCCGCTTTGAAGATCCATCCAATGAAAACAACAGCAAGCGCCGAGCAACGGGTTGGCTGCAGGATTCAAGCGGCTTGATTTAGGTCATGACTGGACTCCCCTTCCCAGAGCTCGGACGTATCTGGAATTGCAGGAGTGTAGTAATTCAGGTTGTGCGACAAGATAATCTCCGAGACTAGTATTAATATTGACTCCGCTGCCTTTTATGTAGAGAAATGAGGCGTACTGGTTGCTTCGGAACCTAGTTTTACCTTGGAATAGGGAATTTGTCGAGTTTAATATGTAGCATTCGCGTATGTTTACCTTTCCGGGGTATATACGAGGCGCCAAAGGCACACATGGCCCTTGCTTACGCTGTTACAAGGTTCATGGGGGAGGCTCAGCAGATGACCTTGTGGCGTTCCGAGTGTATTGTCAGGGTTGACTTTGTGATATTCTCTCTGTTACTCATATCCGTAGATATTGAAGTAGGCCTGTACTTTTCTTCTTACATTTATCACAGCACAACATGACTTACTTGTTATTGGGGTAGTACCTTATGCACCTCGAGTTTGCCTTTGAGTGGGATTGTTCGCTATATTATTTTCTAAATATCTCTTTATGCAAGGGGAAGCCGGGTTAGCAACTTGGAACAGAATAGCCAATACAATTGGCTTAACGCGGGGACAAAGTGTGAGAAAGAGGAAAACAGTTCATTGGCTGATCATAATAATTTATATTTTAGGGACAGTAAGCTACCAGTCATATAATAGACACTGTCTTTATTCGGACTGGTTGAACCCGTGTCCGTCCACTTGTTAATTGGATATCACAGGATCAGGTTTTCCATATTGTTACACTACTGCCAAACCCTCACCTGTGAATCTCGTGTTTGATTCAGTATTACGTGGTATTCCGTAGCCGGTCCAAAATGCAATCGTGTGAGTCATTGATGGAACGCTGTTCTATTCCAGGGAAGCCTGATATTCCGAGTCTCCCGGATCCCATGAGCTGAGCCCCTCGGGAGATACGCTTAGTCGACGTTAGACAGTTACTATTGGATAGCGGTGTAATAAGAAACAGGTTCTATAGTTGCCAATACCCGTTTGTGGTTGACCCTGGTGTTTTATGCAAGGGGGTATAAATATAGATCCAGGCTATACCTGTTTCCGCATGTCACCAAGTTGATCATCACCTAACACTTTGTCCAAGGTTTTGTGGTGGGTTAGCTATCTTATTAGAGACAACTTGTTACAATAAGTAGATTCATAAAATTGACACATGTGTGGTCAAAGAGAACGACTTGCGGTCTAAATGCTGATTGCGATAGACGTTTATCAGAGACACAAGGTAACTCAAGACCCGCAGGAAGACAAATATATGACCCTGTGGCTCAGCCATAGAAAGGAACATGTAGAACAATAGTGTCTCTCTATGAGGAAGGCAGCTATAAATCACGCATATGCATGCATTCCTTTTCTACTTAGGTGGCGCTTCAACCTCCCCGATCAACCAATACCATGTGAAAATTATAAAATTGTAAATAAAATATATGGTATTCCGATCTATGTAAGCTACTTTCCACGATCTATTTCCTACTCAACTAGTGAGGATTATCCTCATTCTTTTCAAAATGCTCCCTGGCCCACAGAATCCTCAACCGTATAGCCCGCCCCATGTAGAAGAAAATGAAAGGAATAGGCACTAGCAAAGTAGCCAAAAAGCCCAGCAAGCTAGACGCCCACTCATAGCCCAAGCTCTCATACATCTGCGTCGCGAACAAAGGAAACTCAGCGCCAACCAAATTCCTCACAAGGATCACGCCAGCCAGAGCCGACGCGGAATACGTCTGATAGCTGTCCACAACATAGTTGAGGATACTCAATATGACGATGTAGATACCAGCCCAAAGAATGCTGAGGCAATGATGGGCACGATCCAGTGGACGGACCGGCAGCTTGTCCAGCCAAACCAGAAAAGGCTGATCGGAATGAAGATCGCACCCAGTCGGGCCATCCACATGCGTGCTTCTGGGACACCCTTGCCGTCGTGCTTTTTGACTCGACGCAGGTAGTATCGTTCTTGCAGGGGATAGAAGCAGAATGCGATAATCGGGCCGATAACCATGCCGAGGAAGGTGAGACCTTGCTGGCCGACGTTGAAGCCGTGGCCCTTCCCAGGACCGAAAACAAGGGGGAAGACCTCATTGAAAGGATACACCAGACCGTAGAGGAAGCCATTGTATATCGCAGAAAATGTTGTAATGGGTTCGGTAAATAAGAATCGCAATGGACGAGTGAGGGTAATCTTAAACAGCTCGTCTAGCCCCTTTCGCCCGCTTGCACTGGCATCAGTAACTGTCTCAGCGAATCTCGAGTTCTCTTTCCACATCAAGTTCTACACTCTCTTGGCTTTCTGCTGCAGAATGATTTTGTGTCGCGTTTCGGGTAATGTGAGGACAAGTAGAATCCACTATCCGCTGGTAATGGCCATCATGATCCAGAAGATCCACCGCCAACCGAGGTCGAGGGCCATATACCCGCTGACTACGAGTGCCATCGGTGGTCCGAAGGTGCTGCTCAGGCCGTAAATAGCCATTGGTCCTCCACTTGTGTTCCTCTCCCATAGATCACTGATTGATCCGCCAGTGTTGGTCAGCGACGCACCGCCTGCAAAACCGGTGAGAAATCGGCAGACGATGATAGTCCCAAGATTCGGTCTGAGTGCGATCGGAAGCTGAGAGATAAATAGGAGGAATCACGATACGACATACACAGGCTGGCGGCCAAAGTACTCAGAGAGAGAGACGAATAGAACAGGGCCGACAGCGTAACCTAGCACATAAAGCGATAGGCATAGCGTAGTGACCTCCCCAGATACCCCAAACGTCGACTGCATAGCCGCTGCACCGGACGATATACTACCTGCGCACCACGTTCTAATGAATTTCAGTACTGCACAGGGGCTGAGAATGGACGTCCGGAACATACGTGATGACATTGAGCATGCTCACCATGATGGTGATGGAGCATTTCCGCCATTTTGGCCAACATCATGGGTTTCGCGATCGTTATGCGAAAAGGTTATGCACAGTGGAAATGTCTCTTCTGGGCTATTTCTTGCTCGAGCGAATGCCTCCTCTTCCGTCATCGCCAGGGACTGGTTCTCACGGTACAAATCCGAATTGTTCTTCTCCGGGGGGTGCATCATGGCTAATATGGCTTTCCTCCGTGAGAATCATGGCTCAGGAACCCGCAAAAAAATATGAAGGGGTTGCGTGTGGAGGAAACCTGGGGAAAGAACCCGTAGAAGCCATGTTTGGGCGCGTGTATTAGTCAAATGGGCCGTGACGTGGGTTTGGAGATGCATTGATTTGAAGCCATATATCCCCACCGGAGACCTCCAATGAGACGGCATGCTGTATGTGGCGAGTCCCTTCGGCCTACCATATTTTGGACATGGCCCCGGTGACGAAGCTTTCGCCCAAGCTTTTCTGTGTGGTGCTTGGCTGCCGTAGTCTTTCTGGCCCACATCAGTTAAGTTATGACGATGAATGGCTCCTATTACATAATCCACATTGGTCCTTCATACGCTGAGGTACTCTTGTAGAGGGAGCAATAGGGTTATCGATTTTATATTGAGGCTATACTGGTGTACCTATTCTGCTAATTGAACCTCCACGGTTTCCGGACCATGGGGCAGGCCTACAGCGCATACTTAAGGCTATAGCAAGACTAATCAGAACATAATTGATTGGTATTTCTTAGCAATGCACTTACTGAACGGCAGAGATATACGTAGACAAGAATCCTTTCTTGACTTCGAGCACCATCTGGATATGCTGCATGATGAAGGGTGCCCTTTTCTGTTTGCAGAGCCTGCGAGCCGTTCAACGATATCTTTGATCTGCATCCCATGATTTGAGATCTTTGTCGCGCATCTGGGATTCCAAGTATCCCATCCGAAGCAGAACCTTCCATACAAAGAGCCTGTACTGGATATCCAGGGGCGGAGAATGGATGGTGAGATTGATTCGTAGCCCAGAGGCAGGATCAACATCACTGATACTATTGCTCGTGAGAAACACTAGGTTCTCTGCTTAGCAGCATGATCGAACCCATAGCTGCACTTGCAATCAACAAACTTGGCTCCTGTTCAGAATGATGACTTGAAGTGTCCCTTTCCTTTACCGTAGACAATACCATCCAACTTATTGTCGATGCTCTTGGGCGAACGCTCGAGTGATCCCCTTGTAAGCATAAGGAAGAAAAAGTCGAGGGAAAGCATGCTCATTCCCCCGCATAATTCCATAAAGTTGTCTTGTCGGTTAATCTTAGTAAACACTTCCATACCCGGGGGAAAGATGGTCCACCAATACACCAAGGCAATCCCCCTCTTCAGGGTCAGGTCCTTCATGGCCTCAAGATGCGGCAGAACCTGAGGCACCAAGGAACTACACCAGGGATCCGCAGTGATTGACGTCATTGCCGGGCGATCCCGTCGCAGCCCTGAAATCAAGTTTAACATCAGCCATCTCATCATCTGCAAATCAACCCGCAGACAAAATATCAGATCGACATATGATGAAATAGAATAGGATCATAAAGCGTAGGATATCGTCCTACTTCGCCGTCCCGCTAAACAGTTCCTTTCTTTTTATGCCAAGCCACCCCCCACTCTTCTATATCCGATAGACTACGCTTCTGAATATCATCCTATTTCACTCCGTTTACTTTCTTTTCTTTTTCCGTTATAGATATATTCATTACCTTTCTGTGCTACCTGATTTGGGCAAACCTTTAGCATGGCCGTGATTTGGGGTCTGGATCTCCATGAGATCCAATTCTACAAGTTCAAGGGGAAACATATGTTCAGCCGTGTCTATCACCTACGACGCACAAGGATGATTGTCTACCAACTGGCCATGATCCTCTGTGTATGCTCTGAGTCAGTGGGGACAGCAGCCCTATCAGGTACATACCTTTCGGAAGACCCTCCCGCGGCTAGGTTTGTCATACTGATACCATCCCTCCATAGACTATCTCGACCAACAAAGCTACATCCAAGGGCAGCACCCTGGGGTCAAAGTCCACAATAACAGTTTCATCGGCGCAGCCTCGTACAATATATTCGTGGGAATCTCCGTGGCCACGATCTTCGGCGCGGCGTTCTTTTTCGACCTCTTCTGGCCTGACAGATACGAGAGTCCATCCGTCCGATTAGCGTGGAAAATATGCGCGGTGGTCGTGTCGATAATGATGCTGAGTTCGGCTCTTCTCATGACGGTATGTTCCGAGGGCAGTACTTGCTGGTCACGATTCAGGATACTCATATATAATGATCAGGTCGTCACTGCTATGTACAGTGCGCGTATTACTGGTACGGACGCTACTTCCGCGAAAAAGTTCTGGTCGGAGGCCGAGAAGAAACCCGCTCTGGGTATGTTTCCCGTTCAGTTCAGGACGCTTGTATCCGATTTGTGACTCTAGTGCGGCTAACAACCATTCCAGCATACAGAACCAATCCCAAGGCAGTTGCCTCGGCTGTTCTCGCGTGGCCCGGCTGGGTCGCGACTACTGCTAGGTATGTCCGTCCAAATAGATGCGGTCTACAGGTACATCTATACTAATCATGATCATAGTACCGTTGTCCTTTTCATGTCCAAAAAGCATGATGATCAGTACGGTGCCAAGTCTAAATATGGTCGAAGCCTGGAGAATGGGGGGAATACCCCGGAACTGGAAGTCAAGCCTTTTACAATTTAATGCTCGGTTTACGTGGAATATATCTTAGATTGAATGTATATAACTGGTATATATACTCCCAATAAATGCGGTGTACGAACAGATCCATTCTTTGGTCCCATTGAAAAGCTCGCCAAGCAAACTGAAGTATGCTTACTTGGCTCGAATCATAAATCGATCTTAGTAAGAGGGGAGTAAGGGAAAACAGGCCCTGGGCCTGGTTTATCCATCGGCCTACCTCACGATGCAGCTCCGCAGACTGTAAAGCCTTGCTAGGCCTGAAGAAGATTTATAATATAGAGAGCCTCAAAGTTTCCAACGCCATGGCGCCAAACCAAAGTATCACTCCCCACACTATAGCGGAACGTCTCTAGAACTAGGAATAACTTCAATCTAACCTAAAGTACGTGGTATCCACAGTGAGGCCAAGGCCGCGAAGGATGGCCATACTACCACGTGCATACCTACGTGGCGTCACCGTGTACTCAGTATCTACATGTAGAGCACATTTGTCAAGTTTCAAGTGAGGTTATGATTCGAACATATAGTATCTGTAGCAATGAGAAGTCTGATACCCATTAATTTTCCTCCCGTGTGTATTCAACACAAACTCCCTTGACGCTTTGCAGATATGCAATGGTCCTCTGATCAAGAAAGCTAATATATCAGTTAGTTGTTTTCTTTTCTCTGTCCTCGTTTCCGTAGAGAGCAGTACTTACTCTACACGCTTGAAAGCAGGAGTAGCACCCAATGATTCAGGGCAAAATTCCTCGTCGTACCCAGCTTCATGTAGGATGCTGTAGTTATTAGCATGGGTTCAGTATTGTTCTTATGAGTCATGATAAAACTACATCTCGACTGTTTCATTATGTTCGTACACTACCCCGAGGCCTACAAACTTGACGACGAAATATCAACGTTGTATGTTTTAGCCGTGAATTCTCAGCCCATCGAGTATGGGTGTTCTCCTTGTCACATACCGGCATATTGAGTTGTTGTTTAGATTCTGTAGGGAATGATTGGGAGATGTTTAATATCACAGCAGGCAGAGGATACAACCTCCTATTTATAATTGAGTACGACGGGGTACATTGCTCATAATATCAGATCAGACACCCAGCTTTTTCAGCTACGATGGTGGGGTGCCAAAGGATAGCGCCGATTCCAATAGAAACTGGTGCTAATGCCCATCGCCTTGGATAACGATATGATTTTAAATGATTTCCTTCACATTTCCGCATTATCACTGCACATCCGATAAAGTGTGCCACAAAGGCGATGCAAGCGATACAACCAACCGATCGAAGATTGATAAGATAAGAACATTCGAATACATAAATAATAGCAGCCATCAATCTTTGCAAAATGGGAGCCCGAAGAATATTGCCTTGGTCACTTTGCTATTTCGCTTTTCCCCAGTACCTTTGACTATCCTCCACCACCTTGGCTTCCCACCCACTCACAGGCCCAATAACCTCCACTTCCGTCTGGCCACTGGCAAATACGGTTCGACATGGCAAATCCAGAGTGAGGTTCTCAGTGTTCCCTTCTCCGGTGAGCTGTCGGAGTGTTTTCTCTGACGCCAGGTACACCAGCCGTCCAATGTTCGCCCAGTACATCGTGCCGGCGCACATGGCGCAAGGCTCCCAGGTGGAGACGAGCGTTGTTTTGGCGAGATAGTCGCGCGCATAATTATCGGCCGCGTTGCGGGCGAGTTCAGTCTCGGCGTGCCTGACGTGCGATAGCGACAGGGAGGACATCAGAACGGTGGTATTGTCCGGTGCCAGAAGCAACGCGACAAACGGCCGTTTCGAGTGGATGTCTTGGGCGGTTCTCTGCAGCTCCAGACATGCGCCGGCGGCTGCGGACAATTGTTCGTCGGTCAGGGGAGACATTTGGTGATGAGAAGTTGTCGGTCCTTGGTTGAAACCTGGGGGTGTCGAGTATAGGGATTTTAGAGATATGTGAGAACAGCCCGGTTGGGTCAGGGTATATAAAGGGCATTTATAACGGCGACTTCCGAGATCTTCTCCGCACGAGACGCCGGGATTGCCCGTCCAGATAGCCCAATAATGATACCTGGATGCTGTGCTGTTATCAGTTCTCCACGTTCTGCTATAATAAAGCCAATTATCCGTTTCTTATCAACTGTGAGAGGTCTTCGCCAGTTTCTTGGCTATTACTGTATCTGCACTTGGAAGACAATCTGGGCTCTACGAATTTAGGAGAAATCCTCTCTACTCGACACCGTCGTTATTTGGCTTCAAAGACAATCATAGATCTTTCTAATATCTTCAAGAACTCCATAGGCCTTCGGTGCTCGAATACAAATACTACTTGCACTAATTCTACCTCTATTGGATTTATTTTCATTCTAGCATGTTACTTCGAGATGCTGCATGGAACTCCAATGCTTTGCATACCTACAGTAGAAGATTCACATCCACATAAGACGCCCATCTCTTATCCACATGCGTCTCCGTGTATCACAAATGAAGCCCAGTCCAGGCGAGACCATAATATCACACCGTAAATCGGATATGGCCTTTTCCAGCTCTATCTTTGTTTCTACTTAAATAAATCCAGCTATCCCAACCCATGTGTACCACGAGTGATACCTCCTGTATGAAGCCAAAAGGGAATATCCCCAATCCACGGCCCAATCCGCACTGCAGCCCCAAGTCAATCAGAACTAATAACCATACAATTATCAATATCATATTCAAATGCCAAAGTGACTCATCCTCGACGTCATACAGTATACCATCTAACGGCAGTATATCCCAAGCATGCTATAATAAGCCGAGCCGGCTCATTTCCATGAGATCTATAAATCACCCACACCAACCACATCGAAAGACGCAACACCCCATCCCCAAACCTATCCTCACCTGATACGACAACTAAGACCTCCAAAATGTACCTCCTTCAACCTCTCCTCACCTTCTTCCTCCTAACCCTAACAACCTGCACCCCAATCTCAACCCCTCGCACCCGCGACGCAACAGCAGTAATAAACGACCTCAGCAAGATAACCACCGACCTCTCCGCCCTCACCAAAAGCATAGTAGCCTACAACGGTGGGATCCCTGCCGCACTAGATATCCAGGTGAAAGAGATGGTCGTAGAAAATGACCTCGACCAGGCGACGAGGGACACCATTGCTGCTTCGCCGTTCACAGTAAGTGAGAGTGCTGCCACGACCACAGCTTTGTTGGGATTGGAGCCGGATGTTAAGACTGCGCTTGTAACGCTGGTTCAGAAGGTATTTCCTTTCCTTTTTTCTTGTTGTCTATGTTGTGGTGGGGTGCCAATGTTGATATGGCTTTAGAAACCGCTCGTCGATGAAGCGAAAATAGGTGCAATCGTGAGAATGAATCTGGTGAACCTCAGGGGCAGGACTGGTTCTCTTTCCGCAGCACTGCAGAATAAGGTGACCGCAGTCGATAAGGATACGCTTGCTAATAAGACGACGGAGTTGAATGCCGGGTTTGATACTGCCATTAGAGTGTATTTTTAGGTGTGAGTCTAGTGGCGTGAGTCTGGTGTTGAATATTGGCTGTGGGCTGTTGGCTTGTTTAGCCAATGCTTTGCTTCTTAGTTCCATTTACGTACATGAATCCATTCAATTGATCTGCATTTATATAACGATATCTCAAACAGCCAGGAAGCGCGAAACACATACGTATACAAACAGTAGACCTCAGATTTGAATGCCAAACCAGCCACCCACCAAACACAACACCATCCCACCAAAAAACCCTCTATCACAACCTACAACCTACAAACCGCCACCCAGTAACCCCAAGACAAATCAACCCGACTTGAAATTCACCGGCCCAGCCCACGCCCTCATGGCCTTCCCTTTAACCTGCAACAACAAAACAATCAAAACCGCCCCGACGGCAATACCAGCCATCGTGCCAAACTGTCTCCTCGCACCCTGTTTACTGGCCCACTCGACCATGAAATAGCTCACAATAAACCCACCCGTCGTGCGTCCAAAGTTCACCCACGCAGCCACTTCCCCACTAGCCTCCGGGTAGCTATCAAGGACGTAGGCGTTTATGGCGACGGTGACGATCATCACGCCGAAGACGTAGAACCCCCATCCCAGGGCAGTGAGCATGTAGTGGTATGCACCTTCGAGGGCGAAGCCGAGGAGGATGATCCCAGCCAGGATGAAGGGCGTCGCGAACCAGATGGCGAGGAGGCGGGCTTCGGGCTCCAGACGGCCTTTGTTGCGGTTTGTGGCGAGCTTGGCGAGGTAGTCGTGCAGCCAGTGGCCGGTGAGTTCGCCCAGGATGGCGGCTACGACGGGGGTAAAGTAGAAGAAGCCTTGTCTGGTTAGTGTATTTGTCGGTAAATTAAATTTAAAGGGGGGTTGGTCTGTGTATGTGTGTATTTATGTATCTATGTAGGTAGGTAGGTAGGTATGTACGTACCGATTTGCTTAGGACCGAAGCCGTATAATGGGCCGACGAAGATGGAGAGCGTCGTGTTGACGCCTACCACCCACGCGAAGGTAAGCATATAGTAAATTGTGGATAGGAGGACGACAGGCTTCATGATGACGGTGACTGGGCGCATGAGTGCATCTTTCGGGGTGTTGACGATGTATCCGCTCTGACGTTGCTGGATGCCCAGCATGCGTTTCCATCGTGGGGCGTTAGGGATGAGGTCTGGCTGGTGGTTTTTGCGATCGTAGTACGTCTCTTCGACGAAGAGAATGATTGCGATGAGACAGAGGCCAGTTTCGATGCTGTATAGACCGAAGGCCCATTGCCAGACCTGGGTGTTGGTTATGAAGGCTGCGAACATCGGCCCCAGGTAGGGCGAGAGGATGATGGACCCAGACCAAATGTTGATTTTGCGGGCCTGTTCATGCAGGAAGAACATGTCTTTGATGAACATGAGGCCGCCCTGCTAGGGTTAGGGTTTGGACGCAGACAAAGAGGATGTTGGCCACGTACGCCTTGTGCAACCGTCGAGAAAAGTCCATTCAGAATCCGGGCAGCCTGGACTGGTCAGAATCCATTGCTGGAATATTTTAGGGGGACATACCATGAATGACTCAAATGATTGTGCTGCGGTGCACCAGATTGCCGTCGCAAGTGCCAACACCACAAAATAAAACAGCACCGGAAGACGACCGAAGTAGGCAGACAGAGCGACAACGATAGGGCCACCAACACCCAGCATAAAGATATTTCCGGCCTGCGAATGGTTGACATGATCCTCGGTCATGTTCCATTGTCTAGCATCAGTTTTAGTTAGCATCCCTTGTGCATATGCCAATACCCAGGTTCGTACTTGGCCTGTTGGAGGAGCGTCACCGCACCCGTGGCACTTCCATAGTCCGGCAGAAACGCAGTGGCCGAAATAACAAAAAGAATGAGATTTTTCTTGAACGGCGACCAGTTGAGTGGATCATGAGGAAAGTTCGTGGGCTGTGGGATCAGCACGGTCAGGCCATCATCTGTAGTTTTGAGGTTCTGATTCTGGGTGCGCGGCGTGTAAAGCATGTATCCCTCGCGCTCCCCAATCTCCTCGAGATCGACCACCGGCCGGTCCTTCTCGGTGTCTGGAGTTTCTGGCGAGTGTTTAGAATCCATTGCGCCGTCTCCGAGGTACGATTCTCACAACTATGGAGATAATGACCTATGAACTGAGAGGGGAAAATAATGGAAACAAAATGTGGAAGGGCGATCTTGCAGATCAGTTATATATTGGTTCCTTAACGTACACTTGTAACACCGCGCCCTGGCCGAAAACGAGATGCAGGAAGAACTTGGCATAGTGATCCTCGGCCCACTGTCCAACTATATTGACTTTCGTGTCACAGGGAGGGAGTTCACCGCAAACGAACCCAGCACGATGAAAGACTTGAAACCTCGAGGGGGTCATCTGAACCAAACTAGAGTCGGAGGGTAGGGTTGAGCTAGAGATTTAGCAGACTCCGGTGTCAGGTAAGCAATGGGAATTCCAACGGTTGGCCCAGAAAAGCTGGAGGCTGAAGGCCGTGTCTGCAGGATCTCATCTTCGCTTCACGGCTCAATCGTTAAGGTTTCCGATGACGGGCTTACATGCTCACATATAGGGTGTATTAGATGTAGGAGCGTGGCATAGCCAAGACAATCAAATGGTTCTACAACATCTAACATCCAGAGGCCATAAGCACAGTCCCATTCTAAATAGACAAATCATAATCGAGGACAAAACGTCCAGTTGGCAACCCAGTAACATAATGTAACTCAGTCCTCTGAATGTGACAAATACATGAGCCAATGAAAAATAGTACCACATTAGTTACTAGAAAATTCTGAAGCCAAACGACGCACAGAGGCTCGTATCTACGATCCCCGCTGAGTGACATCCACGTCAGACTGAATATGGATCTCTGTCGTCTTCATTATCCCATGGCTCGCCTCCTCGTCCATGATAGGGTCCCCGCTATCGCCATCCCCCTTGTCTCTCCGCGTGGTAGCCCACGCATCCCCGTATGTACCGAGGGCGTAATCCAAACTGCGACCACCAAACTGTCCATACGCATGGCCGCGCCCATACTGGTTCTCGGGGTGAGTTCCGACGTGAGTGGTGTTTCTTTTGGAAGTGCATTTGTGTATCAGAATGTGGAATAAGGGCGTCATGGTAGGGATGCATGCGGCGAGAATAATGAGGTATTGTTCGATGGCGGTCCATATTGCAAGATCAACCGTGTCCCATGGAAAATCGGCTCGTTCGGTCAGAGAAGCGAGGTTGATGGTCTTGACAATTGCAGCAGCCATGGCGCTACTTGATCAGACTGTGATGCGTCTACCATAGACCTAGATACTTACATGATTCCCAGCGAAAGCACACAGCTCAACCCAATCTTGATCTTACGGGCCATCTGCAGCCCAGCAATGGTCTTTAGTGGATAGATGGCGAGCACGAAATCCGAGAATGCGGAGGCCGCTATATGATCAGTAACATGGTAAATCAGGAAAGCGAGTACATACATCCTTGGAAGAAGGCATAGTTCTTCTGCACTGTCGGCGGCCAGCACGACCCTTCAACAGTGTAATCCCACAGGCTCCGGGTGGGAGTACACTGGCCGTACATAGTGTATATCGATACCATATTGATGATGGTGAGAAGAGCCATCCCCCCATACATGGCGATTTGGTGGTGCTTGACCTTCCGCATGATGCGTAGCAGAAATAGCGCAACAGATACTTTACCCCAGTTCGTCGAAAATACATGGAACGCCTGCGACATCCAGTTAAACTTGGCTGACAGAATGCGCTGTGTATCAGTGAGGTCGACGATATGTCGTCCGGTGCCATAATGCACGCTGATGGTCGTCAGAATGCTTTCGGCAGTCGCGCTGACCTACCACTGTCAGAGGCTGTCCATTCAGAATCATCGGCAGTCCTACCATGGCCAGCACAATAAACCCATCATCCCAGCCTAGAGGCCGAATGATACGGAGACGAATCCAGATCCGCGTTGCGACTAGGATAGTGCACACGCCGAACAGCGGCCACGAAGCGACCTTGATGACCCATTGCCGATTCTCGCCACTGCTTGCTGCTGCCGTATAGCCCATTGTAGCCTGCGACCAGATATTTGGAATTGCAATAGAGACTGACGCCGTGCAGCAGGGAGCTCCATGCCTAGCGCTGACAGGGGCTTCCCAATGCGTTGACTTATAAAATCCCAATTGCCGACTGTGTACTGTGCTACCTCTCTCGCGTATTAAGTACTGGTACCTCAGCGAAATGAGTCTGAAAAGCCTTTGTTCCAAGTACTGGGTCTAGACCAGAATCTAACTTCTCTTGCCAAGCGACCACAGCAGAGGGTGGCTTGAGTGAGATTGGTCCACGTCCTTTAGGGCATGGGAGGGATTTGGGATGGACTGCAGGATTGGACCTACAAAGTGGCGGTAAAAGGCATCTCTGTTCTAGTGTAGTTGTACAGGCAGGGAATATGTTTCCTTTCAGTTGTAGTATATAATGGGTGAATGTGCCACTCCAGGTTCCAGCATTGTTACACTAATTTCACGTCGCGTAGAAAGCGGCCTATTTGAATAAAGAAATAAGAAACCTCGTGTACAGCAATCAATCCCATGCTGAGAATCTTTTGTCTTGGAATGGTCCCCATCCGCCGTCGCATTCACATAGATCGAAAGTCATAGCATGGCCTGTCAGATTAATCGACAAGGAGCTGATCTAACTCTCCATCTGCAGCTACCCGGCGGCATGTCACTGTCCTCCATCCAGATTATTCTTTTACGCAATGCAGGGTTTTGCTATTCTCTGGGTATCCGACACTTCGCCTTCACTAGGTAGAGACAAAATGTGTTATCATTAGGATGTACAGTGCATATGGTGTACCGCCAGAAGATAGCATAGTCGCGGTGATGGATACGTAGATATACATTGACAAGGCTAAATGACACCTACCGACTTGAGAGTCTGCGCCGGGTCTCCAAAAGACACAGGAGGTAGAATGGACTGAATAAAGAACCCTGTGTCTAAATATGTAACTACACGAACCAGCAAGATAACAATGTATAGAACTCAGCGCAATGAGGCTATACACCCATCACAGCGCAAGAATCTTCTCGGCTGCATGCTCGGCGACCGTGACAATGTAAGCCGAAGGATTGGCTGTGATCATGCCCGGGAAGATACTAGCATCCACGACGAACAGGTTATCAGTTCCGTAGACCTTAGTATTAAGATCAACAACAGCGCTGCCTCCGGTGCGGCCATCATCTGTACCAATTTTACAGGTTCCTAGAACAATTAGCGACGTTATTAGGAGGGTGCTTAGCAACTCACCCATCCAGTGATTGGCGCGGCGCGTTCCAGCAGTGATTGGCATCTATCTGTGTCAGTTACGTTGAATATCCTTCTAGAATCCACCACTCACAGTCTTCACAAACTCAGCGATAGAAGTGTTCCGAGCTGGATAGGTCCAGGTAAGTCCCGTTCCGTTCAGGGCCCTCTGCAGGTTCTGAATTCCCTCGATCACGGCGTTGACATCACTCTCCTCGCGCAGGAATGGCAGCGTCGAGACCACCGTGTCCAGTCCTGCGGTGATAGTCATACGGCCGCGCGAGGTTGAGCCGCGGCCAAGGTATTGGCTGATGGTCAACGCGTCTACAGAACCATTAATATCCTGCATGAATCTTTCACACAATAGTCAACGTACGTCCGTCAGGCGTATCATGGCCGCCTTCCACCCGAGCAGTCCACTGTATCTGTCGTTTGATGCCATCAGAGCCGGTGACTTCGTCGAAGATTCTATACACGTTAGCATCATGACGGCTTTGCAAGACGGGCAACTTACATTGGACCAATGTTGGGCGCAGCCTGGGCGAAAATCCCGGTGCGAGCGTCTATTGTTGTTAGTGTCGGGCAACTCGTCCGGGCATGATTACATACTTAGATAACTCGTCGCATCACTCTCGATGGGGGTCTTATATGCCGCTTTGAAGTCATAGAATACAACATCAGGGTGGGTCACGACAACGTCAGTCTGTACGTATCATGTTAGCATGGTAGCAACATCCCCCAATACCCTTGACACTCACATTGACATGATCAACCAAGTTCTCGCCGACCGGAAGTTCGATCCACTCCGATTCGGCGATCATTGTCTCTCCATCAGCAGCTGAGCTCTTCACGATGGACAGCTGATCCTTCGGACCGATGCCACCTATACATCATCAGCATTGGCTCCCGGCAATATCATCAACATAACGTACTTCGCATAAGGACCTTAGGCGTTCCGAAAGTTCCCGCCGAAAGAATGACACGACCCGTATTAGCAGTCACATTGACGGTACCTGCATAGCCACCATCGAGGGTTGCCTCGACCTCAACTCCGGTGATACGTCCGCCCTCACGGACCACTCTCTTAACGGTTGTGTTCGACCAGCGGGCAAAATTATCCCTCTCGCTCGCCGACACCAAATACGTCCCCATGGGCCCTCCGCGCTCGCCTCTAGAAAACATGAACGGTGTGTGACCAAAGGTCTTGGTTTTCTGGGCCGGGACATCGTTGAGGGTAACAAAAGACCATCCCGCGGACTGCAAGCCTTGCTCCAGTATATTGGCTCCTTGCTGGAGGTAAAGCTTTCCATCGGTGGAAGGGGTTGTGGTTCCGGGGATTCGTGAGAACACGCGGTCCGCGGCAGCCTGCATGTCGGACGACTGCCATTCCTCGGGGAAGTTGTAATCCCAGTCCACAGGGTTTGGCTGGAGATTATCAGCAATAGATTCAAACAGGATATCTGAGTACGGCTTACCCTCCACCACAATCCCGCGTTGACGGCGGTGCCTCCACCCAGCACACAACCCGCCATCTGGTCGGTATCACTACAGGCGATGCCGTTGGAATCGACCCAGATCTGGTTGCACAACCCAGGAACATCAAACCGCGTCAAGTTGGTATCATCCAACCAGGAGGGCTTCATGGTGCCACCCCAGCGTCCAGAAGAGGGAGGACCCTTCTCGATCAGGAGAACGCTGTGTCCAGCCTCACTAAGCCGATCGGCGATGGGGATACCTCCCGCACCTCCACCGACGACAATATAGTCGTATGTAACACCGTCAGGTACAGGGGTAGGAGTCGGCTCATTGCCTCCACCACCGCCACCAGAACAATCCCCGGGAACCGTCTTGTTAGCCAACTTGACCCAGTCCTCATAGGAGTCACTAGCTGCATTCTCATCCAGAGTAGCCGAGATGATACCCTGGTTGTCGTGTTGCACCAGGCTGATATTATCCGGACAGGACGGGTTCGACGGACTTTCCGTCGCCTGCGCCCATCCCAGGACTAACCGGCCCTTGCTTGTGGTCGCGTTCCCGGTTTGACCATCTTGGTCCCAAGTCAGGCAATTCTCACAACGGAACAACAACGTAAAATGAGTAGCATTGATGCTCGAGGAAATCTGGGTGATATTGGCGTCGCCGGTATAGACCCCGGGCATGCTGTACCCTGAGCCGAATCGCAAGGAGGTCAAGACGGTGTCCTCGTACGGATAGGCCAAGAACAGGAGATTGTTGTTCATGCCACCACCCAAGGAAATACCACACCAGCCAGCGGACGAGGCATTTTGGGACGCACATTGCTTGGAACATCAGAACGTTTAGCACCACTTTGAAGTGGTCATGGATAGCTAGATATCCTCACCAGATAACCGATAAACTCCGTCGCATCGGTGGTCAACGCCGATCCCGGCAGAGCAACACCGAAGACGAGACCACCCGTACCTGTACCAGCAGGTACCGACCACGTGTCAAACGTGATTCCCGTCTCAGAATCCGTGTAGGCAACTGGTGTGCCGGACTGTGCCCAGCATGACTGCAACACTACTAAAGGGTCAGACGCAGAGAAACAGCATTGGGTCGGTGGTCCACCACTCACCGGTGCTCGCTGAAAGGAATGAAGCGAGCAAACGGTTAACGAGCTTCATGATGAGAAGTGCCCAAGGGATAGCCTCCGAAGACGCACGACAGCACTTCACACCAGCGGGGTCAAGCCCTAGATATACGACGGTGCCCACGCACGACACCAGGAAGAATGCCCCGATACAGATGGCTCGACACCCGGCCCGAGGATCCATATTGCAGGGACATTGCCGGGCTTAGTAGTATCGTAGCTGATACTGTAGCGCGTCTTGGCTTGATGGCGTTCTTCCATCTTGACTGGACAACGCAAGGGATGCACCTATCGGACCTGTGGAATGCTCTCCACCAAAAGGGTGCACGCCGCAAATATGACTGCTGAAACGACAGAATCGAGAACATTCAGCCGCGAACCGATATTAATTGCCTATTGCCATCACATGAGAAGCACGGCACTGGTGTTGCGGATAAATAGGGTTATCAGAGTTGACACCAAGAGACGGCGGCCAGACGCCGTTTCGCGACCGACACGGAGACTTGGCATGAAACGCAAAGGATGAGACATGGCATTGGGTGTTCTGCTTGAGCAATTAAACTGCAGGCATTAATAATGAAAGGGTATAGCTTCAGAGGGATCGGCGCCTATATCAGCCATAGATAAGCGCCGGCACTCAGGCACCGTGGCAGATAGATTGCTCCCCTCCGGTCCGGAAAATCTTGGCCTGTAGAAGCCAACGTCAGAATGGCCGTGAAGAAAAGAAATGCCGACGAGTCTCGGAAAATTCCCACGACACCTACGGTGGAGCTCGCTGGTAGCACAGCCCAATCTATAAAATACGGATACATCCTGGAAGCCATCATCATGCGTATCAATTGATTATTATCGACAAAGAATATCGTAGTCTATACACAAAACCCGGTAGATAGTGTACAGGGACTCTCTCCTCTAGAGAAAAGTCCTGTCGGTCCGGAGAAAAATTAACCGCCAATGCCCATGGGTCCAAAGGGAGCGTGAGTCCCCAGCAATCATGTGTGCTTGCTTTTCCGCGCGGGATATGGTTGGGTTGTGATGCGCCTGGAGGCCCATCGAGTCATATAATAAATGATAGTCAAGTTCGTGGGTGGACTTTCTAATCCCACTCTGACAGAAGTCTCGCTCACCGTTTGGAGTCCGAGTCATCAGAATCCGTATCATCCGAATCGTTGTCGTCTGGGCCCTTGCCATCGGAATCCTTGCCCTTGCTAACCTTGCCGTCTTTCGAGATCTTGATCTGGGGAATGTACCGATAGCGGTGCCAATTATCGAGCACCCACCACTCGGTGACATGTGCAGCATCGCGAAGCCAGTCCACGACGTCCTGTCCGTACTTCTGGTCAAGTTCATTGGCCATATCCATAAGGCTGAAGTGCTTGATGGGTTTGAGTTCGATCGGATCCTTCTCCAGATCGGTGAATCGCCACTCCAGATCGTCAACCAACGGAATGACCAGGCGGAACGCCGGTCGTGCCGCCGAGCGAACCGCGAGCCAAGTACCGCCAGTGTTCATGACGGTGAACTGCCAGTTCTGTTTTCCGTCCTCTTCCGGAATCAACGGACGGAGCATGGACTGCCCTTCGTACATCGATAAGATGTCGCGCGCCGCACGGCCGCTGCCTTCGCTCAGCGACCGCGACTCAATCAGTAAGTCCAAAATAGTCGGCACAATCTGATTACTGTTCACGGGAGTGGAAACCTCGACCGGAGGCAATTTGGGGTGCGCCAACACAATGGGGACGTGGAAACTGCCGACATGCGGGTTGTCGTAGGGCGTAACGCCACCGTCGTTCGGCAACGACAGACCATGATCACCGGCCATGACAATCAACGTCTCATCCGCAACGCCCTTCTCCTCCAGAATGCTAATAATCTCACGGATCCAATTGTCGCCAAAGCCGATCGTATTCAAGTAGCGGTTAACATCATTGTTGTGTCCAGTCCACGACGATCCCATGAACTCCTCGTACTCATCATGTGGCATTCCCCATGGATGATGCGTGGTGCCGGTCAGGTGGGTGAGGAAGAGGCGGGTGTGACTGGCCTCCGCATCATCGATCGCATCGCGAATGTAGTCCCGTAGTTCGGTATCCGCGTAACCATAGTAGTTAATCTCCTCCGACTTCACCGGGTAGTGCTTCGAGCTGGGGTCTTCCAGGGTCTCCTTCGTGACCTTGTCGTGGTAGCCCAGAGCTGGAGTAAGTTTGTCCTGGTTATCGTAGGTTTCAGTCACCGACTGCATCCACACAGAGTGCCACGGCCACGCGGCGAAATCGTCAGTCTGATTGGTGATATCGTGTTGCTGGCTCAGCGCATTGAACACGTGAGGCAGGCACGGCTGATAGATATGGTGTTTGTATTCGCGGTTGAAGTCGGTGACCAGGGGCGTCACGCCGCACAGGGTACCCACCAAACTCTTCAGCGTGTAGGTACCGGTCGTGTGAGCGTTCCGCGCGCTAATGCCACCGTACGCTTTCCGATCCGCGTGGAGCGAGTCGGTGTGTTCGAATCCGGCGTCAAAACCAGTCAGCCACTCGGCGGTTCGAGTCAAATTAGAGAGACGCTCTTGGATCTCGGGCGGTATCTGCTTATCCTTATGGGATTCCGCAATGCGATTCCACATGAACGAGTCCTTCTTCAAGGGGAAGACATCGCCCCGAGTACTCTCGAGTTTCAGCATAATGACATGTTTGATCTTGACACTGCCATCCTCCAGCACGGGACGAATGGCATCGAGCACTGGGTTTTCCCGATTGGAAATGTGCAATGGGTCCATGCTCGGCGTGTAGTGCAGGGCGAAACGGTCGGTTTTATCCCAATCAGAGAATCCAGGGAGTCCCTTCTGCGGCATCCAATCCCAACCTGGGGCGGGGTGCAAGGATGATCGCTCTTCCAGCCAGGCATAATCACCCGGCATGGCCGTTGTGTCGACCGGAGACTTGCGATGTCCACCCTCAAAGAACGGTGTCAACGGTAAAGTACCTGAGAGATACATGTACGCCGGCGCCCAGGGACGAAGGAAGCGGAGGAGCAGGAACAAGCCGAACAGACCCAACACGACAAATCGACGCATGGGGGTATCCGTCCGCCTGCGCTCCGTCGGGGTCGTGCTCCCAGTCCCAGTGTGCAACAAGTGGTCCGATTCTCCATCATCACTCTTATCGTCCAGGTAGTCATCGACCGCAATCTGCTCGTAAATCTCTGGGTCCGGAAGGGGTTGCCGCCGGACACTGCCGTAGGCACGATGGAAACAGGGTCGCAGACGCTCCACCAGCACACGGATGGGCCAGGCCAACACGTGCAAAATTCCACCCGTCACCCGATGAATGAACCCTGCCACAAACCAATTCACCGTCAGCAGAATACCTTCCACAATCAGAAAGCCGGCCAATCCGGTCAGGAGGGTCCGCATGGCGGCGGCGTCGGCATGGAAGGAGGTGGCCTGTCGCCAGTGGATTTCGGCACCGGTCACGACGTAGAACGAAGTATTGGAGGCCATCATTCCGGACATCATCAAACTATTAGAAGCGAAGAGCGTTAGTTTCGGGTCAGTTCGGCCATAGCAACCCCTCCGGACACACGCACCTGAATGGAATAACGACAATCGCGCCCACGATGGCCAGGGGCCGCCACGGGACCCTCTGAGCGAGGGTCCGGAACAAAAGCAGGATCATGACATCTTGAAAGAAGAATGTAATGCCCCAGAGAAGAAACTTGCTCGCCGGGAGGGAATGCAGGTGGGCGAAGAGATGGAGGAATTTGGCGCCAAACAGCGAGATGAACGCGAGGGAGAAGAAATATCGGCGAGCAAAGTCCCAGAAGAGATCGAAGGCCTCCCCGGGCGAGGAGCGCACCTTCTGGAAGACGGGAACCCACCGATGGCGGAGGGCGTGCAGAGTGTTGGCGAGCTTCATGACGTTAATCTAGCGGTCCAAGCGATCACCACATGGCAAGAAAAAGGTTTCGTTGGATATGGAAGCGCAATCCAATCTTCGACCACCGTAAAAAAAGAGCTATGAAGAGATGCCCATCGGAAACGCTGGCGTGGTTGTAATTTCCGGAGGGGTGGAGGGAAAGGAAAAGGGAAAACTGTCAAAATCGAATAAGAATAAACAGACAATCGAAAGATAAGACAAACAGAAAAAACGAAGGGAATCCGAAAGGAAGAAGCAAGTCGATCAGTTAGTAGTCAGCAACGAGAAGAAGGGAAGGAAAGAAAAGAGAGAAAGTAATGGATCGTCGCGAGAAAGACAGAAGGAGAGAAAGTCAGCATATGTAATGAGGAGACGAGAACATCACTCCCACCGCATGGTTATGATCCGTACCAGAACGGAATTTCCCAAAAATACGCCGAGATTTCTTACAGGGCTCGCTCCTTCACTCACAATAGAGCCGCACAGCCCTGTCTGCCTTGAGTTTTCTTTTCCTTTCAGTTCAGTTTTTTACAATCAACTAAAAAGAGTTTATATGAAATTTTCTTCTTTTGTTTCTGAATTTATATTTTAATTTTTTATCATATTTTTCATCCATTGGTGTATCTCTTGTCTTTTGTGAAACTGCCTCTTCTTCAATGGTCCACCAGACCCCTTTCCTAACTAGACCCTTTTTGATCCCCTGGACCCACTTTCCCTCAGTCATGTCATTGGATGATACTGCTCGTTTTAGCCCCCCGGCTACAGGGCTGGGGAAGGGTGTCCAATCAACGCGGATGCCAAGGCTGAAGACCCTGGCGGTGCATTTTCTTGCCGTCTGTTGTGAAACAGGAGAAGGAATCCAGTGAAAAGGTTTGGAATTCATCCGTCCAACGTTTGGCAGACATCGTTCCTGGTCCTTCGCAGCGGATGGAAAAATAACGAAGTCAACGATTATTAGCAGGAATAGTCAATTTACAAGCATGACCGGTGAGTGTGCTATCAGGGAAAATTCTGACCTCGACAATTTCGAGGTTACATGGTCGCTTCCAAGGAATAGATGTAATTTATTTCGGGTATGCCGCTAAGATAGAAGAGGCAATGTGACACACGGTCAACTTTCCCTTGAGCAAGTGATCACTTTCCTTTTGGGTCGGACCCAAGTACCCACAGCCACCAATCATTGGATCCGCCATCCGCAGGCGGCGTTCCCCGGAGTCGACTGTTTAGGACTTAGTGCCACCAGGACTTCCATTTTTCCTTCGATTGGGTTTCCTTTTTCTTTCTCCGCCACTGGTAAAGTCAATGTAGTACTATCTACCTCCTACATAGTACTCTGGAGTACATACTACATAGCATACTTCGTATCGACGAATATAATCCAAAGATCCACTTCACAACACCGAAAGGATGGTTGACCGTTAACCTCCCGGAGAAGATGCTATATATATCGACTCAACTTGATATCCCGTATGTCGGTAATCATAGAAAGTCTGCCTCGCTAGAGTATGGACAGATTTGGTTCATAAATTCATAGTTCAACATGTTTTTTTTGGCTTCACTTCCTTTTTTTTTTTTTTTTCTTTTAACTTTTTCGGATCGATTCCATCATAATATCGATACTCATTCAGGCAGGGTCTCAGGCCACCTCTCTCCACCATTTCAACCCAGTGACATCACGAGCGCTCTGTTCCGTCGGTTCCGCTCAGTCAGAGGAAACATACACTGAACATGGTCGGACAGACATCATCTTGACCAGTGTCCAGACTAACAAAACCGTCGTGATACACGGCACTCTGACTGGTCTGACAGCAGAACTGGACGGCCTGACCGTGCGTTAGCGTCAGACTTCTCCATGTTAGAGGAGATCTTGCGAGCCTCTGATTGCCTTATAAGATATGGGGAACAGGATAAGGAGGGACACCCTGCAGTGCCCAGAGAACAGGCAACAGTTCCTCGGCACAATCAATCGTGGGATTCAGCCCAGTCGGGCAGCCCTGGGATCTAACCCGTCGATCCAGTTGTGTGGCGGGTACAAACAAAGCTATCCCTCCCCAACCCTTCTCCCTCTCTTTGTCTTGATCTCTTTCCGATGCACTGTCCCCTTTTTACGGCTATGGATTTGTTCCATTTCAGAGATACTCCGTACCGCGAGTGCTCTCTCTCTCCCTCTCTCCCTCTATTTCACAGACAGGTGAATTAGTGATATATCAAAAGGGGTAGGATGGATCCCACGGCTAAATTAGTCCTAATAGTGCCATCTACTACGGTATTGTCCGTTTCAGCAAGGATGTATCGTATGTAAGTGACCCGTACGGAAATAATACTAACAGCCACTGCCAAGTGCCAAGTCGTCGGACTTGTCTCAGACGGAAGAGGAAGCGAATGGGCCATGTTGGTCGACTCCATCCATCCTGGCGCTCAAAGCTCTTTTTGGCCCCCGTCTTGGCATGGAACTGTTGGCAGTTGGAAACAAACGTCTGGAGAACATGGTTGTCTCTGGTATCAAAAGACCTGTCATGATCTCTATTTTGAGACGTCAGAGAGGCAGTGCTGGGATCAATGCAACAATGTCATTGAAACGAGTCTGACAGGATTCACCCCCACTACAATGTTACTTACCTGCGGACTCGAAAAGGAGAGCAACACAGCTTCAATTGACGTCCACGAAGCTAAGCTCCAGGAGTTCCTCGTGCCATTGGGTGCCACATGGCATCACGAGACCACTTACTTCATGGGCTCGTATCTCAAGGTTTACTTTTGACCTTGTTAAAGCATTGATACTCTCAACGACCAGGATGCACAGACGACTCTGTACTTCAATAAACTCAATCACAGTGAATAAATTCAGCCCACCCAACATGCAATGCAATGCAACAATAAGCAAGTAACCCCCCAACATATCTCCGACCGTACGACACAGAACATACCGAAAGTAAACTATAACTGCACACACCAAAAATTATTGAAAGACAAATCTTGAAATAAAACCACCTTCTCCACCTCGATCCCCCCCAAACCCTCTGTCCTCGGCGACCATCCGACAAAAGGGGCAAACGGATGGAGAAAACCAGCCACTCTCATTGGTATCAAATCAACCCTTTTTGCTGAGTGATGGCGACAGGGTCGATCGGCCTTATTTTTCCTTTTCTTTTTCTTTTCTTTTTCTCTTTCCTTTCTTGATTTCGTTTCCTTTGGAGTTGAGTTGGGACAAATGTTTCTTTCTACTCTTTGTTCATTTTGTATCAGTTCGGTTTACTGTGGGGTTACTCATACTCCTTGTAGGAAGTATCCAAATGCCGGCATGCATAAAAGTGAATGAAATGTGGCTTTTGGTGGAAGTTATATTTGGAATGGACTTGTGTCTAAGTTGTCCCGCCCTCGGGACGGACACGTTGTCCATTGCCTGCGCTGGTTAGTGGCTCGATCTAGTAGTCTAGCCTGATTCGGTTGAAGATTGGATTAGGTAATCATGGTAGACCATCTCATCAATTGAAGTGTTGAAGGAGTATATAATTAGAGGCAATGCATTTGTATATGAAATGAATTGTCTACTCCATGCACGAACCTAACAGGTGACATGTAAGTGAGATCTCCAGACTACAAGTTGTTTAGAAGGTGTTCGAGAAATGAAGATATAGTGGAGATCAACGAGGATATCTTTCTCCGAAAATATATATTTCTCACGACGAATATTAAGGCAACTCATCCGAAGTCGCAATGGCAATAGTATAGCATCCAAACAACCGTATCTCATCAAGACAAAGTTATCTGATCGACGCCTGGACGGGGATACCGCGGGAGCATGCTTATGGCTGAAATATGATGCGTTTTCCCTTACGCAAGCACCATACCGTGGAAAAGTTACACGAGTTTTGTTTTCGCCTGAAGAGGGCTGAATGATCCCTTGCAAATTCAAATTACTGCGCTGCATACCAATATCCCATGCCGAAACCCCTGCAGGAGTCTGTGGGCATGAATCGATCAATGTGAGACAGCTAATAAAATGTGAAATGGGTAAAGAATTAATATGAAATTAACGCCCTATATTTTTCCAACAACCGTGACGGACAGCGGCGGACCACTGGTGAATATGCACTGAACAGTCTGCGTGCCGTACATGATAGACAGAGAGAGATCGGTCAACGGCGCCGCTGCAGCAAAGCCTGCGGTCCATTCATGTAGTACCCGCCCACTGCCAGGGCCGCTCCCAAAGCGCCCAGCACCAACGTCGAGGAACGAACAGGCAATTCCTCCTGGACCCGACCGATGTTAGTCGTTTTCTTGCGCTCCACCAAGGACTTGCCTGTCCCCTCAACGACGTAATCCTCCCATCGCACCCGTGACAAGTCCTTCTGATAGGGGACCACCCGACCTGGCCAGTTGTTGGTGATCCGGCCATTTTCCAGTTTATACCAGCTATGGCAGTGCGGGTCGGCGAAGGAACTTGTTTCTAACTGCTCCTGGAGGCGATCATTGAACGCAGCCACCACATCCGGCCGAGGCTGCAAGACCAGCGAGTCACTGCGAGCCTTGGCCCGCACAACCTCACCGATCAGCGTGCTCAAGTAACGCGACTGTGCCTCAATCATCAAGATGATCGAGTTATGACCTGTACATGATTAGTCCAAGGTTCTCACAAGATATAAGACTCATGCTCCACTCACCCAGATTCGTGTTCGGTCCATACAGCATACCAAAGTTGGGGAGGTCCTCGACCGTGACACCATAGTAGGCTGCGGCCCCATCCTTCCACACATCTGACACCGGACGACCGTTTCGCCCGTACACCTGGATAGGATGCATAAACTCGACCGAGCGGAATCCCGTCGCCGCAACAATGAGATCATACTCTTGAAGGTCGCCATCAACCGTTTCGATTCCAGACTCGGCAATGCGCTGAATCGGTCGCGTCTCAAGATGCACGTTTTTCTTATTCAATGCGGGGTAGAAGTCGTCCGATGGAATGAGACGCTTGCAGCCAGGCGAGTACTCTGGGGTCAACTTGTCCCATAGCTCTGGCTTATCACACACCTGGCTTTTCATGGTAGCGATGGCTATTTTGCGTATATACCCTGACATGGCCGAGTCGGCCTTGGCGATAGCATCGTGGCTGAACTCGCGAGCTTGCATCATGAGGGCGCGTTTGCACCAGCGGATAGGCGGCACGTAGGAGAGCAAGAATCTTTGGATAAACGAGACACTTGTATCATACCGCGGGATGACCCAGTTGGGGGTTCGCTGGTACACCGTGACTTGCGAGACTGATTTAGCCAGCTCGGGGACGATTTGGGCGCAAGTGGCGCCTAGATCGGTCAGTATCACGGTCATGATAGTGACGCTCGAGGAATGAAAAACGACCCTACCTACCATTTCCGATGATAGCGACGCGTTTTCCGGCGAAATCATACGTCCAGTCCCACCGGGCAGAATGCATCAATTTGCCGGTGAAGTCATCGAGGCCGGGAATAGAGGGAAAGCTAGGCACATTCAGCTGACCGACTGCCGATACCAGGAAGTCGGTGGTAATGTCGTATGACTCGTGGAATTGGGGCTCTTTGGCTCCCGACGTGGCCACGCTGACCTTCCACTTGAGCTCTTTGTCATCCCAGCGAGCTTCCTGCACCGTCGTGTTGAAGCGGATGTATTTATAGAGACCATATTTCTCCGCGACGTGAATCAGATAGTCCTGGACGTGTTAGTTGGGGCCCGGACACCGTCGATCCGCGTAGACGTACCCGAATCTCTTCTTGACCCGGATGTTCTCTTGTCCAATCGGTCTTTTGCTCGAAGGAGAAGCTGTACAATGTGCTCCAGACTGGTGATAGGTTAGTATAGGATAATCAATGGCATGGATCTTGAAGCACGTACCGTCACAGGCGCATCCGGGGTATCTGTTATCATTCCAAGTACCCCCGACCTGGCTGCCTTTCTCCAGAATGACAAGGTTACGACATTGGCTTCGCTTGATAATATCAATCGCCATACAGAGGCCTATGAGTCCGTTAATCTGTTGCCCGGTAGCCACCACGCGGGGAATATAGTCAGGTGATACCGGATATGCCTGCCCCTATAATAACCACGGTCGAGGACGTATAGTCCTGGTTTCCGACCGGACGACCTGCTTGAAAACGAGTCATTTCGGCAAATTTGGGTGAGAAGTCGTACTGAGGACGATTGCCTCGCATGAGCTGAGGGGGCACATATTTGAGAAGGCCAGGGATATGTAGCAGAGACTCGAGTCGGGGTACCGAGGTAAGAATCGGAAATGAGAGAGAGGTCGTGAAGCACACCCCAAGAAGGGGTGAAGACCACTCGTATTGGCCTAAGGTTCTCCATGGCTGAAGGGATCGGAGCCTTCAATTGCCGAATAAGGCTTAGCGTGGGCCTCGTCGGTGCGGGGGTCATGCGGATGTATCCAATGATCGCCATTCAACTCCTTTAGTGCTCCTTTTGTGCTGCTTTCATAACTACTACATGGTGAATTGTGATTCTTCACTGGAACAGTTCTCCGGACACAATGCTGTCTTTACGATACAGCTACGCTGAGGACAATCCACAAGTGGGCCATGAAGTAATGGAAGCTCCAGCTTGGCCGCTCAGTCCAACTGCTTCAGTTCTCGTCGCAAAATCTTCCCGGCTGGGTTCCGTGGAATAGCCGACACAAAACGCACTCCCCCACGCAAGCGCTTGTAGCCAACCACTCGATCGCTCACATACTGATATATAGCATCAGCCATGCTCCGGGTACCCTCGTATCCCAGCGCCACAACCACATATGCCCGGGGTAGTTCTGTCCCCGACTGGCCATCCTTGATTCCCGTCATAGCTACATCTGCGATGGCCGGATGGCCTAGAGCGATGGCCTCGAGTTCGGCCGGTGCCACCTGAAACCCGTTATACTTGATCAACTCCTTTGCTGGGTCGGTGATGTAGAAATGGCCATTCTCATCCTCGTATCCCACATCACCAGTCTTATAATATCCATCCTCAGAGAAGGATTCACCGTTCGCCGTTGGGTTATTCAGATATCCAAGGAAGACATTCGGTCCTTTGACCCAGAGCTCCTTGGATCGTCCCGTATCCCCTTCAGTCGCGGCATACTTGACAGTCATATTTGGGAGAAGACGGCCAACGGAACCCGGATGGGTGTATGTCTCATCCCAAGTCTAGAATAGTAGTTAGCCGCGCCCAAAGTAACTGTCTGGCACTCAATATCTACCTGCATGTGCGTACACGGAGCACATTCACTCATGCCATACGCCTGACGCACACGAAGCTTGAGCTTCTGATGCAAAGCTTGGATCAGCTCCACCGCCGTCTCAGGTCCTAATAGTATTTTGTATACAGCTGGCAGATTCGTAGGAAAGGATACACGAACCCCCGTAGGGATCAACACGATCTTTTCGCACCCTACCTCAGTACAAGATAGTTTCCAACATAAGATCCACATATCTATATCTATATCTCGAAGCCACTAAACAGGGAAACTCAGAATACAAACAGACATCTAGAACAACACGCTCAATGCAAGTCTATAGTATATACATGACAAATAGAATCAGCATGGTCTCAATCGTAGATCATCCAAGCAACATGTAGCAAATCGTCAGACGCTGAAACAGAAACCGAACCCCAAGCCCAAAAACTAGATCGATAAGATAAATTAATACCGTAAGTAAAGCAAAAGCCTAGTCCGCATTATTGGCACAGGTGAAGCTGGCCCGGGAGCTGTCGTCGTGGATGGCCTTGCCAGAGGCGTACAATCCCAGACCGCACTGCGAGATGACAATTAGTATAACTCATATGACTCGGGGGCGAGAAATGGGTCACATACAATAGTACCGCCGATACCGACAATAAGGAAATTGAGGATGGTCAGGGCAATCTTGCGAGGAGACGAGAACCAGTAGCCCCAGTTCATATGCAACCAGTACACGCCGCTGAGGCCGTAGGTGAACCAACTGGCGAACAACGAACTCTGTTTGGTAGATCAGTTAGCAAAAGCCTTCTTTCCCAGTTCCGACGCAGGGGTGGGGAAACGTACAATCAAGCTGACAATGTTGGTGAAGCTGGGAATACCCTCGCCGATAATCCAAGCGATGACCCAGCAGGTCACACCAATAGCAACCCAGGAACCAACGGAGACGAAGTCGCGCTTGGCCATGCGGCCGGACTTCCGGAAGATGCGCACGTAGATGTACTTGAGGGCCGACGTGGCCGTTGACGACACCGGCACCGATGATGGTGGGGATGGCGACACCGTACGCAACCTTCTTGAGCACGGGACCGGCGGATCCGAGAGCGGGCGAGGCGACGCCGGTGCCGACGTAGTAGTAGATGACGGTGGCGGCGACGACGTAGAGGACGATCTCGAAGCCTTGCAGCAAGCACAGGGCCTTGGTGAAGTCCTTAGGCTCTTCCATCTCGGCGATCAGACCGAAGAAGGCGACGTGCGCGCAGTACGCGAAGACAATGTTCGTCACGGCAGTGAAGCCGTGGTAGATGTTTGTCTGCTGGGTGGCGTAGATGTTGACGCCGCCTTTGTATTGGACGCCGACGCCGATCATGGTGATCATGACGGCGGAGAAGATACTAAGGAAGGCTGCGAGGGTTGGTCAGTTGATTGCTCTGGGACTCTGGTCTAGTTCTGCAGGAAGACATACAGGCGATGGAGATGTAGGTCATGTTCTTGATCGTACGGGGCAGAGAGAGGACCAAGCAGATCACCATGCCCACAATACTGAAGACGATGGAACAGGTGCCATGCTCGGTGATCGTATTCATCATGACGGTGAAGGTGACAATGTGACTGCCCATGATAAAGATCGAGAACAGAATCTGGCCCAAACCGAACAGTTCACGGCCGAACCGGCCCATGAGGATTTCACCAGCATCAGCCAGGTTGTGAATGTGCGGGTGTCGCTCGCGGAATTGGCCAATGACATATCCAGTGTAGAGGGCGAGAATACCAAGACCGACAATCAGGATGAGCGCCCTATCGACGAAATGTAAGAACAAGATTATAGACGCAATATTCTGGGAGGACCCACGGAACGAAGCCCAGCGTATCAAGAGTAGCAGGAAGGGACAAGACTCCAAGGGAGACCGATTCGGCAATCATGACTAGTATTGTTAGCTACGCTATCGATGGGATGGGGCTCGTTCGACGGCTAAACATACACATTCCACATTGCCTGAGACGTTAGTCTAAGTCACCCGATGTCCAATGGATACGAGGGATCCAGAACTTACCACCACTTCAACGTCTTGTACTTGACCTCCGCTGTTGCCTCATTACCAAATGGGTCGTCGACAGGGATGTTCTGCAGTTCCGCTTTCAAATCATCATCGGCGTACATGTGGTCGCCATGCTTGTTCTCGATTGGGTCGGACGGTGGTGGAACGCCTTCCATCAACATCTTGACGCGACTATTGCGGGGCGAGAAGCGTCGAGGGGTGGAGAGTATAAGACAGTCAAGTATATAAGACAGTCAAGTTATCCTCTCGTGTCGAACCCAGAGATGGCCAAAAGTGATGAGATAGAAGAAGTCCAGAGGTCGTGGCAGACGCTATAAGACTATCCTCTCTCTTGCCGAAGACCGGGGCTGGGAGATAAGCGCAAAGGACGTTGAGGAAGTCCGCGGTGGGAGAAAATTCTCACAAGCCCTGGTGGGTCACGGAGTTGAGATCCCGTTCTCTCCACGCGATCCCCTTTGGAAGCAGAAGGCAGTCTGGAGTTAACGGTGGCCAATGCCGTGACAGTCTGTCCGAGACTCCGAGGACCAGATCTTAATCAACAAACAAGGAACCTGGGGAACTGAGAGATCACACGATGCGCCCTGCTGCATGCATTACTGCAACGTTCTATGCGCAGAGATATACCCGCAGCAGCAAACTTTGCTAACATCGAGTTTGCGGGCTTCTGGCGACGCATTTGGTCGCGGTGTATACAGTTTTCCGAAACTTTCCCGGGTGCGAGGATCTCATAGGTGCAGATTTCAAGCTCGACGAACCCACAACTTGCATGCGGCCGTGGGCGGGAGGCCCCGCTCCAGCCAATGGGAATCCTTATCGAAATAAATTAAGTAACAGTTTGGACCCACTTGGAAAAGCTTTGCACCCACCTGGCCTTATGATTGGCTCGGGCCCCTTTCCATTACCCAAGGGTTTCGGTTGGAATCCGTTCCTGCCTGAGGATCTTCGCTTTTCAAGGAATAAAGTCATGTCTTGCTTTCTATAATTGAACTGCTCTTATTGCATGTCTCCAGAATCTCCCCCATATCTCCCCCAGGTGGCGATGCAATTACCATTTGCTATGTTATAATCGATTTCCTCCCCGGCTTATCTATGCCAAGACTCTGGAACAAGAGGGAAAAAAAATCCTCTCGTTCATGGCCTGATTTTTATGCTGACCAGTGTTAGTCAGGAATTATTATTGTCTAATTTTTTACCTTCGGAATGCAACCGTGTCAGAGGCTTAATTTAGTGTCGATCCCAAGAAAAATTTATTTCTTGGTCAAAACCCTAATTCTCCGTGTGATTTAGGCTTCAGGTCTTAGCATATCGGTTAGAATGTCTCGTTCTGAATATGTGTGCTGGGCCAGACCAACATCACCCCGCATCCTGAGTAAAGGCCTTATTGGCCACGGTAAACCGGCAGTGAGCGAGAAGGAAAGCGATAGAGTAATGGAATTGCCACTCGGTGTGAAAATCGACACTCTAGGGGTAATTCAGGGACACACCCAAACACACACACACCGCGGACATCCGAAGCTGAGAGGCGACTACCGGATCGGGCAAGTTTCTCGATTTCTTCGGGCTGGTTTCCTCAACCCCAATTCCGTAGCACTACCCCAAATACCCTCCGCGGTGCCTGGACGACTTGTTCCAACTTCCAAAGAGAAGGTTTTCTTGCCAGTTTATGCGATGGGTGAACTTACGCTTTTTTTGTATACGAACTTGGCAGCTTTCCACCACATCATGGTACATGTACATGTTGCATGATATCCGCAACTCAGACTACGAAACTGGCCGAGGAGCAACGGGAAGCCTACAACCCACTCCGAGTCTATGCGAAACGAATACCTAAGCTGCAGGTCGAAGCACAACAGGCTTCGCGGTGGATATGCGCCATTTTTGAGAGGCGTCTGATTGACTGTCTGCCGAAGACCCGGGCTACTCGGCGTTGGACGGTACACGTTTTCCCTTGTAGGTTGGTGGGGATACTGCGACCTATATGTCATAATAATAAGCGATATGGACCGCTTCGGTCTCGCCGTGGAAATGCGCGTTAACCGACATTGACGCCCTTGCATTTCTGTCGCTGATCGTCTAACACGTCCGGTAGGTGTGGGGTATTTGGGGTCCCCGCAAGACTGGTCTGTGGCCATGGACTGGACGTGCGGTCATTTGTCTCAACACGACCTATGTATGTATCTGTATCTGTGGGATGTTGAGTTACGTCTGTTTCGCCCGTCTTAGTGAGGGAAGCATTGCACCCTGAAGGACTAAGACATTTTGCATCCTAATGCCAAGGCTGCACCATACCTGAACTACCCGACTTCAACGCCTACAAAATTGCTGTTATCCTTTGGTTTTCCAGCAAGGATGTTTGCGCATGTCTCTTGCAAGACTACCACGCGGTCATAACATATGGTCGATGTCTCGAATTTACAAATCCATACAAATTTGGCTGAGATCGCATATACTATGCACTAGATGTGTTTACCGTATGAAGGGTCCCTTGATGGCCTCATTGCAGAGCTCTGCTCTGCAATTATTTTATTTTCGCCAAATCCTAGTTGCACTAGTGGTACCTATAGAAGTGCTTACATGGCCCGATATGTATAGCCCTATTCATCAACACCATGATCTGATCTAGCTACCCCGCATGGCACGGATCAAAGGGAAGCCTTCTCAGTGGTGCGGCATTCGGCGCTTGCAGATTTGTATCTTAGGAATTTGAAATATTCGTTGGTTTTAGAAGCCCAACGCCACGTTGTTGTCGGGTATATATACATATTACATGGTATTCCTCACTTAACCATAGTGGAAAATTTGAACACTCTATCCAGCTCTGTAACTAACCATGGTCCGTCTTCTTAACAAAGTAGCCCTCATAACGGGTTCCTCCTCAGGAATAGGAAGGGCAATTGCCCTTCGGTACGCACAGGAAGGTGCACATATAGTCTGCGCAGACCTATCACCAACCGCCCGATCCCAGGTTCCCGATGAAGTCGAGATAGCCACCCACGACGCGATTATCGTAGCAGGCGGGCGAGCCATCTACGTCGAAACCGACGTCGGCGATGCCCACCAAATGGAACGAGTGGTACAAACAGCCGTGGCAGAGTTCGGTCGACTGGATATGTAAGTATCACACGATTCTAATACCCTAACCACTAGGACGCGAATAACAGTTGCATAGTTTAGTCAACAACGCCGGGGTCTCCACAGACTGCCGGAATCCAGCCCGTGTTCACGAAACAGATGAAAATGTGTGGGACACGACCCTACGGGTCAACACCAAATCGGTCTTCCTTGGCTGCAAGTATGCGCTTGCGCAGATGCTGAAGCAGGAGCCTCATTCTTCGGGCGATCGGGGCTGGGTTATTAACATAGCTTCTGTGTGGGGGTTGGTAGGAGGGCTGGGTGCTCGTAAGTTATTTTCTGGGGATTTGGAGTCGGTTTATAGGCTTCGGCTGACGTGGTTGTAGCGGCTTATTGCGCGTCCAAAGGAGCTGTCGTCAACTGCACTCGCCAGATGGCGCTGGATTATGCCCCTGATCGGATCCATGTGAATGCTATTTGTCCTGGGGGTATGCGTGTCTTCCTTGCTTGCTTGCTCGGATGGGATTGCGTGCAGTTGTGTACTAACAACCGTCTATAGCTATTTACACAGCTATGGTACGCGAGCTTGAGGAGACGTCGCCCTCTCAATTCGAAAATATACGTCGGATGCAGCCCTTTAGAGGGCTTGGACAGCCGGATGATATTGCCCGGATGGCGGTGGTGTTGGCTAGCGACGATGCTAGCTTGGTGACGGGGGTTTCCCTGCCGGTTGATGGGGGATACACAGCTCACTAGAGGAAGCCATATATACCGGCTAATGACACCTTGATAAGGATAACGTGGTTGACTTAGTATTGCATGGTCGACTCTCGCATACATCACATCTGAAATTGACCATATCAATATTGTTCTTCGACAGAACAGAAGCTCGTATGGAACATGTTGGGCAACTGGGCAATGCAAAATGGGAAACAACAGAAAAGTAATATCCACACCGTCTATACCTGCGGAATATGCAACGTGCGCACAGAGGTAAACACCTCCCTACTATATTCACCCCCCTCCCTCCCTGTGCCGGAAGCCTTCATCCCTCCAAACGGCGTCCCTAGTTCCCGAACCAGCCAACAATTAATCCACACCAACCCAGCTTCGAGCCTCTCACCGACACGTCGCATGCGCGCTCCATCTTTAGTCAACAAGATACTAGCCAACCCATACTGACTATCATTGGCCTTCCGAATCGCCTCTTCCTCCGTATCAAACGGAGTGAGAGTAACAACGGGGCCGAAGATCTCGTCCATCAACAACGGACTCGACTCCGACACCGTCAAAACAGCCGGCTCTATCCAGAACCCTCCTTCCGGGTTTTCGGGTGGCACAGAACCGAGATGGAAGACGCTGACGGGGTCTTCCGCAGCTAGAGCGAGATACGACCGGATCTTGTTATAATGTGGTAAAGAAACGACCGCACCGACTGTGTTACCCAGTTCGTAATGCTTTTTGACATATGAGACGAAGCGCGATACGAACTCCGACCAGATTCTCCTTTGGACATAGATCCGGGAGCCACAGAGACAGATCTGAAGATCGTTAGTCCTCGACTTCCTGACTGGGCGTCTTTGGGCTGGGTAGTACGTACCTCTCCTTGATTCTCAAATGCGGCTGCCACTGCGGTCGCGACGGCCTTGTCCATGTCAACGTCGTCGAACACGAGAGTGGGATTCTTCCCGCCTAGCTCGAGCGATAGATGCTTTCCGATGTCGTCGACTGTATCGCGGCGGATTTGTCGGCCTGTGGTTGTGCCTCCGGTGAAGGAGATGCCTTTTACGAGCGGATGGCGAACCAGAGCTGAGCCGGTGGGGTTCCCAGGTCCGTAGACCAGGTTGATCACACCGGGAGGGAGTCCGACATCTTGGAAGACGGCCGAGAGGACTGGATGTCTATCAGGTCTGTCCGGTTTCATTGCAGTCAAGGGTATGTATTACATACGGTAGGCTGTCACGCTAGTCAACTCGCTCGGCTTCGCCACGGCCGTACACCCAAAGGCCAGACAGGGCGCGATCTTCCACGTAAGAAGATACAATGGCATGTTCCATGGCGAAATAAGCGCGAAGACGCCTTTCGGTGAACGATGCTCATAGGTCAAGACGTTGGTATCGGTTAATCGAGCATGGGTTTCTTGGTGCAGGATATAGGTCGCAAAGTATCTGCCCCGTGGCGCACGTTAATTCAAGAAACACAAGTATAGGCAACGAGGAATTGTCCCACCGGAAATTAGACACCGCGCGATCAATCTCCACTCTTGCGCGCGTCAAGGTCTTTCCCTGGTCGATGCTTTCCCAGACAGCAAACAATTCCCGCTGTTCTTCAATTCGTGAAGCAATGCGCTGGAGGTATTGTGATCGTTGCGAGGGAGGTGTGGCAGACCACGAAGGGAAGGCTGCATCGGCGGCTTTGACGGCTTGGTCGATTTGCTCGGGAGTGCTGTTGGGAATGCATGCGAAGTGGAGGCCGGTCTTGGGGTTCATAGAATCAATCCAATCATTATGGGGGTGAGGGACGAGGTTTCCATTGACGAGGTTTTGGAGCTTGAAGGGCTGGAAGTCGAGTGTCTGAAGATGGCCTTCTGCATCTTCGAGGGTATCGAGTTCCCATAGTTGTGGAGACATGGCCATTGTAACTCTAGGCGACTTCAGATTAATACAGGTCATAAAGCACCAGGAAAGGAGAAAAGATAAGGAGTTGGGAACATCTCATCCGACGACGGCAGCATGCATCGGATGTTATCCGGTCCAGTGAGTGTGGTCTGATCCTGTCTTCCGGGTGTAAATCATGCCAAGAATCCACTAAGATTAACAGTCTCACTAGAGCACACCCGAAACCTGGAGAACACCCAAAGGTGGCATTGTTGGTGCTATTATAAGAACTATGGAGTTGACGATTACTTGCTTAGGGCTGTCTGCTATCCCAAAAGGGTTATATGGGATAACCCTGACTACTCCACCACTTGTACCATTCATGGACCAAGCAAACCATATAGATTAACTACCACCGCGCGCTCCATAATTTATAATCCGAGAGCTATTTCGGATCCGCGATCACTCCACAGGCCCCACATCGCCGACTCTCCTCATCCGTCTGCCATCTCTCAATCAATGGCTTCAATTGCGTGCCCAGATCAGCACAGTGGAAGACTTCCTCGCGTATGATTGTTGGTTCCTCATGCTGTCCCTTTCTACAGTACCATCGTAGACGATCTAAGGTATCTTCTGGCCGCTTGCGCTCCATGACTAGGCCGATCGTATCCGTGAATCGGACTGGGTTATGCGGCGTGTTCCCTGTTACAATTAACATAAGGCCGTTTTGTGATGGGACAATCCAAACAAACCGGGAAGTAAGAACATCTCTCCCTCCCTGATAGATATCTCGCGAAAAGTTGTATTATTCTCGATGATATGCAGAAGCATGTCGCCTCTGACCTGATAGAACCATTCTTCGGTTTGGTTGACTATCATTGAAGAAAACTAGTTAATATTCATTCAAGTGCATGTCTCATCTCAAAGCAAACTTATAAAAAGGGCCTAATACCGTGGTAGTCATTTCGAGCATTGGGTCCCCCGACAACCATCAGAGTAAAGTCCTCGCCGGAGTAGAGGCAGTAATTGTTGACCGGGGGACGGAGTTTATCCTCATTCTCCGCTACCCACGATGCGAAAGAAAATGGAGGGATCATTTTGGCAAACACAACGAACAATATGCGGGAAATGTTTCCATTCACTGCCAGGAAGACTATAAGGTAGCGTAACTGATATGGTCACTGTGCTTGATGCTAGCATTAACAGTCGCTACGAACCGCAGTGTTCCGGGGGCTCTGTCACTTGAGGCCCGCGGTTTAGACATCATAGGTGCGCCTGGGATTTATCTGCATACACACACACCTTACTTCCCTTCATGTAATCTTGATACATGTTGGAGAGCCGTCCTTTTCCCCTCAGTACAGGTAGGGCTGATCACCCGAGGAAGCGGAAGTAGATCCGGCGGATACGGATGACGGATGGTGATCCGCTTGAAGTAATGATATTAGGCTTTAGTAGTGCTGAGGGGGTACGCAGAAAACATGTAGCCGATGTATTGGTGTTAACCGTGCACAAAGTTGAACGGTTTGAACTCTATGCTCTCGTAAAGTCTACGAACATTCGCCTACACTGGGGTGGTTGATTCGATTCGGTAAAGCTATTCCACGTACTCTATGGAAACAGCGGGCTAGAAAGGCGGGGTTCAACGTGTAAACATAATTTTTTTTTTTTTTTTTTTTTTTTTTTTTTTTTTTTTTTTTTTTTTTTTTTTTTTTTTTTTTTGGAATATCTCCATAGCTTTCTGTGTAAAAATGTTGTATGCATGTAGGAAAGTCTGGGGAAAGCCTTGGCACATGTAATGGTAGCTTTAAGTTAGTAAAACCCCCTATCTCGCCAAACAGAAAGAAGGTCCCTCCCTCTTCCAGCGGATTTAAGCAACCCATAGTACGGCGGTACGTGGCATAACATCTAGATAATATGTAGTTGCATACATGTAACTGCATGCTGGTTGCACATGTCATACACGCAGCCCTGGCTCATGGTTGGTAATTGAAACTCAGTAGAATTAGACTATCATGATTCATCTAGAGAGTATCTGGGGCAGGAAGTCATTTATACTCAAAGCGTATCAAGATATGGTATTGCACATTGCTCATTATGCCTAAGATACATTGACTATGCCTATCGTAAATCCTGTCTCTGTACTATGTACCAGGAAAAGAAAGCGAGAGGAAAAAAAGAAAACAGAGAAAGAGAGAGGTTAAGACAAATGGGGCTTCGAGCCATTCCCCTTCTCACAGGCTCTCAGTCGCATTTCCAGTAAGTCCCTCCATTTCTCATCCGCGTCCAGATTGAGAAATCGCAACGCATTACCAGCCAACATGTCCGCTCTTTGTTTCTGTGAAAGGAACTTGTCCAAGCGCTTATCTCGTGCAATCATTCTACCAGCTTCCGGGACTTCGCCCAAAGGAAACGGATAATCACTGCCCATGACGATCCGATGTGGACCGACTTTCTTCACTAGAAACTCTAGAAGATCAACGTCGTGAGTAAGACTGTCAATCCAGATATTATCACGCACTGTCGCGTGTTCCATGGGAGTGACACCACCTGCATCCGTGGCTACAAGATCCGGTCGACAGTCATATCCATGCTGAATACGCCCCAACAGTGCAGGAAAAGAACCACCCGCATGAGCAAAGCAAAGTCGAAGCCGAGGGAACCGTAGCAGCGTCCCCGAGCAAATGAGGAGGTGCAAGGCAAGCGCTGTCTCGCTGGGCATGCCGACCAGCCACGAGCTCCAGTACCGGGACCAGAGTTTCGGGTTCTCTTTTGGCCAGGTGTATCCCAGCGGGTGGATGAAGATGGGCATCTCGAGTTCCTCACATGCCTGCCAGAATGGGTCTAACTGTGGGTCATCTAGTGTCATGCCGTCGATGGTCGTGCCGATTTCCACACCGTGTAGGTGGAGCTCGCTCTTCGCCCGATGCAGCTCTGCTACTGCCGCTGGGACATCCTGTAGTGGCACTGTTGCTAGGCCCAGAAACCGGGCCGGGTGTTGTGCACAGAGACTAGCGATGTGGTTGTTCAGGTGCCTGGCTAGGATTGTTACCGGCTCGGCAGGCTGGTCGTAAAAGAAGAGAATGGGGATCGTGCTGAGCACTTGGATGTCGGTCCCAGCGGCGTCCATCTCCGCTAGACGTGTGTTGACGTCGTAGCAATTCCGGCTGACTGTACGGAAAAATCGATCACCTACGTACATGTCGATGTCTTCTGGGTTCTGGGTGTTTTCCCGGAGAGACAGCCATGGGGAATCTGTGGAGTTTGAGGGATATGACGAGAGATCTGGTAGAGAGGGCGGCATAATATGCGTATGAAGGTCGATACGCAGAAGATGATGGCAGTCGTGGCAATACATGATGATTTTCGGCTTTACTTTGGAGTAATGAATACACTATCATGGAAGACGAGGGAGATCTTTATTCTGTTTTCTACATAGAAGGAATCTATCGTTGCACCCGTCTTCGTGTTCGTCCGGATGCTTCCCGGAATCCTTCCGGGTGCTATTGCTAATGGATCATCGTGACCATACGGCTTGTCAACTTGGAGATGGAGTCTCTAGATTACCCTGATCAGTATCAGTACAGGCTCTAACCGAGGTGCCCACATACTAGTAGATAGTGGTATCCCCACGTCGGAAGTATATCCACGTGCCAGAATTGGAAACAGCATCGAACACGGTTAGCCAATGTCTGTCAGTATGTGGGCCACCCACGGAAACATGGATACATCCCAGGTTGACAAATTGGCCCAGTGACAAGAAGCCGTGATTAAGTAGGGAAGGAGCTATTCGTACAGAGCATGCAGACAAGAGATGTTATGCGAAGCCAATAAGACAGTGGCGATGTGTGGTGGTTTACAATAGGATGTGTCCGGAGTCTATGGATTGGCGTTGACCAAAGGAAAGAATACGAAATAGAACAAACCAACTGTGTAAAGAAGAAAGAAAGGGAAGGGGGATAAAGCAATTAGGAACAAGGAAACAAGAAAATGGAAAGAAATGTAGGAATAAAAAAAAGAAAAACAAAAAGATGATTCCGATGCGGGGAATCGAACCCCGAGCTGCTGTGTGAGAGACAGCGATGTTAGCCATTACACCACATCGGATGTTGTTGAAGAACTTCTTATTCTTTGGCTACATAAGTGAGGAATAATGGGTCAGCCAAGCACTGCTATCCATTGTAGTCTATTGGTAACATATGATACCAAATGCTTCACAGGATGAAAATAAACATTATGTAGTGGAACGCTCTTTACATGTGGGTCTATTCGAATAATTGGTCAGACAAATTTAACACGCTGGCTTTTCAAGCTGGGCATTGTCGGTCCAAAACAAGTCTTTCTGGAAATATATTTCCATAGGTACAACTCTTGGTAAATCGCTTGACTTGACCAATATTTCTTGTTTCCAAATGTTTTATCTTTGGACCACTTCATGAAGCCCTGAGAATCTTTGTATTAGCCTGTCTATATGACAGCCTCTAGGTTCTCTGCTATAGATTCTCTATCGCTGAATTATTTCAGTTTTTCTTCTCCCGTTCGCTCAGTTTTCTACACATCTGCCCCCATATGTGCATAAGATGAAATGTTGAAACATTGGGTGCAATGAAACATTAGAAATCGACCTGTTATGACTGCATCTAGAATTAAAGGGAGAATTATTGATAGCCAGATCGCTTGCCAAATGTCATCCGCTCACAAGAGTCCGTCAACGAGGCCTTGGTTTTGACCTAAAACACATGGGGGAATGCTGGGTTCCATAGAGATGCATAACTAATGATAATTCCTACCAGAACATTTTTAAGCTTCAACGATATTTGCTAAGTACATATATACTAGACTCAATCGGCTTCATTCATACTCACAACCTTTCTCAGCATATCATAGCATATCTTCTCACTCACGACGCTATCCTGTTGATAGTCGTCATGCTCAGCAACAAAGTCTCTCATCCACCTCGCAGGAGTGGGCAGAGTACCACTCGCTCGACAACTGATGAGGTTGAGGTATTGCATCAGCTTGGCCTCTTCATTGGGGAGCAAATCCCGTTCTAGAAGATACGATCGAACGATGGGCACCAGCCCAGGGAATCGAGCCGGCAATGTCGAGTGCTCGCCGTTGATGATCTCGTCAATGGTCATCAGAGCATATGTGTCCTCCATCTGTGACTGAGAGCAGCCGTGTTGAGGATTGCATTGGACAGAATTCAGCCCGCCTGGAGCCCAGTCCCGTCGACGAAACCAAATGCGTTCCTTGGTCACAGCATCAAGCTTTTGCGCCAGTTGCATGGACTCTGTCACTAATTCGATGGGGATATAGAAGTTCAGCCGGTATGCCATTATGGCTTTGGACAACAAAAACATGAACACCGCGAATGCTGCGTTTTCCGAATCTTTGAGTTGAACCTCCATGGGGCGGAACTCAATCCGCCAGCCAGCCCCTGTGCTAGCTTCTGGCATTTTCAGGTGGACATGCTTCCACACTCCGTGTTGAAACTTTTCGAACATATGAGTAGTCTCCGGGCTGCTCAATTCGATTGCATCTTGGTTCAGGCAGAGTGGATCGTGCCATAGAAGATTGGAAAAGTATGAAGCTATAGATTCATCCATGCCCCCATCAAGAAGCTGCCGCTTTGCTTGTTCGTCCATTTGAACTTGTCCACAGGCATTTGATATGTCTGTTGGCCGCTCATGAGACAGGTACACCCGGTTGGACGACCAGCGAGTTAGTGGCCTCGAGCAACATGGCTTAGAAGTTTCGAGAAACTTGAATTCTTCCTCCTGCGTACGGATATCAAAGCTAGCCGTTAGGTAGTCCCACCGGGAGTCTGTATTAACCAGGTACCCCTTATAGATAGGGGTTGCTGCTGTTAATGCCAGCATAGTGGGACCGAGAATGACTAATTGGTCGTGTAGCCATCTCGCATCAGGCTCATTTGCAGCTTGAACTGTGGTCTGGAGTGCGCAGCATGCTCCACCAAACGCCTGTCCTTCGAGATAGACAGAGTCCTTCCCAAACAATGCTCCTTCGGCTAAGCAATCTTCATCTAGGAAAGGTCTCGGAGTGTTACAATCCCTATATATTGGGACATGGAGGCCAACTGGACGCTTTCTTCGACCAAGAACTTGTTGGTTTATGTAGGAATACCGAAGCCCCGGAGCCACCACTTGAGGTGGCACCATTCTGTGGTGGACGTCACTCTGCAAGGTGTCATAGTGGGGTGTCGTGAATTGGCCTTTGGTACCTAAGCGCGGAAAGGAAGCAATAGTGAGCGGGTATTGGGTAGGCCCCAAAAGATCTCTGATTAATGCTCGTCTGTAATTGTCAGACCACTGGTAGAACTAATACTGAAGACTACGCACTTACCTCCGTTTCATGTTCTTCTCGACATTGAGCAGGTCCCGTGTTTCGTCGGTATATGGCTTAGAAGGGGTGGACTCGATCGAAAAGTTCTGCCATTCTGGCTGCAGATCCATGGCCTCATATTCGGGAGATTCCCTGGACTCTATGTCAATTGGATGATCCGTGGTCGCCATTGAGCTCCAATCAGGGCTAAATCCTCACTTACCCCAACTTGCTCGAAATCTGATTGTTCCACCGATGCAAGACGTTCTCCTGATCCAACACTGCCGTTGCGCGAGATTGCGAAGGATCGAATTCTACCATTACATATTCCAACTACATAAGATGTTCAGAATAAAGACTGCATGGCTCTCCCAGCTGAAACGTACCTCGTCACCCCATAGGGCCCTCGGGTTATCAATGTCCTTTCCCCGTCTCCATACATTTAGGATTTGCTTAGAGCAATATATGTTAGCATTGACAGAACCTGACACGTAAAAGGGGATGTCACTGTACCTCGGCAGCCCATTTTCGCGCCTGAGGGCCAATCTTCTGAAGCTCTTCCGGCGACAAGGGCGCTCTTCCGACCCATCTATATTTTGTTAACGGGAGAACCCCGACGTTTGTACGGATGTTTCGAGGCAAGTCTCAACGTACGCACGACCCATTATGACCTAAATGGAACGAGAGGTATCAGTAGTAGGTTGATAACGGTGGATTTGCTGATCATAGTCAGGTATCCATATTGTTGGGTGCGCATAACGGCGGTTACCAATAGAATTATAATTGTAGTAGTAAGGAGCTGAGACGTAGAGCAATAATTGTCTTTAAATTACATTGCGTCAAGATTATACTAATATGGAATATTTCTAGGCCGCAAACAGCAAGTATAAGGTATATATTGGGTAACACCCATTCCGAACCGTGGACGAGTCCCGCCTGGTTCGCAATGACACCCGTGATGATCTGCCTTAGACTAAAGTTTTAGTTGCCCATTTCTCTCATTTGGCCAGTTCATACAGCCGCTGTCATAAGTTTTCAAGCAGAGAATGACCCACCCAGAGACTAGAGCCTGCTACACTTCCATGCGACAAGTATACCAATGGTGATGTCACCATTGAAGTACGCAGCCTTGGCAATCATATATGGATCACGAAAGATGGCGTGCTTGTAAGTAATTGTTCTCTTGAGTTGCATGATTAAGTAGATCGACCGTTGTTGTAAACGCTTATAAAAGATGAACACGCAGATCAAACATAGGATTGTGCTGGTATGCGAATTCCTTTCCGCCTATAGGGTATAGGGCTCTTGGTCAGGTCTTCAAAGCATTCCAGATCCCGTTTGCATTAGGGCGCATTTTTAAAGGTTCTTATCACTATATTAAAGACAAAAGACTAGGGTTTATACGATACCCGAGGCTTAGTACTCTGCTCGAGTTAATAAGCTTGAATCATTCCAACTGACAAGAAATCAAAGTTATACAACAAAGATCCCCCACATAAGTAGACTTCTGACGAACAACTGGCAAATACCTATATATTCATTGGTTTTAATACCAGCTACTAACAACTAGGGAAGGAGCCAACAGGCCGTATTCAGGTATATGGAAAACTTCTCTCTATACCTTTTTCGCCATCCCCCACTCTAGTTCAAAGGTCCTAGCTCAAGAATAAAATGATTGAACTGATATCAGGTGAGCTCCATTTTCAAAAATCATTAAAAACTTGATGTTTGTAAACTTACGTCAGACCTCCACATCCTTGTCCCTGTACCGCTAGTATAAAACAGAATTTCTGTAGGATACGCCCGGCGGTTCTGCTGAACAGAGAGTGGGACACGCGTCATGAATTGACTGTCTTCGACGGACACCCGAAAGACATTTTGGCCCCTTTCTAGCATCGAGTGCAATTTCACTGAACTCGACTGGCGCAGAGAGCTTGTCAGTCTCACAATACTATTTGTAATATTCCATTGCACCCATATCTGCTTTGGACGTGGCCACCTGGGAGGTACCCGGAAGCGAAACACGTAGAGCTTGATGTGACCAGTTGCGCTTGACGCATACGAGGGAAGAATATCGAATGTAGTCGGCGGAACCTGTTGATCTATTACTGCAATACCGTACTCACAATCCGGTGGGAAGTGGAGATAACCCCCCTCTCCGGAAGCCCTTCCGGTTGGAAATACTCTCAAGCATTTATTTGTGTAGATGGCGTTAGCCCAGCCAAATATCTCCTCCAGAACCTTTGCAGTAAGGCGTACGCACCATCCGCCCACACCACATGGGTCGATACTACAGGAATTTTACCCAGTTAGTCTTTAAAGATGGGGTAGAATGGGTCAACCGCAGAAAAGGGGGAAGGGCTCACTGAATGCCGACGGCGGTGGCATATCCATTATGTGACAAGAACACAGGCGATCCGCTCATCCCTGGCATTACAATGGCATTGTATGTCATTCGGTCATTCTGACAACTAAGACATAGCCCTGTGCTTCTAGAAAGCCTGGCCAAGTTCGGATAACCGCAAACCCCAAGGCCGTTGCCTTTTAGGTTCGTTTGGCCCAATATTAGGGCAAAACCATAACCACGACAGTGCCATTCGACCTTCATATCAACCAGAAGTGCTCCATAACCTGGGTCCATGCTGGTATTGCTCGCGCAATTCGGATCGCAAGCAGAGAGAAATACCTCTATATGCCCACTAATCGAGGTAACCCGGCCATGTTCGTTGTAGATCTCTAAATCCTGGGATGGGTGACCTTTCTTATCGATGAGATTACATCTGGCAGTGAGCAAGACAGTTTTCTCAACATTAGGGACAGCAATACTGAATGCAGTTCTGTAACTGATAACTCCTAAAATATTCTGTCACAACCAGGCCAAAGGCTCCAACGCAGTCATTCCGGCAGATATTTTTGGGGGATAGAACGAACCTTCTTGCTTGAACTTGAGCTTGAAAGTCCAATTTTTGAGTTGGCCAAGCTCCAAAGGATTTAATCCATACAACTCTTCAGGTACCGTTTCCGACTGCTCTGCATATAATAGTCCCATTTTTTTGTACATCAAGGTGAGCTTATCTCTGCAGGCCGCCTTGCGCGTATGATTTGCCCTCCTGGTTTTCTTATACCCTGACAGTGCTTGTTGAAATTTGTCTGCTGCAATTCGATACTCCTCTGCTGCTTCCAATACTAGAGCGGCACGCCACAATCCATCTGGGTCACCCGACAGACCTCCGTGTTGGTGACCTGAGTACCTAGGTAAACTGCTGTTCAAGGAACTTTGGGCATCCTTCTGATCTGACAATTTCCAATAGGGATCCTGCCAGTCCCAGGAAAGAGGAATGGTCAACAGAGTGTTATGCTTCGGCTGCTGGAGCTCCAGAGGTGCCGCAATCATTATTATGGAAAAGTTATCACGGCATAGACGGATTATGGTAGGCTTCGCCGCTTCCTGTAGCTGACAAACTAGATCGCCTACTTGGACGGGCTTTGCTAGAGCTGGTAGATGCCATTGTATCTGGGGTCCAAAGCTTCCATCTGTATCTTTTGTAGCGAAACTCACCTCCTGTCCATCTTCTCGCTGGCTTCTTTTCGCTGACAGTACTTTGCCCAGAATATAACCCCACCCACTTATTAAAGCGCATTCGGATTGATCGTAAGTGCTGATGTATACAGCTCTCCCAAGTAAAAATCGAACAAGCCGCGCAAAAAGCGTTGCCCATGGTGTGCTATAGTCAGGCAGTAAATCAGTCGGAATAGACTCGTCAGAGCACATGCCCAGCAAGGCAAATAGCTTATCATGTTGCCTGGTAGCTTCACGAGTGTGGTACATCTCAAGTAGGTCGCTCAGAGGGCGTATGTTCAATGAGAATTCGCTTGAAATGCTCTGTATTACCTTTGGCCGAAATAATGACTCTCTCATGAGGAATGCCACAGGGAGAACGACGGCTTGTAACTCAGGGAAATCCTTATAGAGAGATTCAAAAGATCCTGATGTAAGACCAACGCAAAACACATATCCGTCCATCTCTGTAGCTCCGCACTTGATCAAGATCTGTCGTGCGGCCGCAACCTCTTGAAGCACCTGGATTATAGTTGTCAGAAAAAACATTTAGTTTTGTGGGTGAGTTTTGAGATACCCATATGCGCTTAAACCAGGGTCGCTGGAGCAAAGAGAACACCGCTTCCTTGGTAAACTTGTCGTCCACGCTGTGCGGTCTATGAGCTGCGATCCGTATTTTCTCAAGTGCTTCATCACTATAATGGGCCGAGTTCCCGAGCCAAACAATCACACTCTTGGCTCTAATGTATATTTCAGCCATGCGCCGAACCTGCTCTCCCCTCTCCTTGAGATCCTTCTGATTTATGCAAACCGCGTCTATCCAGATGATTCGCTCGATGTACGGGTCACGAATATGCAACAGAACTGTGTGAAGATTGGCAGTCACGGGGAAATCACAGTCCTCTAATGAGATGGATTGACAGTCGTTCAAGTCACCCCAGACATATGATATAGCCTCATAGAGGTGTGTTTTGCCTGCTAACCGCTCTAGGGGATAGTTGAACAGCCAACCTTGAATATGGGAGTTTCTCTCCTCGCTAGGAAGTAAGCGGAGCAGGCGGATATATCCCTGGGGCAATGGAGGGTAACGGTACTGATTACCAGCACTGCGTTCGCGGCTCTCCGCTGGCTCCATGGTGCTTGTGTCCTCTCAGCCATGAAATCTTCGATTCTTTTTCCGTTTTGCACAGCTAACGATTCTGAATAACTAAAGGAGTTAGCCGCATCCTGGCCCAGAGGAAAGAAGCAGCTTAGCAATAGCTGCGGGGCTGTGCTAGTACTCTTCAGGCTTTATAGGTCAGCCTCGTACCGGCATCGAACGATCCAATCATGGCGCCTGTACGGATACTAAGACCTCTGCTAATCAATGTGATTGGGGTAAGGTACAGGTCAAAATGAGGCAATGCGTGCTGACTTGGACATATCAAAACAAAACAACGAGACCACATGACTATTCTCGAAACCAGACATACTCTGTTGAATGAGATGGCGTTTATTTGAATGAATGAACAAAGTGCCATCATTCAAGTCAATGCTCAAAACTGGATCTACCTTCACTTTGCCGGGGGCGAATAACTGGCTGCTAGGAAAGGCAAAGTAGGATATCGGTTCGCCTTGATGGATCCGAGCGATCGGCGCTCCATGCATAGCTGCCCAAAGTCTGACACCCTGACTGAAGTGTCATATGTGATAACGCTGACATGGTTTGTTGTCTGTATAGGGAAAAAGTTTTATATTGAACGCATTGATCATGAAATCAGGAGGAGAACGGTGCACTCGTAGCCTATCCTATACCCTACCAACGTACCTCGTCATCGCAGCCACCTGGACGGAACTGCGAGCGATGGTTATGTGGACTCATGTTGCTTTCTCTTGTTTGACTATTGGAATTTACAACTAGAAAGTGTAAGAATCACGGTGACCTGTATTAACTAAGGTTGCATGGGCCACGTTCAATGGAAAGAGCAGGCCCATGTGTCTTGTCGGACGTTACAAAAGAAGGGCTCATGCTTTCACCTTCCTCACGGTCATCGATATCTGATAATTCGGTATCCACGCTCCCTAGATACCATGGGCCGTCAGTTGTAATGTCCGACTCGAATGATGGTGCCCGTGGTAAGCTAGCCGAGCCAATCCGTTGCCGCGTTCTTCCCCGTTCATCCTCCTCAAGACAGGCTTCATCTGGCTTCCGTTTCTTGGGGCTAGCACTTCGAGATTTCTCCCTGATAGGCATTAAACGGCACTCTTCCGCACTGACCACCTTCACCGCAGGTAGACCTCCAACCGCAGTCAAGCCCGTAGAGGCTTGGTACAATGCGAGACGTCGGGGGACGCCCGCCTGTAAGAACATGGGGATATACTGAAAGATAGTCCATGCAAATCGGGCAAACACATATTCAGGAGCTACACCACAGAGTGGCTGAAGCTTTACATTATGGTAAAGGGATGTGAGCTCATGCGGTTCGGGAGAGTTCACTAGATGAGTGACATATGATAGAGGTTGATTGCCCGTGGGCTGAGCGCTGTTATTGATGGCATGTGCAGGTTTGGGTACAAAAGAAAACCGTTTATAGTCAAATGATGAGTGTATATCCGACCGGAGGAGGATAACGTTACGGGGAGTGTCTACTGGCTCACCACCTGGTCGAGGAAGTCTACCATATCTACTCATCATGTTTCTCTGGAACCATATGCTTTGACTTCGAGGAATAAGATGAGCACACTCCGTTCCTTCGATGTGGTTGGTTAATCGGCAGCGGATGTCGCGTGAGAGAACAGCTTCAGCGAGTGTGCTCTGTCTTGGCGTTGGATGGCTTGCCTCGCGAGGGATATCAATCTTCCACCCAGGCGGCAACCTCTCATGGGGGAATATCCAGTCCTCGAAACTAGGGACAATAGGGTATGGATCTATGAGGAGTCAGACTCGCTATCAAAGAACGGCTAGCCTTCTAACCTGGATGATCACCCGGCACATGGAAGTAATAGTCTCTCTTGTGAAGGATACCGTCCAGCGGTAGCTCCACCCGTACGTTTCCTTCACGGTCTTCTGTCAACCAGCCATTAAAGTTGTTATTGGCAAGCACACCACATGCCGAGAGCGCGATTCGATGATGAATTCCACCTTTCGGGTGGTCAATGCCTGGCAGAATTAGAAGGATGTTATGAGGATCTGGGTAACCCGGATGATGAAAGTAAATATCATATTCTGGGTCAAACAACAAGGGAGAGGCGGTATGAGTTGTTGGGTTGCCAAAGGCAGGTCTCTGAAGGGGAATTACTTCATCACTGGATAGAGACATTTAGACTGCTTCTCTTCTCTTCCAGTCCCAGGCGTTTATTTGTCCCGGCCGGAAATGCGGATCGAGAGTTGTTGTGGAGATGAACGAAGGAAGCCGAGGCAGTGATTCGTCATGTGACCGCCGAGTCCCGTCACCTGCCCCACATTGCCCTTAGAGAAAATAAAAGTTTTGCTACCAAAAGTGCAAGACTTAATGACGATCAGATCTTATCAGTTCATGGGATTTCAGAAATCCGGGGAATTTGACAAACGTGGCTGATCTGAGTATCTGAGCAATACGAACCTATAGAGTTGGGAAGACTTTCTGGGAGCTGAAGCACCACAAGCAGTGACTCGTAATTCCTATCTTCCTTGCTTATTGCTCATGCGGAGCATCCTTGCGGATGCTAATGTATTGTATATAATGTGGCTATTGTGCAATCTATCTGTACTTTATACGACTAAATATTGTTCATGGAAAGTGCATCATTTTCTGGCTATCAAGCAATACAAAAGACTCATAGCGTATTCCTCTGAGTACAAATTCAGATGGCGTAATTGCGTTTGTGATATGTGGCGATGTCGCCGTCCATCCGTTCAGAAGTTCGCGCCAATAGCATGACTCTGCAGCTGGAGTTAGATATCGATCCCGAAAGGTAGTCACACTGTTATTGGCAATGCGCTCAGCAGACGCTGGATCCTCTAGCAGTGCCTGCATCTTTCTTGGCAGATCAGAAAAGTCGCGCTCCACTTCGACAAAATTCTGATCCGGGCCGGACGAGACAAGGAGGTAATGGTGGTGTTGGATATACTGAAGTTTATGTGCGACGACGACGGAACCGCATGCCTGGCGATATTTCAGAGAAGCAGAATAGGATCGTCCTGGTCCAGACCTGTCAGCAGTGTCCGTTGGGACGAGCAGGGAAAATCATGCTCACCTTCCACATGAGCAATAAAGCGATACCGACAATGGTCCTCCATGCTAATAAAGTTCGTCTGTTCCTTCCATACTATTTCCTTGACATCAGCCCACGGCTGATTTCTGGCTGCCTCCAACAATGCCCGTCGCATCTTCGCCGCAAAGCTCAGTTTACCCCTCCACACCAGCTTTGCCTCTTTCTCTTCCCATGGTACCTCTTTGTGTCGAATACGATCAACCACCTGAGTATACGGACCGATTTTGCCGTCAACCTTGCCGTGTTCCCATGCCCAAAAGCCGAAGTCTGGCAGGAGCCACACGGCTTGTTCCTCATGTTTCCGGGCCAATACCCATAGAGGGTGATGTGGACTGGCAACATCATCTACTTTGTCTTCAACGGAGAAGACGAACTCCGTATTAGGCAGAACAGAAGTATTAGGACCCGTTGCTAGTGCACGGTGAATTGAACCCAAAATTCCCAAGATCTTACGGCGATGGTCATCTCCCCTTGAGTGAGTGGATATCACATATAGCTGACCGTTGACAACTGCTGCACGAGTCATACCATCAACCAGATGAATCTCATTCAGGTCATGCATCGATATGCCACTCTTCGCAAGCCAGAATGTCTGTGCGCGGTGGACATCTTCGAACAGGCCTGGAAAGAAGCTCTGGCACTGGGCAGCATTGAGGGATAGGTTGTGTGCGTCGTAGACTGGATTATAAGTTCGTGCCATTGGTGTAGCATTGTCAGATTGACCAGACGCGCCATGGAGGCAACTCCCACATTCGAATGACACAGCTGTTTGGCAGGCACAATGGCCAGCAGGAATGAGATGGTTGATCAAGGCCGGTACATTGTCTCGATCGGAGTTGACACCGAACCACAGGGACCAGATGAACAATGCAAGTATGGCACCGACGACAGCAAGGAGACTGAGACGAAGCAGACAACGGCTCTGGGTCGGCTTTATCATGATGTCTATGGTTTGAACCACATGGCGAGCGAATGTGTTTTAACAAATTCTCTCAGCAGAATTTCAAGGAAGCCTGGGACCTCATTGCTTAGCGTCCCCCAACCCGGGCAAAACGATGTAACATCATACCCTGGTCAGTAAGGGGCATTATATGATGTCTTGACTGTGCAATGGTCTCGTGTTGGACGGCGCCTTTCCGTTTATTCGCTGGTCTAGTAGATCGCAGCACCCTTAACTTCTCCTTTCTCGGAAATGATCGTGGGCATAGCGTTGGCCATCAGCTTTATCCTGGCTCTATTACTAGGATTAAAGGACTAGTTGTGCGTTTCGGGGGCGCGGCCAGGGCCATTTTGGTGGTAAGGCCCACAGTGACGCCCGAGGATGGCTTAGGGCCTAGAGGGCACAAAGAACAACCCAGCCCCACCCTATAAAACTGTGTATTACTATTGAAAGCCTACCGAGTAGAGGATATTATCATCAATATTTGCAACTTGTGGTAGGATGGACAGATGTACCAGGCATTTGATGAGATACTAAGACAAGCAAATGCTAAGCACAATGGTACAGAGTATAGAACGGAGATGTGGCAGCCAAAACCACATCAGTGGCGCAATGTCAAGCTTCTTATTCTTGGCGGCAAGCCAAGCTCCATATGAACACCTGTGGGCCTTGTAGTAGGCTTATAACCCTGGTTACCAAGCTCCTCCCGTCTTGTTTTTGATCGGGGGTTCAGGATCCTTCGTCTGTCCAGTGGCGGATTTTCGGTATAACTCGTTCGCCAAATCTTACGTGTCAACGGCTACAACTACAACGGCGCACATTGTAAACCTCTTCTCCTATTCCTATAAAGCTTGGTATTATGCCGATCGGAGAGAAACACCCTTGGATCTTCTATTAATTCTCGGTCACAATCTAGACTGGGCTCACGCAAATAAGGATATAGCGTAGACAAGGCATCCTGACAGGGAGAATGCAGATGGACAACCATCAGCAAAATAGAGAATCAGAATAGCACCCTTTTAATCGGATGAGCACCGGCGTATATTTGAGGGATAGTCTAGAAACTGTTTCCCCCTCCGCCTGGGTTCATCTGGCTCTAATTGAGTGGATCAACTTGCGGCCCCCAAGCACTAACCACTACGATCCACGAACGACTGCTTTAGCGTGAGAACAAATTACCAGCCAATAAAAAACAGGCCCAATTAAAAAAGTGAGCGAGCGCGCGTGCTGGTTCGTTAGAGGGCAAAGAGCTCCAGATGACTTAGAACTGCCCTGAAAATCCCGAGCTGTGACCCTACGGAACAGTGCTGTGGAGCAATTGATCCACGGTTTCATGAGCTCAAAGGACTCCGCATAACTCCCTCAAGAGGGGTTTACATGTCTAGATATGCTCGATTGCCTTTCTCGATTAGTGAAGCTGCTCGATAAAAAAGTATGTAGAATGTATGTATGTATGTACAATGTAAGGTATAACGAACACCTCGCAAACCATGCTAAAGTATTACGCATAGCTGGAAGGAACCAGAGAGTTCGCCCAAACCTCCAGGTAAGTATACCCGCTGGCATCCAACGTCATGGAATCTGCAGTGTTGGGGTCCGTTCCAAGCTCTGCCTCGGCATCATCGGGGATTCCATCACCATCGGTATCGGTAGGGGCTGTACCCTGGTCGAGGTCGCCTGCACCTCCCATGTCCGCTTCGTCGGAGATCAGTGCGCCATCTTTGCCATAGGATTCGACCTGGGCAATTAACTGGGTATCGACACTGTCTCTCACTTTTGATGCTCCAGCATCTACTTACTATTAGCATGGTATATCGGTGGGGTATTTGTGACAATGGAACTTACACTTGGTGACATATGTCAATGCAGCATCCGGGGTTAAGACGGAGGCAACAGCTGGATAGTCATACTTTTCGGTAACGAGATCCATCCCGCCGTAGTTGGAAGAGGCCACGCCCAGCTCGCTACCGTTGAGAGTGCCGTCCTTGTCAGAGTCATAGTAGTTTGTCTCAACATAGGCATGGAAGTTCTCGTTGCCACGAGTAAAGGCTGTGACTGAGGTAGACGGTCCGCTAATGAAATAGTTCCCGATAACATTAACATCTGTCTACAGCGTTAGCCCAGCATACCAGACATAGGAAAGAAAAGGCATGGGACGCACTCGACTCTCCATCAGAGCCTCCAGCAATATATCCACCACCGCCGCCCCAGTTATAGATCACGTTGTTCGTGAACTCATTGACACCCTTGACCTTAGGGTTGCGCGTTTTGTTGTCAATGTACAGATTGCGGAACAGCGATACACCACCGTCGGTTTGCATCAAGCCGCCACAGGAATGTGTCTCCAGACCCTGTGCGATGATACTGTTCTGAATGGTAACGTTGCTGACATCACCATTGATCGAGAATGTTTCATCACGACCCCAAGAGACAGAGACATGGTCGAAGATCATGTTCTTTCCGTCGGCGATGCCCATGGCGTCTTTTCCTGATGAACCGCCTTTTCCCATGCGACTGTATATTCCAGTTCTCCTCGTTAGTGTATATGCCAGGATAGAAATGAAATATGTTCCTGCTTACATCCTGATATACCGCACGATGGCATCGTCAGCATTCGAAAATGACCACCCATTTCCATACACAGTGATTCCATCGCCAGGCGCCGTTTGTCCCAAAATTGTTACCTGTTTGGACACAACAATGCGATCGGTGATTTCAATCACTCCTCCCACGGAGAACACCACGATCCGACCGGGCTGGGATACAGCATCGCGCAACGACCCTTCACCTGAGTCGTTCAAGTTCGACACAACGTACACTTCACCCTGACGACCTCCGACCGCGTTCGCGCCAAACCCCTCTGCACCAGGGAAGGCGATCAAGGCCGACGTAGTTTGGAGAAGCGACAAGAGACTGATGAAGGAGAGTGTGAGCCGCATCTTGAATAGCGAACAAGGAAAAGCAGAGACAAAAGAGTTAGAAGATTATCACTCCATTTCATCCCGGATACCTCGGGCGCATATTTATACCTACAGCCGTTCAACGCCGTGTCGCATACAGATTAGCCGCCAAGGAAGCCGTTGATTGATGCATGAATCGGGTGTTTTGGCAGTTCCCATTAAATTAAAAGAGAGTCTGACTCGGTATATGCGATGTTTAAACGATCTTTAGCTGCCGACTATGCAGCCCCTGGTGCTTCTCGGCTGTCACAGGGTCCGACAACCCTACTTTATCCGGTAACAAAACTGTAGGGATCGACAGTGCTCGGATGCTTTTATGTTTCGGATAAGACTCTGTCTGTCAGTCGCACCCAATCAGATTGTGAAGCCACTGCATGCTGGAATAGCATATTCCACCTATAACAAACTATTCATATGTTTTCCAGAGATCCGCATGTTCCGGATAGCCCCTGAACTCAAGAATTGTTCTAAGAATGGACTGCATAACTGACATTAACTTGCACTTTATCTCCTACTGTCCAGTGAAACTGCAACATGAAATACATGATAGGAAGCTCCTTTAGATGGAGGGCAGACAATGATCTATGAAACTGTCGCAATTGGACCACAAGACCTACGAGGGAATTCATAAGTTAGATCCATTCGGTTCGCCTTGATCTTGACGTTCTCCTTGTTCAACCAGCGCAAGCTATGCTACTAATCTTAAGTAGTCTTGATGCATTGAGCTAAATATCTTAGCATGCGTGATCTTCGTGCCAGAGGTCTTCAAATCTTTTATCAATCTTCTGTCTGTATGTGGCGTAAAAGAATGCAGCCGGTGACAAAATAACGGACTCAATGTCAATGAAGCGACAGGGCATGTTCCTATAGCACGATGAGCAGATTGAACGTGGGTAAATTAGCGGCCGTGCTCCGACCATTGCTCGGAGCGGTTAACAAGACATCGTAGTCCCGATCAATCGGATCTACGCGTGTACTGTGTATAAACAGGACTGTCGTACTAAATTCTCCGAGTTAAATCCACATCCCGGTGCTGTAAGATCGCGGGCCGCTCAATCTACATCACCGGTATGGGGTTTATCTAGTTTATCTACACAGGTCGATCAAACATAGGAGTAGGATAACCAACAGCTGGCGACGATTTACAAGGAACGATGACACTGGGTTCCCCAAAGCCGTAGCTGCCAAAGATGCGCATATATCATTCTGAAATGGGCTTTTAAAATCACGGGCCATTGCTGTTAAGCCACAATGATCCTGCAATCGAGAAGGAGCAAACGTTAGATTTGCAACGCATTTAACATCATCCCGGGACTTTGCAGCGTTTGCACTTTGCGGTGTTTGCACAACTAGTACGTACATATACAAACCGACAACTTGCAAACGCCATGACCCCCAAGATGTTCAAGTTTACACGATACAAGTGAATGAGGGGGCTCAGACAGGGCGTATCGGAAGAGGGGCAGCACTCGTGGCGCTTGACTGGTACCAATAAGGGCCCGATAAAGCACCTGGCACTGACGGCTAATTTCCACTCCGACAAAGAAAGAAGCCCTAGAAACATGTCACAGAGCTCTGGTGATGACATTTATCGAACACATCATGTTTCATTCCAACATCAGCTTCGGTTCTTGGGATTCTACTTTTTGAATGTATACAATCAATTGACCCTTCGTTTGCATTAACCGCTCAAATACAGAAGGTTCGACGTGAACCAAGATAGTTTGAGAATGTCATTCAGTGCCATATGACAGGTCAAAGACAATGTTATGAGGGCTTGTTGAATCTTTGTCACTGCCTAATTGTGATCATCCAAAGGATAATGAATAATGAAACACACAAAGAGGAGCTGCTAACAGTATTTCCAACTTCTTTTTGTCTCCATGATAATGGATGACGTTCAGTTGTGATGTATGGAGTAGAATCTAACCCGCTGCAAGCACCACCTAATCGGTAAATCTCTTTACCCCGGTGAATTGTAAGACTATATTCTAAAGTGAGCTTGATAAACAATGATGATCTTTTCAATACAGTCCATATTTCCTGAGCCATGCTTCGATTTGGAGTTGGCATTTTACATTCACCACCATGAGAACTGATGCAGAGTAACCTGGTTGGCTTGCCTACCCGCCACGTGTATATATGTCAGAGGGGAAAAGATAGAATCTCAACCTGCCCCAGTTGTATCTTGGATTGGGCTTGGTTAGGCGTTCTAGAACAGGGGCCTGGAATGTGGAGACCTAGCATATTATGTCCCCTTTCGGCAACAAGCAGTGGCCGCGGAATGTAAGCCATCTGATTGAATATATAGACAGCAAGTGAATCACTGCATTCTTCCGATCTGAATTCGCTACTAGCTTCCGGAAACCTGTGTGATTCCTAGTATTTATACGCCCTTCATTCGTTATTTCATTCATTCTTTGCAGACATTCCTTCTGTCCTACTCTGCACCCCCATTCATTCCCTCGACTTTGCTCCCTTGACACTGATATCTAGTCAATCATTATGCTCTCTGTGAATATACTTCGTGTTCTGAGCTGTCTGCTTCTGTTGTTCCAGGTCGTACAGACAGCAATCATCCCCATTCGCCAGTATGACTCGGAAGAGCAAGACGATGCGACCAATGATGATACCAACTCCCAGGGCAGCAAGCCTAGCCATGCACTAATGGCACCCTCAGCTTCGGCGATAACCACCACACCCCTGCAGTCGGGAGGCAATCTCGCTGGGGGTACAGAAATTATCATTCCTTACTATGCCTACCCAGCGGATGGGGCCTGGACGCCTGTTGAGCAGCTGTGCGTCTTTCACCCCTCGCTCCGTTATGACGAACCACAAGAGATGTACTAACCACACCCCAAAAGTGCCGCCAACAACCCCAACGTGAAGTTTACTATCATCATTAACCCCAGCAGCGGTCCAGGTGGAGATAGACTGCCAGACGCCAACTGGCGCAAGGCAATCCCCAAGCTGAGGGCACACCCCAATATCGCCGTCATCGGCTACGTTGCGACAGGCTACGGAGGCCGAGCTCTGTCTGCTGTTGAGCGCGATATTACCACGTATGCCAACTGGCCGACTCTCAGCGGTGATGCCTCCTTCGCCGTTCAGGGCATCTTCCTCGACGAAGCAGCCGCTGAGCTTGATGACAAGAAAGTGACATTCTACAAGCAACTCACTACTAAAGTCAAGAAGAACAAGGGCTTTGGCCCACACAACAATGTAAGTACCCCTGCCCGTCTCATCTGCAGCCGACAACTAACCAAACTTTCAGGTGGTCATGAACCCTGGAACAATCCCCGACAACGCCTACCTCGAGATCCCCGACTTGACGGTCATTTTCGAGTCCCCGCACAGAGAGTTCCAAGAGGCGATGGCGGGACATGAATTCGACCGCGTCAAAAACATCGACAAGGCTCGTCTCTCGTCCATGGTCACCTCCGTCCCTACGGGAACCGATCTGGCGGGTCTGGTCGGGCAGCTCCGCGAGATTACTGGCCATATTTATCTCAGCAACTCAGCTAGTTATCTCGAGTACCCTCAGGCCTTGGATGAGGCGGCGCGCATTATTGGTTCCAGTTGAATGTGGACATTGCTTGGCCGGGCTTGCAATCTATCTTCTCTGTTGACGGGTGTGTGACTCTGTGCGGGACACCATGTGGGCAACTTACTTTCTGTACGGAAAACTATGTCTATTGTAGAGCAATAGATCTGCTTTTCTTCTTCCGTCCTAAATTGTTTGCTAAACGCGCCAATGTAGGGGGGCGGCCGTAGTTACGTGTCAAAAGGACAGAGGTTCCCTACAGACGATGTTGGCGTAAGTAGATGGTTTGAGACGCCAAGGTAACACACATTCGTATATGTAGGGAGTCACATGGGCGTATATTGGCCGAGATCAAGACTGGCTTCGATGGGCGCACCAATAATTGAAGGATATCGGGGATAAGTCAAGTGCGTCCCTGACGCGCCAAGAAGCGCTATCGCTCTTCTAAAGAAATACCGGCATAGCAAGGTTCTTGGAACATTGATCATATCAAGTAAGTCTCTTCGATCATGTCATTGTGTCGACTGTCTTTTTCTTCTTGCTTCATCCTTGGCCTTCTAGTTTGCAAATTACATTGACAACTAAAGGGAAGCGAGGTAAAGAGAAGGATAGAAAAGAAAATGCTCGCCACTTGACACGGTATAATCTTATTTCAGGGCTTTAACAAAGCAGCTCTGTATCACCCAGCCCCCGAGGGCGCAGCCAACAGGTAAGCACCGTCAATTTTAGGTGTGACAGGCTCTTCGTTCCTGAAATCATGTCGACGAAGAGTAGCTCATTTTATAAATATGCTGGATACAATCACCAGGAAATACAGTTTGAACTTGACACAATACTATGTATTAAGTCAGCGCAAAGGACATCACCTGACTGTCCGCTAGAACTATCAGAACGAGATAATACACCTCTACAGTAGTATTCCTGCACATTGCTCCATTCTTATCAGATACTAAATTATTGGATGGATCCATACGAAATGATCGAATGAAGGTCCGTGGATCCACCAGAGGGATCCAGAGCTCTAGCGTCGCGCCCTGCCGATGACATGTTCCGCCACAGCCGAACACTCATTTTAAAGATCGAGATCCGGCAATGCCAATGGACTACAGCTGAGTCGCTGAAAGCCACACAATGCGTCGGTTCCCTCAACATGAAAACGTTGAACTCGCGAGTGGCCTTGACACGAGGTCCGCTGTGAGTGAGCCTTTAGCGGATAATCCCGATGAAAGCCGAGCTGTTTCAGCCTTCCCGGATGGTGGACAGGAGGCATGGACATGTCTTCTGGGATCATTTTTGATGATGTTTCCCTCATTTGGTTTTCAAACAGCTGGTAGGTGAACCCGATATATCAATTCATTCAGAATTTCGCATTGACTCCATGTAGTTGGATCGGTTCAGGACTATATTAGCACTCATCAACTTTCCGAATATAGTGTCAGCGATGTCGGTTGGATCACCGCCGTGCTGGTCTTCCCGACCTTATTTCTGGGTGTTCAAGTCGGCCCGCTATTCGATCGCTACGGACCACGGGTACTGTTGATCTGTGGATCGCTCGGCAGTTTCACGTCTTATATTCTCCTAGCACAGTGCTCCGAATACTGGCATTTCATGCTATGCCTGGGGTTCCTTGGAGGCGTATCTGCTGCAGTTATTACCACCGTGTCGATCGCCGTTCTGAGCCACTGGTTCTATCGACGACGTGCCCTTGCATCCGGCATCTGCATGGGCGGATCGTCGGCCGGTGGTGCCATCATCCCACTACTCCTACGAACCCTGTTCGCCAAGTACGGCTGGACCTGGGGAATCCGGGTGATCGCATTCATAGCACTGGGGTGCTACATTCTGGGCTTCGCACTCGTCAAAGGGCGGCTACCCACCAGCACCCAAAGTCGAACGACGATCGATATACGGGCGTTCAAATCGCCCCGTTTATGTTTCCTGGCAGTCGGCGTCTTCTCCTTCGAATTCATTATCTTCGGCTGCGCAGCCCTCCTCCCCACATATGTCCGCTATGCGGGTCTCTCGCTGGACGTTCAATTCTACTCTCTCACCGTCCTGAACGCCATGAGCTTCCTCGGGAGAGTCCTCCCCGGCTTCGCTGCCGACCTCGTCGGTCGATTCAATATCCTCCTGACCCTGGTCATTATGACCCTCATCGTGATGGTGGCCGTGTGGTTACCGTTCGGATCGCGCGACGACGCCACGCTGTATGCGGTGGTGGCTATCTTCGGGTTCGGGTCGGGCGGGTGGCTCTCGCTGGCGCCGGTGTGTGCAGGCCAGCTATGCAAGACGGAAGAATACGGACGGTTCTACGGCACGGTTTATTGTGTCGCGGCGTTTGGCGTCTTGCTTACTGTTCCTGTTGGAGGGAAATTGCTTCAGTCGACTACCCCGCAGGTCCTGGTTGGGTTCTACTCGGCCGTTTTGTTGACGGGGCTGGTGAGCATTGCGTTATCCCGATGGGCTCTTCTGGATTGGAAGTGGAGGTGGAAGGTTAAGGTGTAGGTGGACTAGATTGATAGATTAGGTAGTTAATTAGAATATAGAAACATAGGAAATACCAGCTACTGAGCAATCAAATAAACTATAGAGTACTTCGGCCAATCAGTTACTTGTTCCTGAAACAGGATATGATAGGGCTGGAAAGACGTGAGCCGCGCTTACTATGAGGAATTGTTTCCGATATCCGTCGGACAAGGATTATTGGTGAGAATACGCATAAATATCTACTTTCCAGGCAGAAACTCTGATTCCAAAATAAATGTCTGACTGAATCTTCCTATGCTGGTCAACACCATGGCCGAATTATTCACGGAACTAACGCCATCCAGAATCAAAGATACGAAGGTAAACATGGCCATTCCTTTGTAGCATACCTAGCTTGTTCCATACAATACAATACTCACGAGTATAATAGGGCCTACATTTGATTACCTGCAATACCCCGAATGGTAAGAAGGTGCAGATTCTGCTCGAAGAACTCAAAGAGGTGTATGGATTGGAGTGGACGACATCCTTGATCGATCTCGACACCGAGGAGCAGAAGCAGCCATGGTTTCTCAAGCTCAATCCCAACGGTCAGTATTTCTGTTGAGACTACCCAGAAACGCGGTCCCTCTCTGATAAATTGTAGGGAAAATCCCCATAATCATCGACCATGCCAGCGGTGAAGCGTTTCCGGTCATGGAGTCGTCCGCAGAACTTCTCTACCTGGTGGAAAAGTTCGACCCCGATCACCATTTCCACTTTGCGACGGCGACCCACCGATCCCAGCTCTTCCAGTGGTTAATCTTCTGGAATGCGTCGGGCCAGCCACAGCAAGCGGGATTGAATCACTTCTCACGATTCGCTCCAGTGCAAGTTCCTTGTAAGCCCCTCTCTTATTTTCCCATTGGGAGCATCATCCCAATGCAATGCGTATGCGGGGAACTAAAACAACAGTTTAAACATAGATGCCGTTCAACGATTCAAGACCGAAACCCTTCGAATCTACAATGTGCTGGAACTGCACCTGTCTGGCAGCCTGGCCGGTGGTGAAGCCCGGGATTACTTGGTGGGCGCGGGTCGAGGCACGTACAGTATTGCCGATATCAATGCGTACCCCTGGGTGCGGGGATGGAAGAAGAGTACGATTACCGACGAGGAGATGGACAAATTCCCGCAGCTGAAGAAGTGGATCGAGCGGATTGAGGCCAGACCGGCGGTGCTGAGGGGTATCGGGGAACAATATGACGAAGAGGTGCATCCTGAGCTACTGCTCAGCACGAACTAGCAGGATATACTATCCCGGCCTCGGAGGAAGGGCTGAAGTATCCCCTTGTAAGTCTTAATGACGATAGACACAAAATCTATAAACAGCGATAACTTACATTTACTGGTAACAACAATAAGAATCTCTCCGATATAGTGTTTACTGCTATAGAGATAACTGAAATAAATAGATTGATACTATATTTCTCAGGTATCAGTCAGGACAGTAATAATTATATCACACCTCCGGACGAAAGAATGTGGTTCACTTTGGAACTGCCCTAAGCTAATCTATTTTACTTAGATGACCCGTCATTGAGTCAAGCTGGTCATGGCCACACTCTCCATCAACGGCAAAACCTGAAACGGAGCTAGAAGTCAATCGCAACCTTCAAAGCACCTTCC